GCAAGGCACCGTACTCAAGTAACAAGCACAATGCAAACACGTGGGAGTGAAAACAGAGTCATTTGTTTGAGCACAGCAAGCAGAGAAGTTTGAGAAGGTCTGAATAAAAGTGGAAGCATGTTAAGTCACAATAGCTTCCTGAATGGGTTGAAATAACAACAACTGAGCCAAAGTTAACAGGAGCCGTTGAAGTGGGGGATAGCAGAGAGGCTGAATGAGACAAAAAACAGGGCTGTGCTTTGAAGTGCCTCCTATTAATACTAAATGTTACTGCAAATACCCCAAGAGTATTCCATTTAAAACAGAAGGTATAGACCTACATAGACCAATTATTTAGCTTCAACTACTACATGATATTATTTAAAGAACCTACATTATTTCGCACAAATTACCAAGATAACGTAGTTGCTTTTCTTGTATCAATCAAGTATTAAATCAAATGTTGAATTCAAACAAAACCTTTCATTGAATCGAATAGCATTTAGACAGGGCCAGTGTGAAGGCAACCAGAACCTTTCACAACACAGGGTAACGTCACAAATAGGACCTTTTTCACTAAGTCAGCATTTTTATCCTTTTCTGCTAAATCTAGGCAATAGATTCCTTCCCCAGATTCATTTCCCGGGTGCGTTGCATTCAAATACCCCTGAAACTGAAAAAAGGATTACTACGCAGAGGGATGGTTTTATTTCAAACTCTCAAAGCAGAGGTGGTCAGCGTTAAAACAATGGAAAAGTTACCAAGACGAATTTAATGAGTTTCATTTTGTCAAACTACTGTTGTCTGAACGGAGCCATGTGGTTTGAGGAAAGCATATTAATTAAAGGTTTTGTACATCAAATGCAGTTATCAAAATCCCGGTAGAGATTATTTCATTGTTCCCATGTTTCCATCAATGCTGTTTGGAACTGGCGGAAATGAATAGCGATGGCACTATAACTATGCTCTTTATTTTTTATCAATGATGCATTTCATTAAAAATGATTTAGAAAAACTGTTCCTGCTCCATCTAGTGTGCACCTGGCTAATAAGAGCCAGTAATGGTCTCTTTGTTGCTTTAGTGCCAGGCTCGACGTCCCTGTGATTTATTTAGAATATCCCGTCCATGCTGGTCACTATGGGTGGGGGAAAAATCGATTTTTCTCGATTCTCTCTAGAACGATTCGGTCTCGATTCAGAAAAGTTAATAATCGGAATAAAAATAAAAAAAAAAGTCTGTCTCGCGCGAGATATTTGCTCGCTCGCGGAGCGTGACCTTCCACGCTCGCGAGGTTAGTCTCTGCTCGCGCTCGAAGGTGTTTTCTTCACGCTTGCTGTTTTAAGACAGTAAGGGGGCGGAGCCAGTCACCATGGTCTCTACACCTGATTGGTTACAAACCCCGTCTTTGGATTGGCTGGAGTGATTCATTCACACAACTATAGAAGCCCATTTCCACACTAATGTAAGGGGATACAAATTATGAGATAAAACGTTGTCAAAAAACAAACGCCCCCCTTCGGTAATCATACTGTACTGTGGATGACAACCAGCTACAACTATCATTTACCATCATTACCGGCACATTAAGAGCAATGCGTCCAGCTCGCAGACCGGTCTGTCAGTCTGAATCTGAATATCTAATAACTTTACCGAACTATGGAGGAGCCTGCGCACATCTTACCTCATTATTTCGATTTTCCAAAAAGTCGATCCATATTGAAAGTTGGCAAGATATTCACAGATTTGGACTTTTTTCCGGTATTTTACAAATACGAGAGCAGCTTTTTCTTTATTTAAAAGAAAAATGAATCTGTTTAATATTTTTTTTTTACATAGGCTACTTCCATATTGTGTTGAAATGCAAGCTGCATTGGTTCTTGCATTGTTGATAGAAAATCATATTTGTGACAAAGATTTTTTTTTCTCTCTAAGGTAATTCATCTGTTAATTTAATTTAATTACAGATTAATTATCAAATAAAGTAGGAAGTGATTAGCAACCTCTGAGTGGCAAACTTTAGAAAATTTAGAAAATCGAGATACATCGATCATTTTATCAGTTTAGAATCGATAATCGGTTTAGAATCGAATCGTTGACCTCTGAAACGGAATCGAATCGAATCGTGAGGTGCCAAGAGATTCCCACCCCTACTGGTCACAGCGAGAAGAATAGCTGCATCCTCTCTTGATTAGTCATAAAGTGTTCATGTTGGGGACCGACCCCCTGCTCAGTGATTTGAGCTATTAAGGAGAGTTAGAAAGCTGCTGAGTATAACCACATCCTCCTTGTTTTAAAGGAGTATTCACATCATAAATATGATAATATGTAGAAGAGATGGCAGCTGCTTTTAGCAGACAAACCTTTTGTCTGGACTGAATGATGGCCCTTCTGTCGGCTCTCCTTCATTCAAACCTGTCGTGGAGCTGGTGATTTAGACCATTATAGTGGACAAAGGGACACATACATGCCTGCTGATCAACACACACTCACAAATCAGCTGCAGATAAGTAAAGTGTCTGTGTGTGTCTGTTTGACCTAACACTACTTATACACTTAAACAAAGCGGCCCCCGCTGTTCACTTCCTGTTTGTTCCATGGCCACATTAGAGCAGCTCCCCACACAACACAAAGTCCAAGTCTCTTATCAGAACAGCCAGTGAAGAGACGCAGTCACTGCTTCTGTCTCCTGGACGAACATACATACAGAGTCAGTCCCCGCCTCACAGAGCAGATGAATTAAATTGCAGAGTCCCTTATAGTCTGACACATTCTCAAGGACCCAAAGAAAGCCAATGGAGGCAAACAAACAAAGCCCTGCAATGGTGCCAAATGAGTGGAGAACAGGAGGGCTTCCTAAAGACAAACTAACAGGTCTGTGAGAGCCGGAATTCTTACTGGTTGGTACGTGATCAAATACTTATGTCATGCAATAAACTGCAAAATACTTTTTTACTTCTTAAATCATACGATGTGATTTTCTGGATTTGTTTTAGATTCCATCACTCACAGTTGAAGAGTAATGATAAAAATGACATGACAGGCAAAATCGGCAGTGTATCAAATACTTGTTCTCCCCATTGTATGTGCTGATAACTCAATTCCCCAGTTATCAGATGAGTGCTGTGATGTTAATGCTACACAGACACTGTGGGCTGTGACTGAACAGCTCTTTATTTCATGACATCGACCTCTCCCTAACGGTCAAATCGATCTCAGAATTGATTTGCTTGATTTGGGCTGATTTCAAACTCAAGGTGTTTTGCAGTAAGTGGCACTTGGGTACCTGTAAGAGCTTGACACAGGGGGCGGGGCTAAATAGAGGGTCAATTAGCCCTATCAACTCCTAATATTTCCATAATGATAATTAATAATGATCAATTTTCTAGAATTTTTTCAGTGGAAATGCTCTTCAGTTTCAATCTTAGAAGCCTTTAGAAGTGCATAGTGCAAGTTTAGTGCATAGTGCAAGAGCTGAGGATTAGGGTTTATCTAAAGAGAGGAACATGCATACACAAGATGAGATATAAATATAGAATATAGTGTGGGCGATTTAGAGCATTTTGATGACCCTGTATGATGGACGGGGATCACCCTGTAGTTCATCTATTTTTTTCTCATGAGTTACAAAACCTATTGGAGCCTGAACCCCAATTACAAGATTAGTAACCTACACTTTTCTAACTTAAATGTACAAATCAAAGCCAGAGTCGACTTGTGTATCGCACCGTTAGCTCCTGTAATATTAAGATGAGTCTTTCACCTGGTGAGTTACAACCACTGTGAGCAACTGCAACAACAGGTCAACCTTTTGTGTCACATACTTCATAAATAAAATGTAATGGCAGCTAGTATTTAAATGGCAACCAGTGCTTTGACCCTTTATTATTATTATTATTATTATGCAACTCTCACGATCACCAACCATAAAAATACACAGCTCCTAACCAGAGTTGAATCCCAAACCTCACAACAAGCTAGCAAAAAAGTCAATTTAAGCCATTGATTTACACATGCTAACCAGTTTAGCATTATTCTAGTTATTTAAAACGAGTTATTATGTAACATCCTCCTCCCTGCATGTGCCACGATGTGATGTAATATGAAGTTTGCTTACAGTTTCTACATCATAACTGAGATTACGCTGCTCAGAGTACTCTGCCCCATAGGCTACTCTTTTGGTTGATATTATTTTCTGATAGTGTGAGGTGAGCTAAAGGATTATTTTCAGTGATATGTATTTTCACTAACAACTCGTCAAATGTTTTCCAGGACGCGTGGAAACGCTGTGCTGGAAAACCTGCGGGGCAGTGGGGGGCTTTGACTCTTACCCATCCCGATCAGATGCTTAGATACAATGTCTGAGAAAAAGCATTCCAAATCAGAACCCAAATGCCCCTGAGAGTCATCGCAGTGCTCAGCTAAGTAAAGCTGCATGTCTGATACCGGGAAAAGAGAAAATGAACCGATAATCAGATCTGCGAAGGAGACTAGACTGAGGTGAGGTGCAGTTCAATTTGTGTTAACCCCAAGTCCAGCAGAAAACACACACAGGCACAAAGGATCTGTGTGTTTGATTGACATCTGTCGGGCTGCCACAGTGTCTGCACTACAGCAAAGGGCCCGAGAGGCAAGTAAAGAAACCCGCTGTAGTCCTCATATCAAAAGGAAGAGGGCACATTGACAGTCGTGGTGCTCGACCTATAAATCTGTTTAAACACTAACTAGCTATGTAGCCTTCAGTTTGTCTCCTTCAACAAGCTGCGGGATAAGACTTTAAAAGTTCCATTGCAATCAGCAACAATTGTGAGCACTCTCCCACCAGCGACATAAATCATGATCAGACCTTGAGATATGACGTTTTAGAAAGTGGACAAACACGCTTTTTACAGAACCAGGGAAAAGGTTTCTGAAACTACACCTTGGAAAAAACGGGAGAAAACATTTGAGATGGTAAGACATGGAAAAAGGCCCCGTGCCAAAGAGAGTCTGTTAGTGCGTAAAAAAGGTCCGAGCTGCTTACATGTCGGGCCTCCCGGCGCAGCCCCTCGGTGTTCCTCAGCCAGCAGCGGCTCAGCTCGCTCAGCTCCAGGATGGGCTGCACCTTCAGCCTCACCGCGTCCCCCGACTGGCGGATCATCTCCACGATCTCGTCACGGCTTTTGTTCTCCACGTTCCGTCCGTTGATCTCCACCAGCCGGTCTCCCGGCACCAGCCCCAGTGCCAGGTCCTTGGTGCCGGCGCCTGGCTCGGCGAAGTGGACCACGCGCCTGTAGACTCCTCCGTCGGGACTGCGGTCCAGCATTGTGGTGCGACGTAGAGAGAAGCCAAAGTCACCCGTGTTGCGGCGTTGGAGCTCCAGCTCACGGATCTCCGGTACGCTCGGGGCGACCACAACGGGCAGCTGCAGCTGTCCAGGAAAGGCCTTTGCGACCACTTCAGGGATGCAAACTTTTCGGACGGCTGCCACTTCCGTTGGCTGCTGCTTTAGGCTGTGGGTGCGGAGCATGCTGAACACTTTGCTCTCCACCTGCGGGGAAGGGGCAGCAGAGTTCTGGCCCGAGGGGGTGGAGCCCTCCGATGGGCTCTCCTCTTTGCTCCTCTGAGAGAAGGAGAAACGCTTCATCATCTGACCCACCTGCGAAGAGTTGGTCTTGGCAATAGAACCGAACTGAGCCACGCGGTCCCGTACTGAGCTGCGATGGCCGTCGTGTCCCCCTCCACCCTCGCCCTTCAGGTCGTCAGTGGAGCTGGCGGCGCTGAGCTGGTCATCCAGGACCATGCTGCTGCGGTTACTCAACCCCTCTGACTCAATATCAGTGAGGGTGTGCTCGTTGCTGCTGGCCACCTTGATGGGAATTGGATTAGAAATCTCCAGCTTGGTCTTGGACTCCCGCTTGGCTTCCCTCTTTAGGTTGAAGAAGCCGCGCCGCATGCTCATCTCCTCCAGGCTGCGCAGCTCTGCTGCAGACATCCTCTCCTTTTTATCTTTCTTCTCCTTCCTACTGCCATCCCTCTCCTTATCCTTTTTCATCAGGTTAAACATGGTGACAAGCGGAACGCTGAGTTTCTGTCCACTGAGGCTCTATTTTGTCATACAGAGACGGAGGTCCACTTCACAGGTGCTTTTGTTGTGACCAACAGGGACGAGTCCCCTAAGGAAAGAGACAAGGAAGGCAGTGTTTTAAAAGGGAAATCTGAAGCTGGACAAACTCATACACCCATACATTATTGAATATAAAATATTTGCAGACAATTATATAATCGCACGGTTACACCGTTTTTAAATTTTTCTTTTTGTGAAAAGTGAATCCAGAACAAACATGGACTTCCAAGAATAAAAAGTCCCTGCGCAGTAGATCCCAGCTGAGTACTTGACCAGGGACACATGCTACTGACCATCATTTATTGGTGGATGGATAGATTATTGATAGATGTTTATGCTTTTCCCTGATAAAAGAAACATTTATGCTGGGATCTGCTAAGAAAAAAGAAAACAGACAGCTATGACATGACAAGTCATGTTAACTTGCCTGTTATAATGTCATGGCTGTTGAGGGTAACTTTATTGCCTTGGCAGTCTTAAAAGGTTCTATATTTGATTAAATTATTTCTTATTTAATTAACTTTTGAGAGATTTACAACACATATTTCAAATTCTACTGTGTACATACTTCTTTTAAAAAGCATGTTATTTATTTAAAGTGTTGCATGAATAAAGTTTGCAATACACAACTTTTGAATTCATTATTGAATTTTGCGCATCGCAATGCGATTAATCCCGACTAACCACAGAGATTCATGCGATTAACAATTCTTATCGTTGCCCAGCACTAGAAATAATATATGTAATCTCACCGACACTAAATATATCACCAATCATTTTGATAATGAATCCCAATTCCCGATTCCCATATCTAACGTAAAGAATTAACAATGGGTAATTACTTCTGACAGAAGTGACAAGAATATTAACTGCTCTACTGTTGCATCCCACTAGCATCTGGCTTTTGAATATTTCGTACACATTTACTTTGCAAGACAGTGTCGCACAGCCTGTCTACATGTGTAGCCGGCTCTGTAAAGTATAGACCTCCAACATTCCTATATGACAGAGGCCCATTGGAGGAGCTTAGTTGGGAAACACATTCCTGGCCTCATCTTGAACTCTCCCAACCATCAAAAATTAGGAACTATCTGCCACAAAGGGGCACAAGCACATCCACTGCTGCCCTGGTTCTCATGAGCAGCTGTGACACACGGAGAGGTCAACAAGGGCTGCGTGCAGAACAAACGCCTCTTCCTCTCACTGGGATGGAGGCTGTTACGCTGTACTCACGGCCAGAAGGGGTCACAGGTCAACATCAGCCCTGACAACTCAACACAGGTCACAACACACTAAGAGCCCAGAGCTCCGGGAACAGGACAAAACCTCCCAGAATGCAGCGGTGATCATCAACAACCAGTCTGACCGACCACCACCAGGTTTCCGAAAGGTCTCGGGGACTTTCTGGTGTTTAACCGATGGCGGGTCCGCCGTGAAGGGACAGCTCTTACGTTGGATGGACATTGGCGTCACGTCCTGCCAATAAGAAGCTGGGGGTCCCCACAGTGCCCGCTGTTTATTTCTGTTTTCATCTACACAACTGGCCCACTAACGGACACAAAGCAGCATTTCACAGCTCAGCCTCGCATTCAATGGGCAGCAAGGGGACGAAAACAATGACAGGGCTAATGTAGGTGTAGCTTTTCGGCTACATTAGCTAGCCGGGCTACCGATTTCGCTTGTGCGGATATCGTTACCTAATTACACATTTTTGCGTTTTTATTCCTCCTCAAACTAAAAAAAACACAAACCGAAAGTAATGCATTAAGTTGTTGTTACACTTCCCAGTGAGTCGTCTTGCTAGCTAACTTGAATAGCCTCATTTGCTGTAGTCACAGCCTTAACGTTAGTTCTTTGCCCTCATTTTTGGTGAAGCAAACCCTGGAACAACGCACTGGGATCCTGTGAGAATGTTCCAGCCCCACTGACCGCTTGACTCAACACTGCTGTCTTCAAACAAAAAGTGTCCCGTCACTTCAATCACACATATTTATTTCCAAAAAGGAATACTCACTGTTCTCCAGCACAGAAAACACTGGGTGCAGCTCAGCTGGATCAGAAGGGACAGAAGCCGCAGACTGGCTTTTAGCTAACGTTATCATAGCCGGCTGCTCCCAGCCCTGCTCTGAAGGTTCAGTGCAGCAACAAAAGCTGGTCAACCAGCGACCCCTGCCGGACAAGCGCTGCAATCGCAGCCTGACGGGCGGACCATCACTAACCCATACACACAGGCACACACACACACACACACCGGTCAAAAAATATAAAACAAAATGATAACAATAACAATTTTAAACAACTTGTAAGGATAACACAAAAAAATAAAAAATAAATCTAGCGGAACCGACACTGTGTTCTAACCACGCCCCAACAGAGATATAGATGGGCAGATGTGGTACTGGTGTAAAGCTCAAGTCAGATGCAAGTCTGTTGCAGCTGGAACAGGCGACGGAACCACCAAGACATCAGCCCAAAAAAGGTAAAATTAAGAGAATCTAAGGAGGCCCTGTGGTTTACAAACACTATGGTTGGCCTTGAAGAGAGACCCCAGTCTGTGGAGTGTCCTAAGATACTAGCGGCCGTATGAAGCCCACTAAACTGACAAGATACTTAGAACGCCCACCCTGATCATGTGAAAATAATCAGATAAAAAAAACTATGATTATAAAAATGACGATGCTGCTGTTAAATGTGGGGAAATATGTTGTTTGCACATAAATTAAGTTAATTCTATTGCTATTTTATTTATATATAGATAAACTTACAATGCCATAGTGGGCCAGCGAGCCTGTCCCAGAGGTGGGTTCTTTCCAGGGAGGACTGGGGAGGACATTGCTGGAGTCCCAGGTGTTTAATTGTTCATTTTATTCCTTTTTTATCTTATCAAGTTCAACCAGGGAAGAAGACATCACACCGAAACACATGTTGCAATATTCTACTTTAATTTCAACGTTTAACAAACATTATAGTTTCAACACTTTTTTAGATGGCGACTAATCTTCTGTTGGACCTCTTCTGGTTGCCGTCTGAATTAAGTGTGTGTACTACTGACTAATTCACTTTTCAGCTTCACCTGATAAATGTTAGTGGGTTTCCCCAGTTGCAAGAGTACAGGATATAATCATACAGACATTTTTACTTATATATAAAGTATATGTCAAGTAGAAATGATTCATTAATAAACGCAATAGTTTTTGTAATAGGCGGCATTCTGGGTATATGATAATGAAGAGCATCCACAGGTCCTGGATCTCTACAACTGTACGGAGGTCAGGCTGACGTCTCCGTTGATCTCCAGGGTGTCGATGCGTTGGAGGTGAGTGAAACGATGCTTGAAGTCGTGTGCCAGCATCCCGTTGTTTAAAATCCTGAAGGACTGTTTCTCACAGCCGATAGTCAGCTGGAAAGAAAACCAGGGCATTTTGGGATCACATACTTTGAAGAGCCTCCATGACATCTGGAAAACTAACAAACTTGCCACAGTGTCTTTTTTACTGCCACATAGTGTCTTTTAGGCATATCTGACTCCAGTCTGGAAGGAGGTGGACCACAAAATAAAGTGAGCCACCTTCTGAAACTTGGAATATGGATAGGTGTGACCCTAAATGATGTAGTCTTCTTGCAAGATTTTAGAGTTCGGAAAATCTGTCACATAATGCCATTAGCCAAAAAAAGAAAGATATTTCTACAGTGTGAATCCTTCCTACGTTAGTATATCTGTGTCCTCAGTACTTTTTAAAAGTTTGTTATTGCTTCACCACAAATGAAAACATCCAAGTACAATAATGCCACTTTTTTAGTTCAGCATCAGTTAGTCTTTGATCAACCTTCTCCTCTGTTAAAAAAAGCCATGAACGCGTACATCCGAATGGCCTCCGCCTGGTAACACACTCCTTCCCCCTCCACTTGGCTTGACGGATGTGAAACATATGAAGCTAGCATGCAAGGTTTGGCTCTATACATCATGATGTATGTATGATGTATAGACCCAATTTACATCATGGAATGATGTACAGAGCCAAGAGAGTGAATGCTCTCTGAATCCACGGATGTAGACAACAGCGCCTAGCTCAGTGACGGAGTACCACCTGGTGAGTGTGAACAATAAGTGGCGTGTTTGCAGCCATACCAGGAAAGGCTTCCCACGGTGGAAGGGCATCCCTCCGCCACGCTCCTCTGGGCCCCACTGCTCGCCCTGTTTGGTGTTTCGAACCACGACATTCTCGTCTAGACGTGGATTGTAATGCAGAGCGATGCCAGAGGGGTAGCTCAGATTCACACTGAATCTGAGAGGAAACAGACAGGAAAGAGTGAGTGACATCACACTACACTGGGCCTCCTGCACGGATGCCTTTTCAGTCTTTACAACGCAAACCGTATTGGTAGTAATTTTACTATTAAATCTCAGTTTATGGTTACGGGTAAGACTACCTGCACAATGAAAACACTCATGTGATCTGATGTGTCTGATGGTTACGGTGTATCTCGAAGCTCTGGAATCTGGTTCTATTCTAGTATATTGTTATATTGGACAACTCACACCAGAAGTGCGTAATAAATTGCATCATGCGCGATAACGAACTGATCACAGACAGGGTTGTGAGTTGTACTTTTCTCTTGTTGTTCATTCAAATAGTATCTGAGCATCTATTCTTACTTTGTATCTTCAGGTGCTACCCTTGATGGCTGTAAGGGAAAAATGACTTAAATACAATTGTTTACTCTTTTCAAGATATTAGGCTGCAGCTGATGTTATATTAACTCCAGTTATTTTATTTAAAAGACATATTTCTGTGATTAATTGACCTAATTGAAGGCACTTGCCAGTGCATTATTTTATCCTCCTCATAAGAATTTGATATTGTAAAATTGCAATAGAAAGTCAATAAGTGTCTCTATTCTTGTTCTACAACTGTTTAAGTACAAAAACAATTATTTTATGCATAAGTACCTAAAAAACCTAATAAGATATTATCAAATACACGTGGGCAAGACACTTAATCCCAACAACATTGCTCCTGTAACTATTATGTTTATTAATGTTTTTGTTTGTTACTGATGGGAACTGTGCATGTGTATACACTGTACACTGTTACCAGTGTATGAATGGGTGAGAATGGGTGAATGATGATATGTAGTGTAAAAACTCTTTGGAGTTCGGGGAAACAGAAAAGAGATATACATGTACAGTCCATTTAAATGTCCAGGTAGAGTATAGGGTATGTCTTAGCACAGTGTCTAGACTACGTCTAGGCACAGACATTAAGTTTAGACACAGACGTCTATCCTTCTTTTTCTTAAGCACTCAACGTACGCAGTCCTCCGTCTCTAGGGGACGTTTTATCTTTTTATATAAACAGTGTCAGACCTTGTGGCATTGGGGAGAACCTTCCCCTTGATAGTGATGGTCCTTCCAGATGTAAGTCCACCCCCAATGGGGCTCTTATATGGAACAGCCTGCACAAACACGGAACGGGAGAATGAATTACACAGATATACGTTCTTGTTTTAAAATTATTCAATTACTGAAGAGTATAGTTTGTTGATAGATTAAAGATAAAACTGCTGCAAGGTCTATGTACCTTTTGATAGTTAATTTGACCATTTAAACCATAAAACGAAAGCATCAGGAAGCACCACACTTGAAAAGTGTGTGTCTGTGGAGAGCAGTGCAGCAGCAGTTGTTTTTTTGTTTTTCAGGAAGTGTTAAACCACTTTTAGAGGCCTGTTTTCCTGATTCTCATTTTGTATGGGCCCATGATTATTCTCTCTCTCTTCTAGCTCAATACTCAGCCCAGTATATGGTATTTCTGAAAATCATGTTCACCTCAAACCATTTCTCTATTTTTTAATCGATCATGTCATGGCCGAACGTGCTTTACTTTCGTTATTTATTTCATTTATGTCCCGTTTTATGTAAATTACTGAATACAACCCTAAAATGGCTTTAGGAGTGCTAACGCAACCCTGCCTGATACTCACAGGCATGGCAGATGGGTATCCTGGCTGGGATGGGAATCCGGGCTGGGAGGGGAATCCGGGCTGGGAGGGGAATCCGGGCTGGGAGGGGAATCCAGGCTGGGAGGGGAATCCGGGCTGGGAGGGGAATCCAGGCTGGGCGGGAAATCCCGGCTGGTAGGGGACACCTGGCTGCGAGGGGAATCCAAACTGCGGTGGAGCCGCCGGATAAGAAGGGAAGGCAGCATTGGTGGGAAAGGCTACATGTGCGCCAAACACAGGCTGGGCGACAAACGCCGGCTGTCCAGGGAATGAAACACAGAAGAAAGACACTGTCATCATCCTTCATCCTTTGATCAAGCTGGTCACTGACTAAGTGGAATTGTGCATTAGGTTTGTTATTTTTTGCAAAAACACAACGAGTGCCATACTTATTTCTGGTAAACATGCTCACCATAGGAATCTGGAAGGCAATAGAGGAAATTTCCACTTTCCCAGCTACTACGATGGTGTCCACCCGGTGAAATGGGATACGGTGTCTATACTCCATGAAGTGGGAGCCATTGATGTTCAGCTGGAGAAAAAATATTGGATACAAAATTGGAGTTGTGAAAATACAAATTACAAAAATACAAAAATTCATAAAAACCTAACAACTGTGTTTTAAACGTGTTAAAAGCTAGCTCAATCAATGCCATTCTTTGCCTTCCTTCCCCCTTCCCTAATACTATGAGCGATCCAAAATAATTAATTAAATTTGCTGATCTCTCAAACTTGAGAACAAACTGTGTTTTAATTATTCTTTGCATAATCATCTCTGTACTATAACTTGCAGAATTCAAAATGACCTGTTTGCATTCACTAAGGAGAGAAGAGTATTTGTAAATGCCCTGCCCGCATTCAGTTTCTGGAGTTGTGCACAAAGTTGCTTATTTTCAGAAGTCCGACCTGGTAGGAATCACGGGACAGAGTGATGCTGAGGCTGAAGGTACAGCCAGCAGGGAATGGGGAGTTGGGCTTCCTCTCTTCACTCCCCCAGCTGCCAGCCTGGAAAGAGTTTGTCACCACATAACCAGGAGTGGTATCATACCGAGGATTCAAGTGGAGAGCAATGTCTGCTTTGGGCCCGGAACCACACTGCAGGTTCACATGGAACCTGGAGACAAATCCAAGACAGTGCTTAGTGATCTACAACAAACAATTGTTATTAAATAGATTGAATATATTTACGTTTCGTGCTACCCAAAAAATAAACAGGAGCAAACTTTTTTTAGGAACCACTAGTGGCACTATGAAGCAATGTGTTGATAGTAATAAAAGCACATGTAGATACCTGCAAATAATACATGCAACTGAGCAAAAACTATAAGCTGATGAAGACAATGTGAAACAGTCAAAATCCCCAGAGCAAGTGAGTAAATGAGATTAGGTTGTCTTGTACACAGCTTTGCAAATGTTGCACTTGTTCATAATGCCTCAAGGACTGTTTGACCTGCACGGAGCGTTTTTTTTTTTTTACAAAAAAAGCCTAAATTGGGGCTATGCACAGATTAATGCAATTAATTCAGCATAATATGTGCTTGTGACAAATAACCATGTTCTACTTCTAAAGATATTACTAACAATACACCCAGCACGTTTTATAAAACATTAACTGCACAGAGAATTGATAAAAAGTGCAGTCTGACCTATCGGCTCTTGGCATGACTCGTCCACTGATGCTGATGGACTTCCCCTCCTGCAGACCCCCATGGATGGATCCAGTGAAGGGGATTATCTACGAGGGACAAGGCTGAACAGGTAAACAGCAGCACTCACTATGCTTCTTATTTCTGCTATAGACCCTCCTCAGGCACATTTGTGATGTAGGATATTTGGTAATTTAGATTACATTGACTGTTGGGAGGAAATAGCATGATTAAGTCCATCAGTGGACGTGTTAAGTAGGGTGCTTCCTACGGCCTGAGCCTACATTCAATCGTCATGCTATTCTTAAGGTGCACATGTGCAGACACACCTGCATTGTGTGTGACGACCACTGACGACTCATTATGAACCTCCCATATGGTTTGACCGGCGGTTTGAACTGGTTCACTCTCTCGACTTACACATTAAACCATTCTCGCTGCACATACCTGCAGCGTCTCAGTTCTGTCTAACAGTTAGACACAATGGTTCTTAATACACGGTTCAGTTAGGATCGAGTCTAACTGAACCGTGTATTTTGGACCATTTTAAGCTTCCATGACCTAACCAGTTAAAGGTTCCACAGGGACTAAACATTTTATTATTATGTGTTTGAATTACCTTTATACTTAATGCAGTATGTCTCCCTTCCTGTGGCATCTACTTAGACCCAGTTTTTAGTTAATTTAGGACAAGACATTTTAGACGTGTTTTTAAGTATTTTATGGATTAAACAATTATAAAGAATGATTTTACATCGCTGTTTTGTGATTTTCCATTGTGCATCAAACTTTATTATTTTCTGTACCCTTTTGGGGTTATACGAGGCGTAGCCGCTAAAACGGAAGTACGTAGATTTTCACAGTAAGAGTCAACGCAATGGAACGTTTGTATGCTAGAAAGCGATGCATGCGGTTACCAGAGTAACATTAGAAGAAAGGTTCATTAATCAATGCAAATAAATAATCCTGGTCCGATGGGATGTGTGTTAGCAACAGTAGCACACTGGTTGCTCATGGTTCAGTACAAGGAGACGCAGAGTAACGTGTTCACATCTTCACCAGTAGGTGGCAGAATACGTGTATTACCATAGATTTGATTATATTTAACTGGTTAAGTTATTTATCTTTTATTACAGATGTTATTAATTATGTTCATTTCATGTTGTTTGGGGGGTTCATGGACTGGACTGGTCTGGACTTTACTAATCACGACTGCTACGGAATAAATACCACACGGGACGTATTTTATCTCTCTATAGGTTGGATTTATCTCGGAAATACCGAAGATAATTTAGACCATAGTGATGTCAACATCCAGCTGCAAAGATCCTGCGCATGCGCATATCTTGAGGTCATAATTTCGACTTTCTAACCCAGGGGTCTCAAACTCGCGGCCCGCGGGCCAATTGCGGCCCTCGGGACGATATTTTGTGGCCCCATCCTTAATATGAAAGTGTAATGTTAGTGCGGCCCGCAAGTTTTATACTGTAACCCCACTGTCAGCTGCTGTGTGGGACATGTTATGATGTTCTGGTTTCCTACTGTGTGCTTGTCCAGTGAACGTGGCATGCATGTGACTGACATGGGGGGCGGGTCGTGTGTGTCGGCCGAGGTGCAGAGAGCAGGAGGGTGAAATTCAGTTTCCTGCCCTCTTTCGCGCAGGTGATCATGTGACTAACCGTTAGCATCGCTCGTTTAATAAAGTTTTCCTTTACGACTAACACTAACAACACATGAAGCATCTGACGTCACCGACGAGCGTCTCCGACCATTACTACGCAGCTTCGATTCACGTAACTTCACGTTTGGCTATAAAGGAATTCCACGGTCACGTGACCTTAGGTCTCCCCCGCTGAGTTAAAGGAGGACTAGTGTTGTAGTCTCATTCGGACCGATCCCCCAGGGTGGGGTTCAATGACTGCTTTTGAAAGTGAGTGTTAAATTGTGTTATTGTCGACCATGCCGTTCGGACGCTAGTCTGGCCCGCGTTCGGTTGAAGTGGGCTGCATCTGGCCCGCAGCTGATTTGAGTTTGAGACCCCTGTTCTAACCCTTTTTGTGTGGCGGAAATGGGTCCGGGTCACAAACTTTTCCAGTGGCCCGTTTTTCGACTTGGTTTTTCACTTGAATAACGGAAAAAGGAATCGTGTTTGGTTTTTGGTTTATCAATTGAAAAACGAAAGAACGAATGATACACGGATTGCTGCCCACTACCGTTTTACCACTTTTGGTTTCAAAAGGGGAAAACGGTGTTTTCGATTAATGGTTTTTACGGTAAAAGGGACTATCAAAAGGTACACCCTCAACTAATTATGGGTTGTGTGTCCTGTCTGCTTCGATGAAGCTTTTGTTTTTTTTTTATTCCTCGGGCTAAATATTTCCTTGGCCAATTTAAATTGTACAAATTCCGCAGTACGCATTCATGTCTGCGCGTGCATGTTAACGGTTGTCCTCATATTCACTTTGTCAGAGATACGATCTGCATTTGTTAACAGTCCCCCCTCAACTGCCACTTCTCTTTGTGCCACTTCTCTTTGTATATTAATTCCGAATATATCGACATTTTTCAACCTATTCAATTTACAACAGTACATGTACAACAGTACATTTACAACAGTACATTTACAACAGTACATTTACAACAGTAAATTGAATAGGTTGAAGAATGTCGATATATTCGGAATTATTTATAGAATGTAAGAACCGATCTGGATGGTACGTGAGGACTCGTGCAGCTCGTCCGGTAGACCGGTACCAGGGCGGACCCATGTAACCCCGTGCGGGACCATCGCAGCGTTTCTCAGGAAGATAAAGTCGGAATAACTTACTGGGTTATAGAAAGGTTGCTGCTGATTTAAAGCCATCGTCCCGGGTAGAACTGCGTCTGCTGAGCTGAGGTGTAGAAACGTGGCGCAATTCTGACGCAAATGGTTGACTATTCCTACCTACGCTTCTTTTGCATAGTTCAGTTTCGATTTCTTCCAGTGGGCCCTCCTACCAACTGTATCAGGGCAGTCGTGCAGCTTCCGTTAAGCACTTTTTTTCATACATGTTGTTTAAACTGAAACCGCTACAGTCCCAACAAACCACAGCTAAATCCTCGTTCAATTGAATAACCACTGCACTGTCGTAATTAAATATCTTAATTTATACCTATTCCACCCCACTGTAGCCTACATACTTTTATTTCACTTTAATTACATGTATTATGTTCTGCTGTGCTATTTTATTATACTCCGTATATATTGTGCATTTTTCAAAGAAAACGTCTTGCTTAGTATATCGAAGACCGGTAAAGACCAAACATGATGACACCATTAGATTCACATATCTTCATGGATCCCTTTGAGACCTTTATTGACACTGCTCTAACAGCACAGAGCATGTGAAACACCCAGCGTGGTTACATGGATTCCAATAACTGGCTTAGTGGGACTGAAATCCGTTTCATGTAAACACCTTTGTCTGACTATGTGCGGTCCGACTACGATCCGACTAACACCCCTGGATAACTCGATCCGATCCAGTTGATAGTTCGACTATTGCGGCATGTAACGGTGAATTGGATAAGAAACTGGACTTTGCGTCTTTGCGCATGCTTGAGATCCCAACGGCGTCTTCTCTCCGTTATCAAATCAGCCAATAGCGCCATTCGCATTCGCTGTGCTCCTATTAACATCATGCACAGATAGTAGAGGGATGTAGCTTCACCTTGCTCTCCGTTCGCCATCTTTCTCCTAATGTTGATGTTGTTGTTGTTGGTAGTGGTGAAGTGGTCAAGCGGAAATGGCTGCATCACAACTAGTTGTAATGAAAACAGCGCCACCTATCGTATCAGATATGACGTGCTTTCGGCCAATGATTCGATTTATTCACTGCCATGTATATTGGGATAATAGCACTTGCCCCGAAAGATAGAATAGTCCGACTAAGCAAATATTGGAATTATACCATCATGTAAACACACTGACAGTGACACTGAACATCACGTCTACTTTAATAAAGGGGTTACTTGAGATGATGCAATGGTGCAGATATAAGAAGCCGGCAGTGAAAGTAACTGAAAAGAATCACAGGTTCAGTGGAAAGATTGCCCAACCATTACTGGAAGAGATGTGTTGTCAGAGTGGGTTACGCAATGTCCATTTGAGAAGCCCTCCTTCGTCCTGTCTGTTTTTTCGCTAAACATCCTGGAATGACTCATGTGATACAATAGAGAGCCTGGCTGTAAAGATTCAGGGCACAGGAGGTCTCATCATGTGAACAAATAGAGCAGAGTTGTATTTGTGTGAATAACCCACAATGCCACAGAGCTACCATATACACACTGACTATACTGTAGGCCTGATATTGAACTGAAGTCCAAAGTACCAAATAAGGAAACCCCAGCACGGCAGAAACAGGAAGTGTTAGTCTCAGTAAGCTATTGTTAACTGGTAACGAAATGGCTGATAAGAAGAATCGTTTCAACTTTTAAGGAATTTATTATAAAGTGAAAACAAAGAAAACTGCATCAAACAAAAATAACAACCTCTAACAAGTCTTTAGAGAAGCTATATTTAACATTCCGAACATTAATATCTTATCAAACAGGTATCATATACAGTTATAGAGGAGAACAGTCTACCTGAGCAGAGAAAGAAGTCTCTCTACTTGTGTCTGTGTTCTCAGGATCTAAAATGTCATGCATAAGGGGACATATTTCACTGATAATCCTAAACATGTGGGATTTTGAGGGTTCAAATGACGAAACTCCAGACGGACAGAAGACAAAAGTATTTAATGAAGGAAACTGTCTCTTGCTTCCCCCAACACATCTTGTACAATGGGTTTCTACAGGCATTTGTACAGGTCATTAAAGGTGTCAAAGGCCGTGTCCACGCCACTGGACATGTAGACGTCTCCTGGTGAGTTCAAGTTAACTAGTTATTTTGAGTTTTTACAGAATACGGTGGTGCAATGAGGTATATAGTCGAATATTTTGTTGTAGCGACATTTTTTTGTAGGAATTAAGTTGAGCTTTTTGATAACGTAAGATTAATATAAGACTTTAAGTTTTGGAATCATCATCTTTATTTTCTGCACCCACGCCTCACCTCATGATGAGAACCTCTCGAGACATCACAGTGTACAGAGAGAAGAGAAGAGGGGAAGTGGAGGGCCATATTGACAGCAGACCTGTTGGCTTTGTAGGCGAACTGCAGGGGTGGTAAGGGGTGGCATCAAATATAACATACATGCATTTTGGTAGATTACATTACATTGAATACAATCATGGCTGTGTATTGTGATTGTTCTATTGATTACAGTTTCAAAATTACAGTGGTATTACACTGTTCTCATTTCTTTATTGATTACGTTGTTTCAGAATCATAGCTGTATACTGGTGTACAATAAATGCATTGTATTTATTGTTACAAATCAACATTTATTAATTTATAAACCGGGTCTTCAGTTTGTTTATAATTTTCCAGAATTTCAATTCGGAATACAGTACTTTAACTACTTTTGAGAGCAAGCTTTTGAGTGGGAAATACCGAAAGTTCAGTTCCCCATCAAATGACCCAAATCAGACAGGTCTAGGAATGCGTTCCAAACTTCTCAGGAGAGAAGTAGCCTGGGCTGCCAGGAAGTCACAGATAACAGTCACATGACATGCAAATAAGAAAGTGCTATGTTGTGGTGATGGTGCTCTTTATTCACCAGTAAAAGACAAGGATTCTTTTTACAGTCTTTTTTAGACAATAGCAGGTATTAAGAGAGATAGGAAGAGAGAGGTGAAGAGCGACCACAAGTACGCTGCAACACACCTTATTGTTGGTTTAGTTTCATTTGTGAACACAGCCTTCCTGGCCCCTTTCACTTCCTTGTTGGTAACGGGGGAAATCACTTTTTTTACAGTAGGGGAAAAAAGTTGGGCCAGTTCTTCTGTTCACGCTCACATGCACTAAAAGGCCATGTGGCTGTGTGAACAAATAGAGGAGCTCTGATAACACACACACACAAAGGGAGATAATCTCTCTCTTTGTGTGTGTTATCAGAGCTCCTCTATTTGTCAGAGCTCCTCTATTTGTTCACACAGCCACATGGCCTTTGTGTTGCTGCACTAGATCTTTACATAAACCTTAGGTGTTTGATGAGAAATTAATGTCAGAACGGACGCTTCATTTTCCATTTGGTTGTAAATTGTCCTAAATGTAATTTGAGTCACCTTCTTGTCAGAATTTCGTAAACACTTTGTGCTTTACTACCTGCATGTATACTAGGTATGTTATACTGCATAACAGTGCATCGACATGGACTGCACATTAAGGTTGTATGATCTGCACCTTGGTTCTGTAAGAAAAAGAGCACGCAGAGTCAATGGAGATCAGCTTTAATATCTTCAATTGTTCAAAATATCACTGCATTATGTACAAAATAACCGAGTTTACACTTTTTATTCATCAATGGGAGTAAAGTACCAATGGAAATCTAAATCGAAACCCTTGTGCAAACACTGTATCAAAAACCTGACCCTAACCCTCTATATACATATATGTATAGATCAATTCCATGCTGGTGAAGCCCAACACATTCACTGGGCAAATACCATACACGGTCTCTCTCTCTCTCTCTCTCTCTCACACACACACACACACACACACACACACACACACACACACACACACACACAACCTGCTCAAAAACATGATGCTGTACTGGAGTGTACATAGGAAAGACAAGTGTCGATACCAAACATTTTTGTCTATTATTTCCAGTAGTCATCATCTCATCCTTATTCAAAAGTAAGTCTGAACAAACCGCTCTGATTAAATCTCAGTGAGCGAGTTACAGTACATCTCCTTGGTTTGCTCTTTGATCCACTAATGACGTATGACCGGATAAAACAGGATGTCATGTGACAGCAATCCAATGGGGCCCAACATACCAACCAAGCCGGCAGAAGGAATGTTACATCGTAGGTTTCATTGTAGCCTCAGATCGTCATGATTGTTTCACCCGTGTCCAATCACCTGCACTGTCCCAGTGTATTTAAGCCATGTGTCTCTTTTATCCCTGGTTGCGTCATTGAATGTTGTTCTTAAAAGGACGGCACTGCGTTCGTGAGTTTGTGAGTTCCTGGTCCCTATCCTGTCTGTGTTTTGCCCCCAGGCATTCTGATTTTGATTAACAAAGCAGTTTTTGCATTTGAGTCCTTCTTCCACTACCTGTTGCGACACATAGCTTCTACTCCTTTGTCACGTGACCCTCTGCTTGTTCGCCCTTAACAAAATCCTACATCCTGTCAGTTGGGCTGACATGCCTCACCTGTCAGTCCAAAAGCTCTGCATACAGAGCTTGTACTGCATATAATTAATCAGATTGGACTCTGTGTGCAAAATCAAGATAACAAAACTGAATAGAGATGAGGATCACTAGCAGAGGTGTCAAACATATTCACATTCATTACTCAAGGAGAAGTATAGGCACTAGGGTTTAAAAAGACTTTGTTGAAGTTGAAGTCAAACTCAAGCTTTTTTCTTAAGTAAAAGTATAAAAGTACTGGTTTCAAAACTACTTAAAGTATACGAGTAATGTAAGGGGAAAAAATCCATTAACTCTTAAACTCTTAATGTGTGTGTAACCTCGTCAGTGTTCATGTCAGTCCGTTACAATATGATCGGAGGGTGCCTTCAGATAAAGTGACCCGCCGTTTAGATGATGGAAACATGGCGATATTCAGAGAGGCAATGCTAAAGCAACAGACATATGTATAGACCCGCTATATAACTTAAACAAATAACACAAGAGCCAAGCGTTGTGAAGATTATGTCAATTTTTCCTCAAGCCAATATTAGATTTAATTATGAATACGCACTTGTGGCTCTCAGCTGCTGTATGTACATGTATGGACAGTGTGCAGCAGTAATTATGATTAAGATGATAATACTACAGCCTTTGCTGGGAGAAGAACTGGGTGAGGAGACAGAAGCAAGGAGCGGAATCTGAGGCAGGGACAGAGGGTATGTGGTGGGATGGAAGGGACACCGTAGAGATCAGACACCGTGGAAACAGGCAAAGCTGGATCAGTCGGCATGGAGAGGTGAAGAGAGGAAAATACTGCTGACTGTGAAAAACACTATTTTTATTAAAAAAACACTAAGAAAGCTTAAAGGGAGCAATAACTCCACCCATGCACAGCAGCATGTGAGCCCCACAAGATCCTTCCTCAAAATACAACGTTTATATTACTCACTACTCAGCAGGACAGCTTCAAAATGATCACATTTCTTAACATAATGTTTTTTACAACTAGTTCCATTATGTGACGTTAAAATATAGACGTCTACATCTGATGGATGCAGCCTCCCTTCTGATCTGATGGATGGAGACCTTCTTTAATGCTGGTGTAACTGGTGCTGCAGGATGCTCCACCTTGGATCAGGAATGTGCCCTCTCTTTCCTACTTGTACCTACTCGGCTGTCTTCCAGAAGTGTCCGGGGTGAGACAGCCTGCGGTTGAGCTTAGGGAGCCTCTCCAGCATGGCGGCCAGCAGGATGAAGGGGGGCCTGTTATCGGCTTTATGGGACCAGCAGGTAGACAGGATCTCCTGTTGACATGGAATGAGGAATGCTGTTGTTATGATGGGGAAAAGGGATCCAGTCCTCTGGGTGCTGTGGTATCACTGTGTTATGAAGCAGACATTAAGCGCAGTGTGTCACGCCCTAAGCTCCACACAGACCCAAACTAGGACAGTCCTTCTATGTTCTATGTGACGGCCTTACCGTCACCTCCTTGCCCAGGTTGCCGTCTGCCAGCACCTTCTTAACGCCCACATTGCTGCCCACTAGCCAGATTTTAGTCTCTGCGGGCAGGTTGGTCATTGGCCAGTCTCCAACCTGCAGCTCGTACCAGATTGTGCTGAAAATCAAAACATCTGCTCAGGAAAACCGTGGTGACAGTGAACCCACCTTGCAATGTTGGAATTGAAATGTTGGAATTCAGAAGGTGACAAGATGAAAAAACTGGAAGCATTTAAACATTAGCAGATTCACTTAAGTCAAGATGAAGAAAATGCATGGGCAGCTTTAATTCTTCGTCAATAAAGGACATATGTTTTAATGTTACCTTTACTCTAGAATCTAGCAGTCAATGAGTGCCTGCTAGTTAACCAAAAAAAAGTTGTTTAGGCCTGACTAATCAATTATTAAATTAATCAATCAATCAATACCCAAATGCATAAACATCAGCGGCTTTGGAGAAAGGCAGTTTGTCCTCTTCCACCTCTGGACTCATGTTTTGAACAATCTCTGGAGCCAGGTAGTCAATCCAGCCACGAGGTATCCGCAACATGTTCTTTCTCCTACCAAGACACACACAAACACAGCCTGAGTGAAGACAGTGACCGTGGCTAAGAATAGGCACAGGTCATTGGGATAGAAAGATGTACCTCCTACCTGCCTTCCTGTACCACTCCAGCCATCCCAAACAGGCCAAAGTCAGTGATGACCACTTTGTTGGTGTCATAGAACACGTTGTTGGACTTCAGATCCTTGTGGACGATGCTTTTGGCGTGCAGATAACCCATTCCCTGTGTGGGAGCGGAAGAGGAGTGAATTCATAGCACTATCTATCTCTGACTTCCTTCTGCTAACAATAGTCCTCATTGTCTTATTTTCCTCTATTCGACCAGTGATAGAAATAAGTTATTATTCATATGTTTTTAAGTAATTAGGCATTCATTTCTCATCTATGTAAACTTGTAGCTTTCAGATCGGTGCTGAATGCAAACATTAAACCGATACCCGGTTTAATTAAACCGATACCCGGTTTAATGTTTGACCCCCATTCTTTTCAAATATGATTTTAACATTTATGGGTCTTTTGTTATTCAGTTTTAAAAAAGTTGGATCCCTCGACAAGCCACTGTAACTCATCTGTTTGGCATCAGTTTCTGGGATTATCAGAAATAATTATATATTGGTATTGAAATAATTGACTTTCTTTTTCCCTCATACGGATCAAGGGTTTCTTACCTTGACGATGTCCTGTGCATCGTAAAGGTAAGAAATTATTGACATTCTTATCTTTTTCTCTCACACGGATCAAGGGTTTCTTACCTTGACGATGTCCTGTGCAATCTGTCTGATCTTATTGATCTCGAGCATGTGACCTCGTTCTCTTACAACAGAGTAAAGAGTCACACCTTTACAGAAACTGCAGAAAAAAAATAATTCAACATGACATGTGTGCTGGAAATGAGAAGGAACGAGAGCAGGAGTGAAATCTTCTGAGTCGTGCGGCTATTACCTGGTGACGATGGCGAGGTGTGGGGGGGCCATGCAGGCGCCCATGAACAGAATAACGTTCTCGTGCCTGGTCTGCCGGTAGTTCATAACCTCCTTCTTGAAGAGCTTAAGATGATCGTGGTTGTTGCCATCGATCTCCAGGAGGCGAATGGCCACCTCACCGTGCCAGCGCCCCCGATGCACCTTCCCCCAACGCCCCTGGACCAGAGCACAGTGCAGTGTCTCAAAAAAGGCTATTGTAACATTTTATTCTAACACTGAGTGTGTCTATAGTTTAGGTCTGTCTTCACCTTGCCAATCATCTCTCCTAGCTGCAGTTGCTCAAATGGGATGTCCCACTCCTGCAGGTAGACGCTGGTCTGGCTGGCCTTACGGCGGATGGGGCTCCTCCAGCGGCCGACGGCCCCTTGGCGGTGTGTGGTGGCAGGCAGGTCCTCCAGCCCGTCCTCGTCACACGCATCCGTGGAAAGGCTCTGCTCTCTGCTTTGAGGGTCCGCTGCCTCGTCCTTTTCTGCTGGGTAGTCCTCCTCCTGAACCCCGAGGCAAAACCGGGAAGCACGATACGGATTCAACTACCAGAATGATTTGCTTCTATAGTCAATTTAACAACACTTTTTAATAGAACGTAATATTCATCCATCCATCACTCCATCTTCAAACCACTTCTTCTGGAGACCAAAGAGACTAACTGAAGCTACTGTCAGTACTCACCTCTTCTTGCTTTGCTGACATTTGCTGGGTTTCAGTGGCAGACAGCTGGGATACTCTGAGTGAAGAACCACAAGAATTATGAACCGATTAAGTCTGTGGTAAGGTTATTAAGCTCTGTACATACTGCTACTTAAACAATATCTTATGAATGTACTGACCAACAACAATAAAGATCCTTCACATATGAGGATAAGATAAAGAGCAGAAGATAGATTACAGTGTACCTATAAAGCAGCCTGTCCTCTCTGGGACAGTGTGTCGTGGAAACATTGTGTCTGTTTAAACTCATTCATTCCACACATGTCTGCGCTGACACATTGTTACATGTGATTAGCTACGATCAGCCGATCTATTTCTCTTACCCAGACTCATTGCTGCTGTCACACTGTTGAGCAGCAGTACATCTGGAAGCAGGAACATCTGTTGGTAGAGACAACTTCACAATGCTGCACTAGGCTACAAGAGTCACTCTCATCATTCAAAAAAGACTGCACAAATATGTTACACAGTACAAATACATATGCTACTGTATGAATTTGATGATGTTATCGGTTATTGAAGTTATCAGAAGTATGAACCACTGGCACAATGTGTCCCACTTTTGTCTGCATGTCTAAACAGATACAATCTCTGCTTGGCGTCTTCTGTTGGTGTGTGGACTTTTTTACTCCATTCTTTTTGTTGTATTTGCGTGTGTATGTGTGAAGTTGAGCACTCGATGTTTGACGTTTCAGCATTCTTTGTCAGATCTCAAAAGCAATTTTATCTTTAAAAAATGCCCATTGTGTCTCAGAGCTTCCTTAAGCCTCCATGCTGCTGGAATTTACCTTGAGTTGTCAATACAACTGTGGCAAGTGCAGTAATAACTTCATAAAGTGTAGTAATGTAAGAAGGACTAATGTATGACTAGTAGTTTATGAGTTATGAGTCAATCTCAATCTGACACTAGTCTGGGAACAGAAATAGAGCCATATGAAAACATGAACTAAAATAAAATAACACCAGTAACACTCCTGACATCCAAGAAACACTGGATCCTAAATTTCCCGTAATGCAACCACTAGCAGTGCTTGCTAAATGTCCACATCCTTTAAACTCTGCTTCTAGTTTGCCAGGCAGCCAGAGCTGAGAAAATTGCATCAACACATGACCACAATTATTTCCTGTTTTCAGATTGGCACATCTTTCAGATCCTCTGAGGGCTTTTCAAACTAGTTCATTGATCTGGGAACTTAAGCCTCTAACCTCTTATTGTTTCCCTATTGCTTGAAGTAGGAATAAGTATAGCTCTTAGGGAGCGTTTTATCTCATACTATAGTATGTGTTCTCTTGAAGTAATAATGGATCCCCCACATTGATATCAATGAGAGCAGGGGTGCTCAAAACACGTTTGCTATCGACCAGTCGATCTCAGGCAGTACCAGTTGATCACATGCCATCGATAAAAAAATTACGCCATGTCACGCATGCGTGGTCTACTGCGGGAGATGACCGAAACTAATGCTAATGCTAGTTATCCATTCTTGCTTACTAACGGACGCATTTAATTTCAATCCAAAGCAACCCAGGCTGACTCCAGCTTCCCCGTCAGCACGGAGGAATCAGGAAACATTTATTGCCAAAATATGTCAAACATACAAGGAATTTGTCTTGGCGGTTGGTGCGTGACAGTAGACAGTAGAACAATAGACAACAAGACAGCAGTGCACAAGTAATAAAATAAAGTAAAATGAAATGCTAATGCAATGGGTTAGTAGAATAAGGCTATGGGTTAGTATAAAACAAGAGAATAAAGTTAGAGTTAAAAATTTAAAATATTAAAAAAAGTTAAAAAATATTAAGCATAAAGTGCACAAGTGAACAAGTAACAAAGTGACGAGTGACGACAAAGTGACAAATTACAGTTAAAGTGACATGTGCAGTGTGAAGGGGAGTGACCGGTGGAATGTTATAGTCAGTCAGTGGGGGACCGGGCTCTGTTGATGAGCCCGACTGCCGACGGGAAGAAACTGTTCGTGTGGCGGGAGGTCTTAGTCCTGATGGACCTCAGCCTCCTGCCAGATGGAAGGGGCACAAACATCTTTTTAGCTCGCTTCAGAGACCTGGAAGCGAACCGTCCAAGGACGGTAGATTGCAGCCGATCACCCTCTCTGCAGAGCGGATGACACGCTGCAGCCTGCCCTTGTCCTTGGCTGTGGCTGCAGCATACCAGACGCTGATTGAGGAGCAGAGGATGGACTCGATGATGGCCGTGTAGAAGTGGACCATCATCGTCTTTGGCAGGTTGAATTTCTTCAGCTGCCTCAGGAAGAACAACCTCTGCTGAGCCTTCTTGGTGATGGAGCTGATGTTCAGCTCCCACTTGAGGTCCTGAGTGATGATGGAGCCCAGGAAACGGAAGGAATCCACAATAGTGACGAGGGAGTCACACAGGGTAATGGGGGAAAGTGGGGTTCTGTTCCTCCGGAAATCCACAACAATCTCCACTGTCTTTAGAGCGTTGAGCTCCAGGTTGTTCTGGCTGCACCACGACACCAGATGGTCAGACTCCCACCTGTAGGCGGACTCATCCCCACCAGAGATCAGTCCAATGAGGGTGGTGTCATCCGCAAACTTCAGGAGCTTGTCGGACTGGTGACTGGAGGTGCAGCTGTTGGTGTACAGGGAGAAGAGCAGAGGGGAAAAGAACGCAGCCTTGGGGGGAACCGGTGCTGATGGTCCGAGAGGCTGAGACATGTTTCACCAGCTTCACGTGCTGCTTCCTGTCAGACAGGAAGTCTGTGATCCACTTGCCGGTGGAGTCGGGCGGTGCAGCTGGGAGAGTTTGTCCTGCAGCAGAGACGGTGTTACATGCCAGACGGGGACGGTCTGCATGTGTTCTTGTCGTTCTCCCTCCTGCTCATTGGTTTCTCTCCCCCAGTGATTATGCTGATTGGCCAACTCCAAACACAGGTGGAAATCAATCAGCAGTCCCGGTGGCAGTCCATAAAGGAAGACTCCTGAGAAGTGAAAGGGGGGTGTGTTCTGCGCTGCGGGTGGTGGCCAGTCTTCCTGTACATGAGCTTTAGCTGGCTGCTAGCAAAACTGGAGTTTGGTAAGGTGGAGGTTGAGGACCTTAGTAAGTTGGGGTACCCTGTACATTCTTGCACGTAGGTATACCTTTGTATAGACACACTAGGTGTAGTGGTTGTTGCCTCCTGTGTAACGTTTTCCTTTAGTCCTTTTTTAGAGAAGCAGGTAAGGTATTTTGTTTGACTTGTTTTGGATGAAGAGCCAGTGGTGAGCTAGGCCTCGTTTTGTTATATTCATTTCATTTGTTTGGCACAACCTGTAGGTCCCATCTTCCACCACCTCCCTCCCTCCTGTTGGGAGCCATCTTTTTGTGTAAGAATAAAAACTAGAAAGACACCTTTTACCCTGACTCTGTCGCCTGTCTTTGATTGTTGTTTTACTGTCCTGGAATCTACAGACGGGATGATGGTGTTGAAGGCAGAGCCGAAGTCCGCAAACAGGATCCTGGCGTAGGTTCCTGGGGAGTCCAGATGCTGGAGGATGTAGTGGAGGGCCATGTTGACAGCATCGTCCACAGACCTGTTGGCTCTGTAGGCCAGTGTTTTTCAACCTTTTTTGCGTCAAGGCACACTTAAGACACAGAAAAAATTTCACGGCACACCAACAATCGGAAATGATATGAAAATCAATCCCAAACATAGTTTCAGCATGAGCATAATATACTCTAAGAAATCAGGGAAACGCGTGTTCTATTTGTTGTGTTTTATTAAACTTAACATCATCCTAATGCCAAGATGGCACAGGCTTTATGCCCAGGTATCTCTTAAGCCTAGTTTATGCTTCTGCGTTGTCCCTTGCGTCGCTTTTCACACCTCCTTGCATGTGTCGAGCCATTTTTCTGCGACGCAAGCCTCCCGCAGCGCACCAGGCTGCGATTGGTCCGCTAACTACGTCCTTTACGGAGTCTCACATTTCCGCTTTCATAGCCCGCACCATTATTAAAACGAAGAATGTTTACGAGAGAAACGGATCAGATTTAAGAACTTTTGTCGGAAGAAATGCGTAAATATGAGCGCTTATACAAGCCGTCATTGGCGGGTTGTAGAAGCGGGTTGGATTCACGGAGGGAGATCGCCGCAAATGCCGGTTTGCCGGTCGAGAGGTGCACAAAGTTGTGGAGGAAAATACGGGACAAATGTGTCCGCGATGAAAAGCAGCAGTGTGATGCGCGGGGCAATAAAGTCTATGATAAATAAATAAACAAATAAATAGACGTGACTCTAGGGGGTCTTCAACAAAAACACGTTACTCCGCCTGTTGTTCTGGAGGTGAACTGCTCTGCAACACACGCAGAACCATGAATTGAAACGAGTGCGTCGACGCAACGACGCAGACACAAACGCAGAAGCATGCGCCGGCCTTAAATCTCAATTTTAATCTTTTTTAAATTGTCGCCTCAGCAAATCTGCCTATTAATTACGCTGCGTACCGCCACCCACAGACAGAGGGGAGTATTGAGCCTTCATACCACCAACAGCGTGACGACACACACACACAAACACAAGTTGGCTCTTTTTTTTCACCAATGAAGTGACAGTATGTAAAAAATGATTTTTTTCACGGCACACCTGACAGCCTCTCGCGGCACACCAGTGTGTTGAAAAACACTGCTGTAGGCGAACTGCAGGTGGCCCAGGAGGGGGTCGGTGAGGGACTTCAGGTGGGTCAGGACTAGTCGTTCAAAAGACTTCATGACTACAGAGGTCAGGGCGACGGGCCTGTAGTCATTGAGTCCTGTGATCCTGGGCTTCTTGGGAACAGGGATGATGGTGGAGGCCTTGAAGCAGGCTGGTACGTGGCATGTCTCCAGGAAGGTGTTGAAGATGTCAGTGAACACCGGAGACAGCTGGTCAGCACAATGCTTCAGGGTGTGAGGGGAGACGGAGTCCGGGCCGGCTGCCTTACGGGGATTTTGTCTTAACGTCTCTCTCCAGAATAGAGAGGGTCGTTGCTGGTGGGAGAGGGGAAGGTGATATAGATGTAGAGGCGTGAGCCCCTGATGGGCCGGGGGAGGGAGGGGTAGGGGACTGGGGCAGGTTGGTGGAGCTGTGGGGGATGGGATCCGGACATAGTCTTTCAAATCTGCAGTAGAACTCATTCTGCTCGTCTGCCAGGCGGAGGTCATTCATGGAGCGGGGGGGGGGGGTTTGGCTTGTAGTTAGTGAGGTGTTTGAGGCCTCTCCAGACCGAAGCAGAGTCACTTGCTGAGAACTGTTGTTCTCAGCAAGTACACTCGTTTCTCAGAGTTTCTCAGAGTACACTCGTTTAGCATCTCTCAGCGCCTTGCTAAACTTGTATTTTGCCTCTGTGTACAAGTCTTTGTCCCCACTCCTAAATGTCTGATCCTTCTGCAGGCGTAGTGTTCTGAGTTCCGCTGTGGACCAGGGTTTGTCGTTGTTGTAACTCAGCCTGGTGCATGATGGTACACAGCTGTCCTCACAGAAGCCGATGTAGGAAGTTACAGCCTCTGTGAACTCATCCAGACTGTCAGTAGCAGTCCTGAAAACATCCCAGAGGGGTGTTGATCGCCATGACCTGGTTAGTTGAAAGTAGCTTGAAAGGAGCCCGGAAAAATGTACAAATGCACTTTAGAGGATACTAAATATTTAAATTAAATAAAAATAACATTGATAACCAGAAACGCTACTTACTTGACCCACGTTTGGTGTGTGTGTGTGTTTGTGTGTATGTGTGTGTCAGCACCTGGGAAGTGGAAACGGCTGTCCAGGGAGCCCTGCGGCAACGGGTTGGCCATGGGTGCAGCGCCTGTGGGTTTATTCTGCTGTGTGTGTGCTGGGGATGAAGATGTAGAGGAGGCAGCTGATGATGGGTTACTGCTGGAGTCCAGTTGGTTCAAACTGGGGCGAGGCTCCTGGAACACACATACACAATAGTAAGGAGCCTCCGACTTTTACACAAGTGTGATGGCGGGGTGTGGTTAGCTCAGATGCAGAGGGGAGAGCGGGGAGTAGTTCAGGGAACAGTGCCGGCAGGTGAGTAATAATCACAGCTGAAAGTCATCCTGACTGATTGTCTCCTTGATATAAACAGTAAGCAGGACTTGGAGCGAGAGACTGGTGTATGGGGTGGACCGCCCGGCCCTCTACATCAGCCGAAAGCTGTCGGAGAGAGAGGCCAGGTACAGTACGGTGGCGAAGGAGTGCCTGGCCATCCGGTGGGTGATCGACTCCCTGCGCTACTACCTCCTGGGATGCCATTTCACCCTCTGTTCGGACCATGCTCCGCTGCAGTGCCTACCAACGCCCGGATCACTCGGTGCTATCTAGCTCTACAGCCTTTTAACTTCAAATTGGTCCATAGGCCGGGGGTGCAGTTAGCTCAGATGCAGAGGGGAGAGCGGCCGAGTGGTTAAGGGAACTGTGCCGGCAGGTGAGTAATAATCACAGCTGAAAGTCATCCTGACTGATTGTCTCCTTGATAACAGTAAGCAGGACTTTGAGCGAGAGACTGGAGCAGACGCTCAGGGGCGAGGCCGAGGAGCGGAGCAACGAAGCCACAAACCTGCTCCCTGCAAAAGTATATTATAAAGGAGACCCGTGTGTCCGTGCGTCCTTCAGCGAACCTGACGGTAGTACCTCCAGCACGGCTACAACAAGATTTCTAATCTAACATATTTGCCTCAGGGATAAAATCAGATACACTAGTCCAGAACACAAATTCCAAGAATTTTGTAATAAAAAGGAAGCCTGTACTTACCTTTTTGGCAAGTGCCTTTGGTAAAGTGCCAAATTGCAGTGGGATCTTCGCTGTATGATTGATCCGATTATTGATATCTGATGGCACTGATTCGGCCCTCCGCATCCTTGGCACTACAAATCACATTCAAACATTTGCTCATTTTACACCAAAACTAATACAGACATTTGAAAGGTCCTTGGGGAATCAACACTCAAAAAAAAATATAGAACCACAAGAAGATGTCGGCTATACAAAAGATCCAGAAGTAACTAATGTCCTTGGTCAGCTAGATGAAAGTTAAACCTCCATCACCACCAACTGTGCAGAGGTGGACAGAGTCCAGTAAAGAGACGTATAAGAAGGATCAGAGTTGAAATCACTTATTCCAGTCGTGGGGGCCCCTTTGTAACATGTTAATACCCATTTCTCCTCATACCAGCTGTGCACTGTCCACTCTGTAATCATTATGATGACATGTCCACTTTCATCATTTTGTTGTCACAGTCACTCCTATGCTGATTGATTCAGGGATGCCTTTTCTCAGTGGAAATGTTCAGGTGAACTGTGACCATAGTACACATACACCCACACACACGTCACATCGGCCTATAGACACAGCTGACATCCCGTATGCACTTGTTATGAGATTTTATGAGCTGACATATCCCTGCAGTACTTATATACACTAGTATTTCCATTGTTAATAAAGAAAGTGCTTACATGTAAGAAACGATATCCGACATGAGGGAACCTCTTTGGTGCATTTGTTGTGGCACTTTAACCTGTGAACAGAAGAATGCCATGAACCATAATAAGACAATAGCAGACATTAGTGCAATCAAACAGAGGGTAGAGGTTACATTTACACTCTCTTACTTGCAGTGTTTGCACTTGACACCAAACATCATGCTCTTGCGACACACTTGGCACATCTGGGAGAGCCAGGACTTGGTGGAAAACCTACAAAAGGAAGAAAAAAAGTTTCTTTATCACATGAATTCACCCTAATACCAGTCAATGTTAACTGGGGGTTCTCTGGTTTGGGATTGTGGACTCCTCATTATCAACAGGGAGCAACAGGAAGCTGTTTTGGATCCAGTGTTTAATGAGCTTGGCCAATATTAAGCACTGAAAGGCTTTTCTAAAACTGGACACTTTTTGCTTTTCCATAATTCTCGTCCTGGCTTGGTATCAGCCATAGCAGCCCCGACGTCTAGGGGGGCTCCAGACTAACTCTTTGCCAGGTTGCACTGGTGCGCCTTACTGTTTTTTCCTTGCGTCGCCTTTAACACCACAATTTCAAGGTCATTTTTTTTATCACGCTCGACATACATTTATATATATATTATGTAAATGATTTAAAACAAGAATAAGGTAAATTGGGAAAAAAAACTATCTATGGGTAGGGCGATTATTGCACCAATATTTATTGTGATATGCTATATCATTGCAATTTTCAGACCATTTTATGCCACTGATAACATAATGACCATATAATAACATAGTAATAAAAGTACGCTATTTCAAAGAACAAGGGTTCAATGTTTTATTGGTCAGAACAGTTAGACATTAGAATCTGAATGTGAAAAAACATATTCTAGATAAATAAAACAAAAAAATAATAAGTGCAAGGGACACGGAGCGGGCGAAGCATCGGGCTTGGTGCGATTCAGTTGCGTTCAAGAAATGTGTCCAGCGCGCCGCAGCCGGGGAGGTTTAAAGCCTAGTTTATGCTTCTGCGTTTTCAGAGCGACGCAAGGACACGTAGACGCAAGAGCCCCTTGGGTGTCCCTTGCGTGCCTTTTCACGCCTCCTTGCGTGCGTCGACCCATTTTTCTAGGCTTGGGTCAAAAGCCACGCAAGCCTCTCGCAGCCCACAAGGCTGCGATTGGTCTGCTAACTACATCCTTTTCAAGTCTCACATTTCCGTTTTCATAGACTGTAAAAAAAGTACATCGACTTTACGGTAATAAAGTGTTAAATCACAACGGTAAAAGACCGTTGATTAAAAATAGGTCATCTTCTGTTGGTCACTGTTAATTGCACTAAAAATTGTACTGATGACGGTAATACACCGTAATATAAACAACACTCAATACTGTAGTTTTTCCATGTATTACTATTTAAAAATACATTTTGTTACTGTTAAATGTACAGACTATTTTGATGAAAATGGAAATATAACCTATTATAGCGTTCACAGCAAGTCCTGTATTTTTTGCATTTATTATTTGTACAAAATACAGTTTATAACTGTTAATTGCAATGAAGATTGTACTGATAAAGGAAATACATCGTAATATGAACAACAATCCATACCATAGTTTTTAGATGTATTACTCCTTAAAAATAAATTGCGTTACTGTAAATAATACTTAATATTTAGCTGCAAATGGAAATATAACGTATTGTGAATTTAACAGCCAGTCCTGTATTCTTTGCATTTATTATTTGTGCAAAATACAGTTTATAACTGTTAATAGCACAACAGATTGTACTGAATATATATAACAGGCAGTACTGCAATTTTTGCAAAGATTATCTGTAAAAAAACACATTTAGTAAAGGTTACATTTACCACTGTGCTGATTACAGAAATACTTTAATATAAATACAACAGTCACCACTGTAAGTGTACTAATCATTGTGCTAATAACAGAAATATACCGTGGGGAAGTTAACATGGGTATATTAACCATTCAGATTTTTTGTGGAAAGGCTGGGACAAAATGTATAATTGATGGGATTAATTAGATGTGCAGTTATCCTGGTTGTTAAAAAATTAACCACATGAAACATGAAACAGGCCATCAGGGGACTCTCCTACATCAACCCGGGTCTTCCTGCCATTCAGCGCCAGATCGTTCTGTTGTCAGAGTGGTAACTACGTATTCATGCCATCTGGCTATTAGACTATCTTCATCGTGTCCTGTTTTATGCTAAGTTGATGCCTTTGTGCTAAAATGGGTCCTCTTTTAACATTCAATCTGACTCTTATTCATTTTGATTAACTATAAAGTGGAATTATATTCAGAGTGTTGGTTTCTTCTAGGTCATTGAAGCTCAGTTAAACACAAGAAGGCGTTGGTTTGCCGGTCGAGGAGAACAAAGTTGTGACTTCCACACACAAAGACGTGACTCTCTAGGTCGTCTTCGACAAAAACACGTCACTCCACCTATTGTTCTGGCGGTGAATTGCTCTGCAACACACGCAAGCCTTTTAGAACCATGATTTGAAACGAGTGCGTCGACACAACGGTGCGTAAATACGCAGAAGCATGCGCCAGCCTTAACGTGGGGCTTCGACCGCCGGCAGGGCGACGCTCTCCGCGGCTGCATGGAGAGACGGAGCGGCTCGGTCCTCGTCTCAGCTCTGATGTAACTGGTTCGCTGTTGTTCAGGTCGCAATTTCAATTACACAGCACGGAGCAGTGTAGGCCTACAGGAATATCTGGACAACAGCCAATCAGAGGCAAAGACCCACCGCATCTCTGTCTCCGATTGGTTTAGACCACGATATGACCCAACCATGCGTGAGTTCCGTCAAAGCAGAACAAACTCTTCGTTCGTTCATAGAGGCAGCGAATGCAAGGACAGGTGCACCGGTGCGGCCTAGGAAACATTTTAGTCGCACCCGTACAAATTTTGGTCGCACTCTAGAGCCCTGAGTCTAGCTAGATTTAGGAGGATGCGCAGCTACAATGTAGTCCTGAACCCACTTGCATGTGCGTGGGCTCCATAGATGTGCACTAACCTCTTAAAAAAGTTTGCAAAATTCTGGGAATGTAAAAGTTTCTCGAAGGAAATAATGTGAATAAAATGGAAGTAATAGGGTAACCTTGTTATAGGCAGAAATCCACATTTACAGTCATAAACAAATGATCTGCACATGTGATGGAGAAGATAGGTAATGATTCAGTAAAAAGGACAGATATTTAACCCGAACATCCCATTCCAGTTTTACTGAATCATAGGTAATGAATCATAGGTAATGATTCAGTAAAAAGGACAGATATTTAACCCGAACATCCCATATCACGTTTTGAACCTAAACCCCAAATAAGTTATAGAAATAAGAAATGCAGGGATCCGACCATTCCATAAGAAGCCTTTAGAATCAAGTACCGATCTGATAGCAGTGTCTCTTTAATAAGCTGTATGCCTCACTGTATAGAGACTTACATCATTCACTTATAATTCAACAGGGATTTACTAACTTTGCAAAAGAAAATAGAAAAAATAAATGCATTGGTTTAAATGAAAACTGAAATGTTAATTAAACTTAAAAGAAATGAACATAGATTACAATTCTTTTTTAATGCATCTCCAACACTAATAGTTTTTCCTCTGAACAAGAAAGGAGGTGTAAAGGGTTGACAGTAACTGACCTGTGTGTTACAGCCAGGCCGACATCTCTCCTCATCGTCTGAGGGGAGCCCCTGGTCACATCTGTGAAATCATCAGAAATACGGACGTCAAAAACACAGAGACGGTGGAGAAAACAACCCAAAGGACAAGGGTGAGTGACCCAGGACAGTATCTATGAAGAGGACTCACTCTCCAGCAGGGTGGGTGTGGCAGGCATCATGTACGGGGCCGAGGCCGGGACGGGGCCAGGGGTTCGGGCAGACAGCAGTGGGGAGCGCAGCGCTGAGTCTTCAGGACCGTTACCACAGTTATTAATCGGAAGAGCACTCAGCACTTTGTTCTTCTTACCGGCTCTGCAAGCACAGAGAGCAACTAACACCACAGTACAGTATACAGTAGGCCTTGTCATGCCTTCACGCAGGGACAGTGTGGGGGGGACAATACAGATGCCTGGCCTCAGCAGCAGGCAGTAGTGTGTCTGGGTTTTTACAGATTTACCAGGTGAGGTACTAGTTTATCCTGTCAGGGTGGTTTAAAAAATACCATAAACTCATTAAAAAAATTGAATTCACAGAAAAGTGCTCATTGAGTAACATGGTAATCTGCATGATTAATATGAGATATCTCAAATGAAGATGGCACTCAAAGACACTGGGTCTGTATTATTCTTAAGTTATATTTATATTTATCCCTTCTTAATTGTGTATTGTTCAGTACTATCTGTGTGAAGTGTTGTTTTCCAGCAGCAGTTCAGTATCTCAGACTTCTCTTTTGGAGATCACAAAAATCCACAGCAAGCTATGTAAGCAATGAGGTTTTGGTGCGGCCATTAAAGCAGTAATACCGTATACAATGGCCTAGGTTATGGCTGATTGCAATAATTTACGACTTTGTTTGTTATTTAGCAGATGAAACGTAAGCCAGATGTAGAGACGGGCTACTGATCCACTGACATCATTACACTCAGTTGTAGGACCTACCTGAGTGCTGCCGGCTCCTCGATGCGGTTTGCTAGCTGGGACTCTTGACTCTTGCTTCTTGTCATTATGTTGGGAAAGAGCTGTAGCCGCTTGTGTGTGGGTGGGGGGGGCGTGGGGGAGGGCGAGCTGGTGCAAGCTCTCCGGTCCTCTGGACAAGGGAAGACCGATATGGAGATGGAGCGGCCGTGGGTGGTGGTAATGGTGTGCTGCAGCGGGAGGGACGGGCTAACCCCGCTGGAAGGGGAGCTGATGGGAGAGAAGACATCAGTGTCCTGTCGAGCCTCTGAGCTGCAAAAGCCTGAGTCAGGACCCGGATCACCTCAAGTCAAAGAATAAAGATCCAAGTAAGTAGAGTACGTGTTGTCACACATTCCTGGGTTTATTTTGCACTTCTCTAAACAGGCTACAAAGTGCACCGACACAACCAAAGCTAACCAGAACCAAGCACCGGCAACCAAGTATAAAATATAACCTGCAACAACCTCCGCTGCCATTGCCATGGCTAACCTGCGTTGTTAGCGCTCTTCAGACAGGAGAGAGCAGCAGTGAGGCGAGAACAGTCCTCTGAGCCGGGGCCCAGGCGTCTCATGGCGTCCGGCAACTCAGAGCCGGAGGTCGGCAGCGAGCTGTCCACCGAGAGCTTCCCTGCAGCAGCCTGCAGGAGAAAAGCAGGACATGTTAGTCACTGACTACCACTGGGTTTTGTCTGGGCTCTTGCTTGGTTTTCTTAATAGACATTAATACAAGTACACATACACATGGTTGTGCCTGCTCTGCATCTATTCATTCAGCAGTCACAGCCCGGGAGACTTTCGTATTAGGCAAATGGCCTCAGCTAAAATAAGCCCTGGGAGACTTTCACCAGGCCTGATAAGGCCTAGAGATGTACGTCTGCTTTACAACTACAACCTCCACAATCAAGAAGAACTGGTTCTGACAATGCAAATGGGCTGCAGTGCAGCAGGACAAGCTTGAACAGAGTTTATACAAGTGGAGGAAGGGAAGGTATTCTGTGAAAAGGTGGCTCACCTAACAGCCGCATGTCTACCTACTTTATTTAGATGGAATTAAAAGAAAGGCCTCATAAAGGCATGAATGGTACATTAACAAAGTCAGTGTGAAAAAGACCTGTGGGTCTGAACTGTGATGTTTAACACAGTCTACGTACCGAACACCAAATGGAATGGAATCTGCTGACAAACTGTCAAAACAAGGTTTACTCTACACTGCTTTTATTTGACTAGAACGTGTTTTTTCAGTCCTTGTTGTGTGTATTTGTATGTGTGGCTTCATGTCCTGGCAACTGGCTGTTCCCTGCATGGTGTCCATGGTAAGACAAATGGACAGATTGCTCAGTAATCGCATGAAGAGAGACAATGCTCAGACTCAATTTGAGACATCTATGTTCTGTGCGAAAAACACTATTTTTCAAGTTTGGCTGATCCAATGAGTTCAAACAAATTTGGTGGGCATCCTCTCATGTAACATGGTTATCCATGTCTGGTTTCCACAGTATCACCTCGCAGAGAGACAGTGTCCTGGACGTTTGTTCCCAGAACAATACAACTGCCGGGGGGACAAACGCAAGACTTGATTGGACGAGTTCAAACCACTGACAACCTCAAAGTACTTGTTAGGCCTGCCAGCGTACAAATGCATCTGTGTGTAGAGTACGTGTGGCAACAGCTGTGGTCTGTGTTAACTTCCTGTCGCCTGACACACAGTGCAACAGCAGCCACACAATTATATGTAGCTTTTAGCATGCTGAGGGCTTTTATTCAGCTGGAGATAACAGACGGTTTTCGGTCTTCTTTTCTTAAGTGTCTTGCTCATCCTTTGATTGAGGGACGGCTGTGCTCATCACTCACCCAAAGCTGGGCTCAGTTCTCCTTCTCTTTTCCCGTGAACTTATCTTTCCAAACTTATCTGAGATCTGATCTCTCAGATCGTATTTCAAGCGAATCTGATTTCAGTGTGTTCATACAGTCTATGCTTCCAGATATGATCGGATGAAAAGTCAAGTATAAAAATGGCCATCATTTCTATGGACCATGATATTTAGTGATAACTACGCTGACCAGATTTCACTAACCATGTGAATAACAGTAAAGTTGTGTCCTTCATTGATGTGTGATCGCTTAGCGACGCCACAACAGGAAAGTGCAACAGAAACGTGGCCAGCGAGTACTGATTTTCTGATCACTGCTTTTAATCTGCACATACCTGCACAACCCTCAGATAAGCTTCATACAGCATCCTGCACTCGTAGGCGTAAACACAACATATAAGCATAGTCTTATGGTTGGGTAACATACGAGAGAACAGCAATGCACCATAAGACTGACTGAATGATGAATATCAGATTGCTACAGTATCTGCCGTCCATCACGGATTCTTCTTCAGCCCTGTGAAGGCAGCAGGACACAGACATCAAGCGAGCAGTGAATCATTAAATCATGTGCAACTGAATTGCTGGATGGAGGAGCTGGATGTCCACACACATAACCGGTTCAGTAGTCAGTATTCTGCGTTCTGTATACTGCATTCTGTATTCAGTGTTCTTTATTTTTTAATCCGCATTCTATATTCTGTATTGTATTCAGTATTCTATATCCAGTATTCTGTGTACAGTATTATCTGTTATGTATTCCAGTTTCAGTATTCAGTATTCTGCTCTTATTCAGAGCAGAGTTCAAGAAAAAAGCCCCTGCTGTTAGGTGACAATGAACAAGGTGATCCTCCAAAGCCACATGGTATCTATTTGACAGCCTTGACACTTCTAGAGAAGTGAGGATGGTTTCCTGTCCACTCCACTTTCGTAAAAAATTAAAAAACGGTAGAAAATCCAAAGGTTGGAGGAAGAAGTTGACACATACCGATACCAGGGCAGGGCTTGGGCATGCCTCAGCTGCCTGTGTTTACAGGTAACGGAAGCCTGAGAGGAAAGGAAAGACAACTGAAAGAAAGTCACTGAGGAGGAAACAAAGTCTTTCTTTTATCCTATGGGGGTAAATCGCACAAAATACCTTCCTCTGACACTAGTCATTGGTTTCTCCCACACAAACGTGTTGTTAGGGATCAGAGTCCACCACAACAGGCACGTGGGTTCAGATAAATGCCTCCACCTAGCAGACAAAACACAGATCTGTCCTAGAGCTCACCACGGAGATACAAACCGCTGAAAAAACAGAACACACACACGCCTAGTGTGCCAAAACACACACTGGAGCTACCTGAGACAGCAGCAATGTCTCACTAATGTGCTGGGTCTCTTTCTCCAAAACCCTTTCCCGCCCCTTGGGTCACAGGTTCCATCTGCTACTGTACATTACCATGCGGTCGGGAGTCTCTACTGGACATCAGAGTCCCTGCTCTCATAATCCAGGCCCTGTTACAGAGTAATCCGTGAGCACAGCAGGCGGCTGGGAAACATACTGACAGAGAACCAGCAAGTCTTCCCACTCCCTGTTTTCCTCCTCCCTCCGTCTCACACTTCCCTCCCCCTCTCTGTGTCTCCCTCTCAGCCAGTCAGCCGCTCTGTCTTCACGACATGCCAACATTGTGCATCAGTGACTGGCGGCGACCTACTGCGGAACTCTGTTATCGGGAATCTGGGCAATTTGGTGTCATGTCTCCGTCCAACAGGTGGGTGTTCTGAGAAGGTTTCTTTCATGAGCTGACCTTTCAGTCTGTAAGGTTGCTGACAGCCCTTTTCCCGTTCTGTTAATTTAAAAGTAAAGAAGATCTATACCACTTTGTTGTTTCTCGCTATCGATGCGTTAAGCTTTCAAGGAGCTGCTGTACCCTCTTTACATATCTGGAGGGTTTTCTTCCGTGCACAAGTCTAATCAGTGCTGCACCCCACCCTACCTCACAAGAAATCTGCATGCCTTTTTTCCCTTCCCCGTGTCATTGCCCTGCACAGCCCAAGCCAAGCCATATAAGTCTGATGGTAATGAGAGGGCAACGGAGGGAGAGGACAGAGGGGGAGGATAGTTGACAGGAAACAGAGAGTCGGAGCCAAAACTTGGGGATTGCTTCTGCAGAGATAACACACTGGATTATGAATCCTGGGCGTACAGATTGACTTTACAGAATATTTGAGTAACAAGACTGGGAATATCGAGGTGTTTTACTGTTCAGGAAAGTTAATTTACTCCTAAAATGACTAATTCAGTGTTCATCTCCGCCTGTTATACACGGCAGTGTACCATTGAACAAGGAGACCGCTCCCGCACCCCCATCTCCACCTCCACCCACCACAAGAAAGTCATGAATTTTTTTTTTTTCTTCAATCGTCCAATCTTCCCTGCGCAACGCAGTTCCGCCCTGACACGTGGGTGCACACAAGACACATGCGCAAGCTCGCACTAGCAGACGGAGAGCACGCCCACAACGCAATTAACTGCAGCCAAATGTAGTGAAAGACGTCCTGCTGTCCTTTCAGGAAGATCATTACTGGAAAGGACCTTTTCTTCAACCCTAGATAGATATGGAGCTGGGTTCTCTCGCCCTGCTGGGGTCACTGCTTGAACTGTGCTCTTGCTTGTGGCTAAGATAAATAAAGATTTAAAAAACAAACTTCCGCACTGGGCCGCAGCGATCCCTCGACCCCGCTGGGCCGCAGCGAATCACGTTCCACGCTGGGCCGCAGCGACCTCCTGATCCGGCCCCACGACTCCAGGACCTGAACCCTGGTACCGGCCCCACGACTCCAGGCCCCGACTCGGCCAGTCCAGTGAGAGTTCAGTGCTTTCGATGAAGGATGGATTTAAAAGTTGACATTTGTTGCTTCATGCCTTACATAAAATCAGGTTTAATGGAAGTTATGATGGAAGAGATGCATCATGTAAACCACAGAAGTCGTCCACTTGGTTGAGCCGTCACGTTTGGAAAGATTTTTAGAGTGATGCCCTGGTCAATTGTGTTTAGCCTCCGTCAATACAAACAACCTGTTACTGTGAAGAAGCAGGCGAACAACGAACAGAACTGGCACAATGCCATAAACCAACTGTAAACTCATATTTGTGGTATACTGCATTCATAGAAGCCCTGCGTATTTCATGCCTCAAAGAAACAAAAGGCTGCATATATACTATTTGATTTGGCTAAAAAATATAAACTCAAACATCCCGATCCTAAAGTATTTAAAAAGTGATGTTCCGTCTTTGTTAAATCTTCAGACATGTTCATAGTGTTTTTATCAGAACTATATGTGAGCTGTTAACGGCAGCTTGTCTGCCCACATCCGACCGTAGTTATTAGATGAAGGCAAGTTATGAACCTAAAATATAACTTTCTAAGTCAGTAACGTTACAGACGTTAAGAATAAATAGACAAAGAAACTGAAAGTGCTTTGCTGGTTTTGTTTTCTGGAGTGATTATAAACTATATGTTTTGTTTTCTGGAGCAGGAGGAATCAACATCAAGCTGAAGGAGAACGATGTGTGTTGACGTTCAGCTACTGTAGCTTGGACATATTCTGTAAAAGCTTACGGTTATTGTAAAATAGCTTTTAACCTATACAAGAAATACATACAAAGTCTTGTATGCAAGAAGTAGGATACAAGTTAATAAATGTGTATGCTGTTGTGGTTTTTATTGACTATTAATTTATTTCTTCTGCCTTAAGTTTGCAATATTACTTTTAGCTGACCGTAGTTTAACCAATTTAATTAGAATTTTAAATAACCGGAAAATGCTTTTCTCTCCTGCCTGAAATATATCATGCTCCGGAGGTGAAGCATATCTTCCTAAATTAAATGAAATAAGATTACCTTCCCTATCTATAGTTAAGTTTTTTTAGCATCATTTTTTGTGGCATGTGAGAGGCTCAAGGCTGGCGCATGGTTCTGCGTCGTTGCGTCGACGCACTCGTCTCAATTCATGGTTCTAAAAGTCTTGCGTGTGTTGCAGAGCAATTCACCGCCAGAACGAGTAACGTGTTTTTGTCAAAGACGACCAAGAGAGTCACGTCTTTGTGTGTGGAAGTGGTTGGTTGGTTTATTTATTTATCATAGACTTTATTGCCCCGTGCATCGCCACTGCTGCTTTTCATCGCGGACACATTTGTCCCGTATTTTCCTCCACAACTTTGTGCACCTCTCGACCGGCAAACCGGCGTCTGCGGCGATCTCCCTCCGTGAATCCAACCCGCTTCTACAACCCGCCCATGACGGCTTGTATAAGCGGTCATATTTACGCATTTCTTCCGACAAAAGTTCTTCAATCTGATCCGTTCTCTCGTAAACATTCTTAGTTTTAATAATGGCGATATCGGGCTATGAAAGCGGAAATGTGAGACTCCGTAAAGAATATAGTTAGCGGACCCATCGCAGCCTTGTGCGCTGCGGGAGGCTTGCGTCGCTTGCGTTGCTTTCGACACAAGCCTAGAAAAATGGCTCGACGCACGCAAGGAGGTGTGAAAAGGCACGCAAGGGACACGCAAGGGGGTCTTGCGTCTGCGTCGCTCTGAAAACGCAGAAGCATAAACTAGGCTTCACTCACACAGTTTGACCCCCGTGGCCTATTTGGGATAGCGGTGGGCCTTGAGTTTGACATATGTGCTTAGAGGCTACATGCTCCAGAGAAGAGGTAGCCAATGCTGTGGCCGCGGGGACCACCTGAGTTGCCCGTGAGGCATGTTCTACAAATATGACTAGTCTCCATGGAGCTCCCTCTAAAATGTTTAGTTGTGGTTGTCTTTAATTTTAAAAAAAACAGTTGCATTCATGTGTGTAAATTTCAAAATGACAATATTTAATGTAAATGTTAAAACTAAAATGCTTTATAAAACTTGTAAATGACTTTTAAATGTTGAAACAGATACATAGTTAAATGTTGCATGTTTAAATATATATGTGTTTCCTACTATCTGTCACGACAGCCACGCCGTGATCAAGTTGTTGGTGTGCGCGGCCGTCTGTTGATGTTTTTCCAGGAGTCATGACAACGGGCCGTGGACCTTGAGGACGCTCCGCTGCTGCCAATTACGCACCTGGCTCCAGTTCCCGATCAGGGGGGTATTTAAGAGCCGTCCGGAGAGCCAGTCCCTACCGGATCGTTACGTGCCAGGACTTCGCCTGAGACTACCGTCGTCCACCCTGCTGGGCTCTTCCCCACCGAGCCCCAGAAACCAGAACGTCTCGGACTACTGGTGTTTTTTGTTATTTTTGGATCTTTTGTGAATAAACTATTCTTTATTCTCCCCACCAATCCAGTCTGCGTTTGGGTCCTGTTCGAGCTTGACATGACACTATCATTGTTACTACCATAATGAAATCATTGTTAGGAATAATTAACATTGACATTTGACAAATATTATTATTATTATTATTATTAAAGGCAACTTTGTTATTAAGGAAGTTTGTGTCAAACAAGTAGCCCATCGTACTACTCTGTGTCTCCCAGTTTCAGGAAGGTTGGTGACTCCTGGTCCAAAGGCTGCATTAGTCGACAGGTTGCGTCACTTGACTGTTACACAGATGGCCCATCCCCGTTGACTCCTTCAACTGCGGTCGACAAATGCAGCCCTCCATTCGGCAATTTGGAGGACACATCTGATGCATCTTGTAGCTTAAGTGACGTGACGTTGTTATTAAATATACATAAGGTGAGAATAAACTACTTTTAACTCTGTCATGCCGCTCTGCCCCCATACAGCCCCATCCCCAGGCTGTCCATCGCATCTGAATCCCCCCTGGGTCCTTAGTCCCTCCACGTACTGCTTCTTGTGTACCAACAAATATTTAGAACACATACCTCAACTGACGTTGAGGTATGTTCACGTTACCGGCAGCCGCTGCGCTGTTTACGGCAGCTAGTCTGCCCGCATCCAACCGTAGTTAGGAGTTGAAGGTCCCTTTAATGCGTTAACTTTCATACTGTAGAGGTTGACGAACACACAAATAAACTGAACTTGGTTGCTGTGCTCCTTTTCTTTCGAGGTGTGATTATAAACAAACAATACATTTTGTTTTGTTTGAGGGAGCAGGAGGAAGCAGCTTGGTTCGTAAAGGGGTAAACGTGAGGGGGTAAACTATTTTTCTAATATCCTATAGTTACAGTTAAATTAGCTTGTATCCTATGCAAAACAAAAAAATGTATTAATAAATGTCATTTATTTAGCTGTTTTATTGACTGATTCCATCAGCCTTAAGATTGCAATATTACTTTAGCTAAAAGCACATGGTTTAACCGTTTCATTTTAATTTAATTTAAAATGACCAGCATGTTCTTCTCTCACCAACAACAACTGACTTTTAAATTAAATTAAGAAACTCCAATTGAGGAATATTTCAGAGAGCTGAAGGCTGGGTCATGACCAAAAGAACCAAGGTTTCCTCAGGAGGGTGAACATTTCATCTTTCTATTGTCATGAGTCTTTCATATGGGCATTGGCTGCTATTGCATGCTTTTTAAGCAGCTTTAATATTTAAAGAACAATTGAAACCCAAGCAGAAAACAATGGTAATGGTAAGTATTTGAGAAGTTAAGTCATACTAACTTGTAAAGAAAGAATAAAGATACTATGAAACGGTATTCCTCTCACGTCCTGAGCCATCCCAGTTGAGGGTTCAATACATGATTATGTCAGGTCAAACTCCCTTTCTACACAATGTATGCATTAATAAATGGAACCTATGTGTTGCTCAGTTGGTGTTTCAAATATGATGAACTGAAGAATACTGACTGAACAGACTATTGATTAATGCTACCAAAATTCAAAGTGTGTGATGCCACAGTGTTGCATGGCACACTGTATGCAGTAAACTCACAATAGAGACGTCCAAGGACTACACCCTATATTTTCCCAGAGGATGCTACATTGTGAACAAATCAGGGGTTGCTAGCAGTAGCAGGAGAGCTAAGTGAGCTGTTAGCCCCCGTGCTAAGCAATGGAACCAATGGTTTGAATTGGATTGAATGCTAACAGAGGCTGAAACGACTGGTATGCGTTCTACCTCAATGGAATACTTCTTCCACCACTGGTTGTGCAAAACATTTCAACACAGTGTGCACTGTACACACTGCACATTTCATACACTTAAATTATTACATATCTGGGGGCAGAAAGTTATAAATGTTTTTTTGTTTTATTAATGTACTTGACTTGGTCATCTTTTGTCAATGAGCAGATGTTGCACTAGCTCAGCTCCTTTAACAATCTGCATGTCCCTCAGAAGCCTGTAATACATGAAGCATGAAATGTTCTGTTCATCCCAGACAACACATTCGTACACCGACAGAGGGAGGTTTGCAAGGCGACAATGGAACAACGCTTCTCTTTAAATGGGAGCTACATAACCACCATATGGTGTATTTCGCAAAGTACCACACAATCAAAGAGACAATACACTGCCCTCTGTGAGCAGTACTCTCAGGGCCAAAACATGAATTTAAAACCACATTAAGTTTAATTGAAGGCTGACTTACCTTAACGTCCTACATGCTGTCCTATGAGGTCGGTAAAAGCCCAGTTGCTCCCATACAGGACAGTCTGTTTGTCTGCCTGCTGCTCTGAGCCCACCTGTCGCTTACTTCTCAAGTGTCTGAAAGAAAGCGGAGTCCCCCTGAGGCAGAGCTCTAACCGACCCTAGTGTTTGTTTTCACTAATGTTTGCAGGACGCTTCCAACTCTGCCTTCAACTGTGTTCAATTGTCAAAGACATGCGTATGCTCTTGCGTGTGTTGGTGGGTGCAGAGGCTGGTTTCGGTATGTATAAATAGCACACTGGGGAGGGACAGAGGCTTGCAGAGCAGCTGACTCAACACATTCTAGTTTGGGTGAGTGCTCATCACAAAGCGCGGTGTGGCCGGTGCTATTCACAACACTGCAAGACTTGATCAACCGACACCGCAGCACAGAACTATCTGACTTCCCTTGTAGGGACCAATACTCACTAGCAGTAGTACCTTCAAGATGTATGGGAAATCAGCTTTGTAGATTAAAATACCATGTATAAAAGTGCTGCTTTTAGATAAGATGTCAATAACTGAGAAAGTTAGAAGTAACCAACCTTTTGTTTAAGATACTTACAGACCTGTCATATTACCACCTTGTGAATGCATTGTGGTACACAAGGGGATTGAAAAATGAGAATGGCTTGATTTTCAATACTGTCCTTAATACACACCCTCTGGTTGGTATGTTTCGGTACTGATGTGATGTATTGAAGTGCACAGCACGGAAGCAGTCACTGACTCCTGTTGACAAAGCAGCACATTCTGCTTTTGTCTGGTCCCCGTAATTCACCGCTTCCCCTACAGATGCAGAACACTGGCACTTAAACAATACAGCTCTTCAAACACGTTTCTGTGCGAAAGACTCTGCCAGACTTTGCTGTGTAGGAAAGGGAAAAAGGTAACTGTCAAAGTTACAAAGCACAGTTAGTCCATCATCAGTTGTAAACACCTGCTCTGCTAATCTGGATGTAGCGTAGCACATAGCGCAGCCCAGTACAGCAACCAGCTACTCTGCCCTTGCTTTTCACCTCATTTGGATTTCTTGACAAACAGGATCTGCTCAGAATGCGTGGGAGAAAACCACAGCTAAATAAAGCCTCCTGCCACACGCATGTACACAACTCAGGGCCGAGCCTGAGTGCAAGACAACAGCCACTCCTCGGCTACTTTTATTTTTTTGATATTCCCAAAAGGATGGATCTAATGGAGTACAAAACCCAACTCCTAAAGAGGACGTTGGTATTCTACTCAATTGTTCCTCAATCCCGTAGAAGAAGAAGCTTAATTATTAACCCTGTTTTGCAGTTAAGGGGCCGTGTCCGTGTTATAATAGTGGCCTCTTTTGAAAATGCATTTGGGCAAAAATACGTACTGTACAAAAGCGGCAAAGTTGAACAACGGTTTACAAGTCTCTTATTTATACTTTTAAAGTAAATTAATTCAGTCTTCTACCTTCACGTAAAAGACTTGGCAGTAATAATACTTGAACACAGCACTTATCCTGAAGCGTTCAAATCTTAAACGCTTCCACGGCTGTCGGTCACATGCACTTCGTCATTTTAAAAGGCATGAGCCATCTGGCTGAACTATTGCATTTCTCAATATGGTTACTGTATTAGACTTCTCTGATGTGTGTCAATCAGCTAGAGAGTTGAATCCTGAATCCCGGTGCTTAGTAGAGGTTCGGACTTGTTGGATGAGTAATTGCGTAAAGCAAAAAATATATCTTTTGACCAGAAACACAGAAAACGTTTGACCAAGTAGCTGTGGGAACTGCCTGGATTAGGCCTACCAATGACAATAATAATGTGCTCTATCCAAGTGTCCCACTGAGCCCTGACGGTTTGTCGGTGAGCACACCGGCCATTACTCATCTTCAATTCTACTGTGACAGTGTGTGAAAAAAGCCACGTGTGGTAACAGTACAGGTTCAAACGTGTGACGATTTAACGTTGCGAATTGTTACCGCTAGTGGCAACGAATGGAAAGTAGCACTAATTCGTATTTTTATCAGCATATCGATGGTGAGCGTGACCGCGGGAGCAGACCGTGAACGTGTGATGAGATCACGGAGTGTAATGGGGAACAGAATAACGTGTAACACCTGCTTCTATATAACAGGCCTGCACTGAAGTTGCGGGAGGCTCGCGCGCCACGGTAAGCGGCGCGCACGAGCAGCTCATTTTCTCAAGTTACCTCTGAACGACGGATCTCGCGCCGCGCGACGTCTCTGGATGCGGTCCGGTGAGGCTGCAGGCAGGGGATGGAGGTGACCAGCAGGTTCGGGACCGGAGCCTCCTCCGGGTCTCCCGTCCTGTCTTTTGAGTCCATTCCTCACACAAGCGGCGCCCTGAAGACGTGTCGCGGTGCATCTCCTCAAACACGTTTCCGCGTTTGGAACTGAACAGAGCAGCAGACCCCCCGCCGACCCGACCCCGGGGAGCGTCCGCAGAGAACGGCACCACGTTGCGGGTAGAACGTACCGGGGGCGACTCCACGTCCACGGATAAAACTGATGAGTTATTGCGATGTTGAAGGGAAGTTTCGTTAACGTTTGAGAGCACCAGCTGCTCTCTCCCTAAGTCAAACACCAGAGAAGAAGTCTCCAACTAGTGATGTCATCTGGTGGAAAGGGTGGATGTGCTCCATGGACGGGAGCTTTATTTGAGTCTAGCCTTACCAGCTCGGATTCCCCGGGGCTGTGAGGGTCACCGCGAGCCTCTTACCCCGCTGATCTGCAGCCCTCACATACTAGTTGATGATATCCCATGTGAGAGTTTAGCATCCACATTTTGAGTTTCCTAGACAGTTGTTTATGTTGAACAAGATTTTTGTTCATAGACCATAATACATTGACAATATGGGCATAGTATTTCCACCCTGAAGTCAAAGTGTTTTACTGACAGATAAAAAAAGGCAGTAAGCCAGAGTAACTCATTTGTTTGGTGAAAATGGAAAACGTTAATATCCTTGAGAACCCGTTGGTCCAATTGGCCTCTTATCATCTTCATCACAAAGTCTGGTATGTACTGCTTGAACAATACAGCATTCTCATTCATGATTTAGTTTTAGTTTCACTCTACGTTGTCCTGTATTGTTTTTGTATTGCAGTCCTAGAAGTATTTTTAGCGTACACTTAGTTGAAAATAATCCTTTCATTAAGCAACATAAGTGTTTCTCATAAAGTGCCTAAAGGCCTTCAAAGAAACGAGAACACACTGCCATCTGCTGCCAGAGAGGGTCCCTGAAGAGGTGAAATGCTTCCATTAAATGGTTTCAATGTCAATATTATATGTAGACAAATTGTAGGCTCAAATAAATAGATATACAGTGTAGTTACATAACAGGTCATTTATCTAAAGCAACTTATATTGCATTTTCTATTTCAACCCACAGCTTTTTACATTCCTGCCTAGGAAGCAATTAGGGGTTAAGTGTCAGGGACACTTCGACATGGGGCAGCCAGGACTCAAACCACCAACCTTGCGGTTCCCAGCGCACCCTCTCTACCTCTGCGCCACAACAATCCCGATACAATATGTACAACTTTGTTAACAAAATATTGTCTGAGAGTCATTTAGATTTACACAGACTTGGAATTTATGCACAAGATTCCCCCTTTTTTCACATGTTGATGGTGTGCTTACTTAGCACACACATCGTGGGTACATTTGGAAGCAAGGCCCATGGTTAGTGATGTAATAGCGAGGGAAGGTGTTGGGAGGTGGCTGGAAAAATGTCTTTAGTGTAAGAGACCTACAGAGAATTTGTGACTAGTTGTCTACAAGTAGTATGTATCATTATTATCACTATAAATATTAATTCAATAATGCATGTATTTCCAATACAGTCACCTTTTTGGATGTAAATTAGTTTTTGAGCCTGTTGACCCACTATTCTTCTACATGTTAGACTCAAACCAAATACATTCACTTGAAAAGGATTACATTTATTTTTTACAAGTAGTATTGTACATAGAGGCTTTGCAACAACATTTATCGTAATGCAGAGATACAATTTACAGAGAATCTTATTGGACAGTTTTATGGTTTAATAAATACCGTATTTTCACATTGTCATTGTTAAAGGAGACATTTCATGCTCATTTTAAGACTCATCGGGGTTCCATCTAAACACTTTCACATGCTTTGATGTTAAAAAAGCACATGATTTTTGTCGTATTGTCTGTGTGAAAATCCCTGTATTCACCTTCTGTCAGAAACCTTCCATTAAGCAGCTGTCTCTTTTAAGTGGATTTCAATCCTGTTCTATGTAGGGTAGCAAAGGATTGTGGGGAAAGGCAATATAAAGAAACAAGGCACAGCAAAGATGGAAGTTCATTAAGTACTAATGAATTTCAATGAACTTCCATCTTTGCTGTGCCTTGTTTCTTTGTGGAACTGTCCGTGGGTACTTGTCCGTAAGGCAGAAAAGCGCCCTCTACTGGGCCCAGCGCAGGTCAAAATAATTCTAATCCTTTCTCCTACTCCCAGAATTACTTCCACTGATGGACAATGCCGCCTGTCGGAGGTCAGTGCCAAACTGGGTCTCGGGTGTTGTCTTGTAACCCTGACAACTGAGTCACGGAGCCTTGTGGAGAGTGAGGTAAATGACGATACAAACCCATCCCGCAGGCATTATGGTGGGTAATCGGGTCGGCCCATTAAACTCGTCTAAATTTAGCGTGTCCTACTGTCTCAGCCTGCTGCTAATCTGGAATATTCCAACACGTTTTTGAAGGAGGACTCTAACCCCAGTAAAGCTCGGAATCTTCTAGCCGCATGCAGGCTGTGTACACTGAGGATTCCAGAAGCTTCTGTTGAGACAAGTCAGACACCGGCTGTCAGGAGGAAGGAATGCCAGGGGTGTGGAGCATTTATTCTCACACACACACATCTTCAGTTGAGGATTGACCAAAATGTCTTTACTTTGGAACACACTTTCTATGGCTTGTAATGCTTTTTAAGCAAAAAAAAAATCAAAAATATACAGTACTAGTCCAAAGAAACTTATTGAATTGAATGATGAAACGTGCCCAAACTTTGGACTTGTACTGTATGTGTATTGCTTAATTATCTTTTAGAAAAAAAATGTAATAAAATGAATTAAGGGGACAAGATTGGACTTAACAATTGTAAATTAAAGTAAATGAAGAACAAAGGTTGCAGTTTGTTTGCTTTTCTCCCGGCCCGCTCCACCCTCCTGTCCTTGAGGGCCAACAACCCAACAATGACTCACTTCCCTTGTTTGTCAAAGTTGCTCAAATCCTGATGAAATCACGTGTTGATGATGATACCGAGATCGAAAAGATGTGTTCTATTTTGAACACAGTGGACAAACACTACACATCTGGTGTGATGCTGGTTCTGTAGCACATTCATAGAAGTTCTTTACTAACCATAATGTAGGCTCATATGCAGCTGTATATTTAGAAATGAAAGCAACACAAATACACATTTAACTGTAGTCGTAACTGAAATGAAATAAAGCACCTTTATCTGCCTCAGCATACAAATCCTGTCCGTAAACCACATCTGGTGTTCTTCTTCAAAAAAAAAATAGATTGTAACTCTTCAGTACTCGTCCTCCCCTCTTATCTCCAGGTCAATAATAAACACAATCACAGCTTCTGCACACACCGAGCAGAGGGCGCTGTGTGTATGTGCGCCTGTGTGTGTGTGTGTTAGATGCTGGTAGATTTCCATTGCAGTGATTAGAGGATCCGTCAACGCGGAATACTTTTCCAATTCCTGCTGTCAGTTGTATAATGCTTGTTGTGTCACATGGTCCATCTACCAGCCATGAGGGAACACGAGACATGAATTATGGTCCAATCTCTGGACACGCCCCTGCAGTGATCACAGCGACGCCTCGACAAGAGGTGGATAGTGAAGTGTTTACTCTTACTCTTCACTGTAAAGTGGACAGTGACCGTAAGCGCCTCCCTGAGGGAAAGAAGCTGAGGAGAAGGAGAAGAGCAATTCTGAGAAAACACAGAGTTCTATGAGGGGAGTGGCTTCTTATAATTTTAAGAGAACAAGGAAGTTCTTAGTTCAGGAAAGCTTTAAGCTGCAACAGTCGTTGATGAGCGGTTCACGGTATCTCTATGAAAAGTCAGCAACAGAGATGGGTTTTTCATCATCTTTGGAGAACGTGCCTACAATAGCTGTATCATCTGCATCATTTTTTGTGCACTATAAAGAAAACCCCATAAAAAACGGGCAAATGAATGTCGAACAAAAAACATAAAATTAAAGTAAAATATTGTAATGCAAATAACACTTTATTTGCATTACAATAATGCAAAAAACATAATACACAGAAAATTTTCCTGTATTATTCTGATCAAGTTTTTGCTGTACTGCTCTCTTAGGGTTGATCTTTCAAGCATTACATGACATGTACTACTAGCCAATGGAATTTACAATGAGTAGACACAGGCCATGTATCAGATCGAAGTGGTTACAATTCCACTTGCTGCCACTCTAAGGCAAAAATCAGCCACCACTGAGCGGCAACCCATTATTTTGTATTTTGTTGAGGCAGAAAGGTTTGAGCAGTGTCTAAATATGAAAAGTTCTTCACTGCTGAATGTGACCAGAAAGGAAGAGCTGGAGACAAAAACAGAAAAAAACATCTGTGGAGCCATATTGCTACGGGGGGATAAAACCAGTTGTGTCGTTCACTTACTTTTGTTTGATTATTTCTCAAACCAACTGTTAGATAATTACTACACATATTCGCTGTTAGAAGAAAAAAAACTGAAGGGTAGAAACCAGTATTTGGGGCTTTAAGTGTTGGGCGAGGCGGCACGGTGGCGTGGTGGTTCGCACTGTCACCTCACAGCAAGAAGGTCCTGGGTTCGATTCCGCCCGGTGGCCTTTCTGTGTGGAGTCTGCATGTTCTCCCCGTGTCTGCGTGGGTTCTCTCCGGGTTCTCCGGCTTCCTCCCACAGTCCAAAGACATGCTCTGGGGATCAGGTTAATTGGGGACTTTAAATTGCCCGTAGATGTGTGAATGTGAGTGTGAATGGTTGTATGTCTCTGTGTAGCCCTGCGATTGGCTGGCGACCAATCCAGGATGTACCCTGTCTATCGCCCGAAGTTGGCTGGGATGGACTCCAGCCCCCCGTGACCCTGTGTGCAGGATAAGTGGTATTTAATGGAGGGGCCATTATGAATATAAAAGTGGGCCAATATAAATGTAAAAAGTAGGCCTGTACCAAAACTTTTTTTAATAGGCTCAATGCACACATTCTCTGAAATGAATAACAATCTACATTTTGTTTAAAAAAAAAAGGTTTTACTGAAAATTCAAACACAAAAATAAACTAAATACAAGAAAAGGAACTTTGTACATTCATACACTTTCCGTTTTATACTGCATCTCACAGAGGCAGGACTGTGGGCTTTTCCAATCACCATGGTAATAGGCGTAATGATGCCATGTAATGTGGTCCAGTACACTGCAGCCCAGCCACAGGGAAAACCTTTAGCATTGACCATAGAAGCAGGATATTCAACTGCTGCCTCTTCAGAAAATACTAACTTTTGCAGACCACAACCAGAACATCCCATTCAAAAACAGTCTGCTCAATGTGAAGGGTCACAGTGGATCATCAGGAGCATACATTTCTATTGAGAGTGAACAAGAAGGCCTGGAACACCGGATGGGCTGAGGACAGCTTTCAGGGTCGCTGGATTTGCTTATTGTCATTTTTACTGCAAATGGTGCGATTACACTTACACAGCCTAGATTGGACTGTGGAAGTGTATTAGACCCATGAGAAATGCAACTTTGTGATTTCGACATTTTCACATTTACAAGGAGAACAAAAAAACACAATAACAAAAACACTAATGTTTTACAGAGAACCTGGATACATATGCAGAAAGAACACCCTTATAATTTGTTTATAAACATGACAATTTTATATATACACACAGATATGGCGCTGAACTCAAGGCTCTGTACTGGAATGGCAAACACACACACCAAGACACAAGATGGAGAAGTAAACTCAAACACACAGGGGATTGGGGACTGACTACTGTTACTATACTATTCACTGAAACTGTCATGACAGCAAGTTGGCATGTTTTGGCTGCACGAACAAGGGCTTCATAGAGACCCTGGTGGGTTTTTCTTGGAAGTTCAGATTACTTTTAAATGTTTCTACAATCCTTTCCCTCCTTATCAATCCTTTTTGCACCACCTCAACAAATTGTCAGAGGAGCTACATCGTACATGTTAAAAGGGAACAAAATGGTGGTCAGCTCAGCCACCGTTACTCCATAGTGCCCTTAGAGGTCATGGACTCCACGGGGTAGCTTTAACGCAAAGACAATGCGAGTATTTACAACAGCTAAACTTTACACCAAAAATAAGTTCATTTCAAGTAATGTTGTGATCAGCAGACCGAACTGAGTTGAAGCCGTGCTGATCTACGTGCAAATGTGAAATATGTCAAACATCAACCGATTACAACGTATTAGTCATATAATAATCCAAATGAATTAAGATATACGTAGCGCTCTATGATGCTCCTCTGTTAAACTAACCAAATAGTGGGATGAGTCTCCGGGACAATACTGAAGTATAATGGCAGATGTTAATAACATAGATATTGATATTTGAGCTTTAAAAAAACAAACAATGATGCAACGGCTCCCTTAAACGAGTAAACTACAAGCAAGAAATGTAGTAAGAGGACATTATGCAATTGAAAAACAAACTTCCCCACCCCCCGGTAGACAAAACCATCGAATGGTTACACAGTTTGAAAAAAATATCTTTGGCATCACTGTAATTCAACTTCTGTCATATATGCTGATACCAATACCTGTGCAATGACCCAATATCTGCCTGCTCGATGCACCACTGGCTCCCTCGATTGCACCAGAGCTAGCTTGATAGCTGCTAAGATACGACACATCCTGTGTTAGTAGTTCACAGGGCCGAGTATTGGCCTTCAGACCCCTCCATCCATCAGACCCCTCTATGACATTCCTCCCTATGACTTGCCCACTGGCCAACAACAAACCTGACATAAAGAGCTAGCCAGATGGAGGGTTTACTGAACTCGGTGGAGAGCTGGATGCAGGAAGACGAGGAGCTGAACAGTTGCAGGAGCCCCTGCAAAAGGCCTGGTGTGATAGTTCTCTGTCCAAGACACATTTACTTAAAGTACGTACAAAAATAAATATTTACCAAACATAATATCCTGCTGTGGAGGGGATCTGGGGGGTATTTCAGTACAACTTTTCCTCCTGGTCAGATTGCTGTTTGTTCAGCAGAGATTAATGAAAAGTAAACGGGATTGATTTTCTGAAGACAATTCATTGTTTCCCAGCATGCTGCTGCAGCAAGTGCGGTTGGGTCAGCAGGTGCTGTATGTATGTGTGTGTGTGTGTGTGTGTATGTATGTATTTGCATGTGTGAATGCGGGGGGTTAGATGACTTTGTAGGTCAGGAAGTCACGGAGCGGCATAGGAATAGCCAGGGTCTCCACCTGCTGGGTGGTCATAACACGGCGCAGCGACATCCTACAAATGTGCTGCAGACTGGCCACACTGCGAGGACACTCCCAGAAGTGCACACTACCACCACGAGTCCTAAAACAGAACCACAAGGGAACGTCAGAGGCAGTTTCCACACCAAAACTAAAAATAGCTGATTATGCATTGGGCTTGCACATGGTGCAAGAGACTTGCAAAGCTGCCTGCCTTGGCTCCTCATAAAAGCACAAGTCAATAACGTGTGACTGGCTACTTACCCAGCAGCAAGGACACTTCCATCAGCAGAGAAGGCACAGCAGAGGCCGCTGGGGAGAGAGCCGACAGCCTGAGGAGCCCTCTCCTCGATGCTCCAGAAACGAACCAGCCTGAACAGAGACACAACACTGCTGTCACAAGCCAAGCTTCCAGCTGGATACTGGCTCACCTGTGCCTTAGTGAAAAGGACCGGAAGGATTAAAACTACCCCGATCCTACTCTAAAAATGGCATGCATTTTTTTCACCTGCACCAAAAATAAGTTTTGCTGCATCATTCGGTGGATTTTTCTCTTTCTCTGCATTTTATGTCACATCCAGATCTGAATATCAGCCACAAAGTTCTCCAAGTAGCAATAAGAGAGAGCATCTAATTGATGACATCGCATTTGTGTGGCGAGGTTCCACACCCTGTAACATTGTATTCGGAGTCACAGATGTCTGACGAGTGTAAAAGGTGAAAAGAAGATAGATCATTTGAGCACTTTTAAGATGATTTACCCGATAGGTCAATGGTTTTTCCTTCTTACATATAAGGGGGGGAAACCGATCTATATATATATATATATATATATATATATATATATATATATATATATGAATATTAAGATGTCATCCATCAGAGTTTTGTTGCTTGGGTTTACATTCTTCTGGACGCAGAGTCTAATAAATGCACGACTTTAGTAGTATTTCATTTTTAATAATTGAATTCTTCTTCATGGACTCTTCACGGCAATCTGGCATGCAGTTGCCAATAAATCTTCTTATGAATGAGAAACGCCTTATTCCTGGCAATCCAGAAATACTTGGCTGCAAGGCGTTGCTTTGTTTTTATGACCTCCATTTTGTAGAGCTTCTTTTCTACATATTTTCTGCCAGCAGTACAGCTCTGGCCCAGCCAGTGGTGATTGATAGCACTCTTGTGACAGTCATGTGGCCCAGAACCATACAATGGCTCTGTGCTCTCTAGTCCCATTAGAGTCATAACTGTCAGCTAGGTTTAAAACAGGCAATCTTTTCTGCCGCCTTCGATGTCACGAACCAGTTGAACATGCGGGTGTGTCTTACTGGAATGTTTCACTTCACATTCTGAATTCAACGTGCGCTTTGTAATACTGGGTAACACTCATCCTAATACAGCTAAGCTCTTTTAACGGGGACTACAAAAGAAAGGAGATTGGAGAGGTGGTACATTCCAGTTGAAATGAAATTCAAACAACATCAAAGGAACGTCGCTACACCCTCAGTTAAAAACGTTGGGGGGGTCGTGGCAGAGCGGGCTCACACCTATGTATGCCTGTGTCATCCGGGCCGGAACTGCCATGCACAGACCTTGTCTTTGGCTGGATGTCATCTCTATTGAGAGTTCTGCATTCCCAGAACTATGGAGCCCATTTCTGGGGCACTCCATACTACAAAGCCGTATCAACCTAGCACTAAAACGCTGCGTTGCAGGGTATTAAAACAGCTCAAGTTAAGAATGACAAATGATACAGTGCCGTACCGATCATCCGTAATGCTGGCGATGTGGCGGCCATCAGGGGAGAAGCTCACAGAACGGACCCAGCGGTCATTTGCCCCTCCAGCAAAAATGGGTGATGGAGGAGGGAAGAGATGGCTGGAGAAATAGGAAAGCATGAGGATACACCGCAGAGATCCCCAGTTAGAAATTCCATCTTCACTGACTTTAAGCAATTGAGTTACACAAACACCATCCGCTGAGGATAGCCTGAGGGATGAACGCTCCAGACAAGCTAAGGTTAAAAACACTATTTTCCTGAAATATAACACTTACCATAATCAATAGCAACTAGAAACATTTGCGTCGACTGACAGGCCAAACTCTTGAGTATTATGTACAATTCAGCAGAAGCTACTGTGTATTGTGTGCTATTGTCTTACCCGAGTTCCAGCAGGACAGTGGCCTTGTGGGGGTCCCATACGATGACCCTGGTGTCATACGAGGCGGTGGCCAACAGAGCCCCATCTGGTGAGAACTCACAAGACACCACGTCATTGTGGTGCCCTTCCAGCTTCCGCATCAAGGTCAACTTATCCATGTTCCATAGGAACACCTGCAACGTGAAGAGAGGCCGGTTATAGCCAATGGAATGACTTGGACAGAGAATAGATGTGCTGTGTTACACTTATCACTACTATATGCACAGAAAGCATCTAGAAAGTCAATTAAGCAACAGCCATTTAAAGACAAATAGGTTATGCTCAGTGTCATTGTTATGATCTGTAGCCTTTAACCAGACCCATCAAATGCTACGTCTACATTGGTTAGCATCTTTATATCACATGAGTAAACTATGATAGCATCAAATGTATACATCATTTAACAAAGTATTTCATATTTGAATTGAATAATTCGTATTATTTCAACTGTTCTAGACAAAAAGAGAGAAAATAAACAAGTAGTAACTTAAGGTAACATAAAGTTACTCCACTGGTTTCCCCTTTCAGAGTTTTAGTTCATTGTGTTTACAATAGGCTCGCAGCTCCGGCAGAAGCCTACGAAGAGAGACAGATACTGCAAGAGAAAAGAATATTTTATGGCCAAAGGATTGATACCTCTGGCAAAATAGACATATGGGAGCACACGCACACGCGCACACACACACACACACACACACGCACACACACACACACACACACACCACGCATTTTAGAAAAGCAATCATGTTTATAAAATGTTTGCTGCTAACAGTCAGCCACTGTACCAATCTGAAGTATAAACGTCTTTTCTCCAGTTACACAACTTGCCAAACTTTGATGGTTCTGAACTGAAAATCTTCAAAAGTGATGGAAACAGAGCCCCATGTTAATGGTTCAATGTCGTGAGCTAGTTTTATAGTTACATTTTATAGTTTTCAAAATGAAGTGAAGAAGTATAATTCACTATTGTTCCAGACAGTAGAAACACTTAAGTGCTTTTTAGAGAACGAGAAACATCCAGAGTAGAACTATAGATGGAAATGTGGCACATAAGTGGCCAATTTGTGGACACTTTTAAGGCTACAGCTGACATTTTTAGAATACTAGAGCTCTGCGAAGACATAAAAAAGTATTGTATTTAATAGCGAAAGTATTCTACATCAACAAGGGAGTTAAACTCTTGTAGCTAGTAATTGTTTTCTCCAACTTTCCAATAGCACAATTACAATGCTACACTGTATGCTACTGGAAAAACATTTATACTAACAGCAACAGAATTCCTGGTCACAAAAGAGAAGCTAAACTGTGCAGGCAGTGGACGGAGCTATATAAAGAGGGGTGTGTTTGGAATATAGGGGGGGGGGGGGGGGTTAAAGGGGGATTGCAGAACCACTTTCAAAAGGTGCAATGTGTAACATCTAGTCACACGCTCAGGGGTTATACTACTGGGTTTGTACAATCTCAATTTGAAACTCAGAGCTGGCCAATATAACTAGAGTTTATGCTAGCCATGTGTGTGTGTTTACAGTGTCACTAGACGGGGCTGGAACGTTTCTTTGACACCGTTTGTCTTCATAACACCACTCCAGTTCACAGACTGACCCAGAACCAGCCCCTGGACCCGATTCGCCGTTGGATAGCTAGAGACCTCACACATTGCACCTTTGGTCACAGTTTAAATGTGGAATCAAAATGAGTAGAGGAACTGCGACAGCAGAGGTAGACAGACACAAAGCAGCACCTACGTACAGGCTGGTGCCAGGCTGCCCCTGGCCAGGCCTTTGGGCATTGCACACTTTGCGTCCCCGATTTGCACCGGCTGCTCAAAATGTCAGCGCGGCGCTCCCTTCAAAACCAATCACACACTGAGCTCTGCCACCACCTGTGACAGGGAGAGCAAGACACACACTGTAGGGACACACACAGCCTAACAAAGCTTCCTCCATGTCTACATTACAACTGTGTTCAGATGGAACATCGGGGATAAGCTGAACTAAGGGCCGCAGATACATGGCTGGTCAGTTCAACATTTTCAACATGCGTGTAAGGAGGACACGTTTTTTTCTTATCGGACTTGTCAATATACAAGGTTTACAGATTTTTTTTTAAAGGTGCATCAGTGTTAGTGGTGTGATTCAGTTTTAGTTTGTCTCCTTTTCCATCATACATCAAGATCTGAATGAAATAATCAAACTAGCTTATTTGAGCTTTACAAAAAAAGTGAAACCTGTTGTCTGCTCTGCATGCACACTTCAGAACACTAAAGCCTGATTTGTCCACTGCAAACTAAACCAAACTGAATGTGGATGCTGGTGGAACAGCGCATCATGACACCGAGCACGGTTTGACCTAAGGTGGAAATGGAAGGGCCGGGCAGACGGAAAGTGTTTTACATTTCTTAAGGTGATTGAGCTATCGTGATCTCTATCTCAACGAATTAAGCAAAGACGATGTATCATTTCGACAAAGAAAAAAGGATCTTGTATACGTACTGCTTTGCCAGCGCCCACCGAGCACAGGATGGAAGAGTCGGGAGAGAAGGCGCTGCAGTACACCCAGTTCTGATGGCCCCTCAGAACCTTCACCATGTTACCTACAGGACACACAACATGATCTCAGCTGACGTACTGCATGCGCTACACTCTCACTGCAAACTCATTTTAACATTTTCTTCAGACCGTTAGAGCCAGACAGGAAACACAGGAAGAAAGGAGGGAGGAAGGATACACCACAAAAGGTTCCCGCCGGAATCAAACCGGTGAAGCAGTGGCCAAGAGGTTTTTGTACTGAAATCATTTAGTTATTGGTTACTTGGAATTATTACAATTCAGTCTAAAACTATTTGAGCCCGATACATTTTTGTGGAGTGTACTACAAAAGGATGAGGCCGGGCAGGATCTGTATTCATCTTTAGTCTATAAACATTTTGTATAGCATCATGTTTTAAAAAGCCGACAGAACCAAAGCGCTGTTCAGTTTGATAAAACATTAATCAAAGAGAAGTAGTAGGTTTAATATCCATTTCCCATAACTTAGTAAAATGGAACTAACTGTTGGTTTTGGTTTGACTGAATTTGTTGACGATGAGAACCTCGAGTTGAGATAATAATGTCCATCAACATAAAACCAAGAATTTACAGCACGTTCAACTGATTGGAACGGAGGGTTATGTTTCCACCACGAATGTTATGCATGGGGCCATTGCCCTACGCACATGATCTGAGAGCGTGTGACTGCGTTTTGTAGAGCAGATCAAGGACTCTTGGTGCCTGTTGGTCACTGTATGATCCTATGCATATATACCAAAACAAATAAAGGCAGCTCTGAGTCGGAGAAACAAAAGCTTACGATGGTCTGTTTGGCTTCTGAATCGAAAGTAGGAAAGAAAAAGGAAAGTGGGTACAATGAAACTTTTGATTATAAAGGGCTCATTGACATACCATCATCTTTGAGGTCCCACACGCGGAGGGTCTTATCTCTGGATGCAGAGACCAGCATCAGACTGCCATCAGGAGCAAACGTCAAGTCTCTCACTATATCGGTGTGGTCCATCAGATTCAGCAGAAGTTTTCCTGCCGCAAGTCACCAAATCACACAGACAATCAATAAAAGTACAGCTTCCTCTGGAGAGTTTTATGGCTTGTAACGGACACTGTAAAAGCTCCTAGTCTGAGGTCTGCGCACAGACACAGCAAGAACTCCTGGCAGCCTCCTACCTGTTCTTGACTACTTCACATCTTTGAAGAGGTCAATTTACTATTTAAAACCCTACTTATGGTTATTCAGTGTTAACCCTAGGTTTACGACATATTCATGCACGTGTCGGGCGGAAATGCTGTTCGCAAAAATGTATATATGATATAATGGTAGTGGAAACTGTTATTTATCAACATTTTGCCAATGATTGTACTGGGTATTGTACTGTGCTACAAGCAGTGCAGTATATATTTTAGAGTGTTTCTTTTCAACTTCAGACCAATACAAAGTTTACTACTTTCACACTGGCAAAACAACACTGCATTTGGAACATCAGCTTTTAGCCATGTGGAGTTCAGACAGCGCCAATTGAACTTTAAGCCTCCAAAATACGCTTGTTTCTGTGGTTTATTCGAGGTGCCTCTCTTTTCCCTAATCAAAATGGAATTACGTAGTGTGAAAATCAAATAATGAATAGAGGGAAACTGAAAAGTGTCCATACCAGTGTAAACATCCCAGATCTTGATGCGACCGTTGTTCAGGCCCGTTGCCAGAAGCAGCTGGTCCTGACCGAACTTGAAGCGGTGCCACTCGATGTTAACGCAGCGGCTCTGCTTCTCTGGCACCGAGGAGCCGAAGGCCAAGCCCCAGACGACGTCACCGCAGTCGATGGTGTGTTCGCGGGGCTCGTCGGCTTCGGGGATCAGCTGGCCTTCGCCGCTGTTCTGACGTGACAAGCGGCGAGGGCTCAGAGCATTGGTTGCCTCTCCATCGTGGCCTATCGAGCTACAGCAGCGGAGAGTGGAGGAGATACAAAGAAGAGGTCAACCAGAGGCAGCTGAGCCACGCTCACAAAGCAAGATACAATTATCGCTATGCCATGTTGGGTGTGCGTTCGTCCCAAACCCCCCCACTGTGGCTGGCTCTGTTTGCACTACTAAACCTGAAAACTTAAAACGGATCCACATATCCACAAAGGATATGCCTATATTTGGTTGATCAAACCTGCTTCTATTGAAGTATTTCACGGAGAATGAAGCGCAGCTACATCGTTTACCAATTATACTTCTTCATGTTCCGGCTGTTGAATAATACTTTAGAATTTGATACAATCTCCTCCATCAACAAATTGACTTTACACATAGACCATTTCTAGTCATTTTTTATCCACCCTCCAACACCAGTGCAGGGTATGTGGTCATGGCAGCACATCAATGGTCAACTCAAAATGCTGTGAGGATTCAGGAGCGTTACGATACATTCGTTAATATGGTGTGTGGCTCTGAGAGTCACAAGGCGCTGATAAAAAGGAGCCTGTTTAGCAGAAATGGAGCTGATAATACAAGCCACATGTCCTTGGCAGTGAGGAACACCTCATAGTGTGGGCTATTTTTTGTCTGAAACTGAGGGACAGTACAGATTGTTCTATTAGCACTTGATCACACCAAAATTATACACGGAGACACATGAAATTAAATCAGCATGTTTATGCTTTGTCTTCATGTAGTGTAATTGAAGATTTGACTGTATAATCTGCCATCAGTGGCTTCCTTTATTTTATCAAATCATTGATACGGCAGCTCAGTGAACACAAGCACTCTCTAGATGATTATGTTTTCTGATTCTCCAAAAGTTTTACACCACAACTATAAAATGTCCCCACCTGAAAGTATATGCTTTATCAATGTGTGGTCAATGTCAAAGGTAAAAACTACTTATTTCATTCATCAGGGAGAATGTGTTGGTTTCCAAAGTTCCAGTGATAAGCTTATTGAGCAGGATGACCGATGTCTTCTCACTCTGCTGCATTGAGGGTTGTAAATGACCTGGAGTTGTGATAATACTGTGCCAGTCATTTTAGCTGCTATCTTTACACTACTTTTTATTAGATCAGTAAAAGTCCACAACACAAACACAATCAGTTGATCTGTTCAATTGAATTCCTTTTGTCTGGCTGACATGAAGAGAGCGAGACTAGTTGGGCTTCAGAGCTCGACACTGTACTATGAGGTCATCCCCATTCAAAGCAGTTTTCTAAATGAGGATTTTTTGGTAGAAGAGGGTTGGGCAACCAGTCAACTTGCGGCTCCCTGAGACTTTGACAAAAACTAACATGGAAATAAATAACTGTTATTTTTATTCTTTGTCTGTTTGCACAGTGGGCAATCTTTCAAGGGGAACCCCTCTTGGAGTTTTAGGTAATACTGTGTCCCTGAAGAAGAAAAAAAATCAATAATGATTTAATGATCACATGATCACACGCCGCCTCCCTCTTTCTTCCAATCACAGGCCCCCTTACGTGGTCCACCCACACAGAAGGTAGCTAGGATGATTAACAGGATTAACCTCTTCAAAACCAGATACCTTTACTGACCTCCTAAATTCAGTAAAAAACAATTTGCCTGTTCATACGGGTATGTTATGTAGCAACGGGATAAATAGCAATAAAATGGCTAGAATAGTCTTCATTCTTGTTCTATAATTTCATAAATACAACAAAATATAGTTTGTATATTTATATAGCTTTTGCAACTCCAGACACATGTTATTTGGTGGAAAATAAGGCAAACTGTCTCTTGGAATAGCAACGGTTGCAGGCCCCTCTGTTAAACCATGGCTGCTACATTAAAGTACTGGTACAAACTTTCAAATGATACTTACAAGTTCTTCAGACATTTTGCCCAGGGAATGAGCCTCACGATGCGATGTCCCTGAGACCAAGCAAAGTAGGAACCGTTGGGTGCAAACGCTACTGTCCACGCCTCACGCCCAGACTTCTGGTCAAAGGGAGCAACGGGCACCAGGAGTTCCCCGATGAACTTTGCTTGACCTGAAAAACAACAGCAACAGTTACAGTTACAAGAGGGCTTGTCACTGAGGTGACAATACCATTGGCTAAAAGAGCTTAACCAACCAGTGGATCTGTTCTTTGTTATTAAACGAATTAAAGCAGAAACTCAAATGCATGTGGGTTTTATGAACAAACTGCGTCTAACCTTTTTTGCCTTATACTTGCCTAGATGTTTGTGTTTAGGACAGTCAGATCTCAAATGTAACCTTTGTTTAACATTTCTCTGTAAATGTTCCAGGCATCACAACAAAGGCAATTTCTCAATTGTCATCAGGGAGTGTGTTCGCCTCAAACAGAGGAATCCGGGGCATGTACATAGAGATATTCAACACCGATTCATGACTAAACATAAATAAAGCAAACGCCATTCTTAAAAAATCCAGAATGGTGTCAGATGAAAGAGTTATAGATGATGACGAAAACTAAACGCTCAGGTGCTGAATTGAAAACCCTGTACATTCCCGGTAGTTTAGTTGATCACAAATGCTTTACTAAGATTCTAGAGACACGATATGTATATTATACATTAACGTAGTTATAGCCGGACAGCCTGCGCGTGCACACGTCACCTTCTCTCCTCCCTCAGTCCCCGGCGCATGGGGGAGGGAAGGACTACACAATAACGACCGATGGGTAAAAACACAAAGGGCTGTTGTAACGTTGTCACAAACATACAAACAATGCACTATTTGTAGACTGTAACTTAAATCCAATCGCCTCGGACATGAAGTGGGCTAAACAGCGTGAACGCTAAGCACCGAAACTCGGTGGAGCTAACGCTAATGTTACACACCACGCAAAGTACTCGACTATTGTAAAAACTGGTTTAGCGTTAACGTTAAATAGCATGTTAGATACTGTGGGGTTACAATAATGAAACAGTGTCGCTCACCATAATGTAACTTAACGTTAGCTAGTCCAAGACCGTTCAAGCTAGCTCTTTGTTAAACTAACGTTAACTGTAGTTTGATGTGGTATTTTTTCAGGTTACAACGGAACGTTGAGAATGTATAAATCAATCGTTGAGATGTACACTTACCTATATCATTTTCGTTTACAGAATCTGGGAAGCTTGCCATCTAAATTAGAGCACAGACCTGAGAGAACGCTAAGCACGAACTGTAAAATGAAGGTTTCAAGAGGAACTCGGCGACTACGCGCGGCTTGTCCGCCCGATGTCTGCTAACGTCTGTAGTATCCCTCCGCCAAGTGTAGCGACCCGGGTGGAGAATATAGTCGTCGTTTGCCCTGAGTGGATCTGTGTGGTTTTCTTTTCCTTCGCTCCGTTTCCAGTACACGTTTTTACTGTTCAATCTATAATGACACCCCTTTTAAAACGTTATTACAGAATTTGTTGGGTAGACAATCGCAGGTAGTACAATGACTTGTAACTTGGTACGACGTAACGGAAGCTGCTTTTATGAAGTGGAGGAGGGACCGACAACACCAGGGGAGGGTTCCACTACACGTCAGCAGAGGACTGGGCCATTAACGCTCCCCATGTGCGCACGCACACACACACCACTCTCTCTATCATAAATAGCCAATGTAAAAGGATAAAGGTGCATACCGCCACCTACTGTACAGGAGTGTGTAACCAGAAGAACGGAGAACGGCCATTTCCACAATTTTACTATCAAGCTATTTCTTTCGTTTTCATTTAAAATAAAAAATGGTTAATATAATAGAGTACCAAAGTAAACCCGTATATAGTGTAGCCGAGCGTTTATATTTATCGTTTTTTCATTTTATAAATATATATATTAGACAAAAATTAGTCAAAATATCCCAATGGATCAGAATTGCCGTCCAGTCGAATTTCCCTCTAAAAAAGATGACGAGGAGCAACTGTAGTTTGTGATGGTGCTGAACTTACTGACTTACAATACTGCATTAGCTTTATAAAGTACAGAGACGGTTTGATATAGCAACAATAATTAATCAGTTAGTATTTTAATGGATAGGGCTACATTCCACATACACACCTACAGTTTGTCTTCGTGTTACTCAAACATATGTAATGAACACAAGTCCAAACAAGAACGCGTGGTGAGAAAGGCTATCTGCTTCAAATAGAAACTATTTTCCTTGTCCCTGCTTTTTTTGTCGTAGTGCCTTTAAACCTGTGCGATCCGATCAATCTTGCTTTGACGAGATCCTCCCGCCTCTTTTTTATACCCCTTTGCTGTGGAGAGATGCAACAATTGAGTTCATTATAATATAATGTTTCTACTTGGTTTTGTGAAAAATTTGCTAAATAGGTCCCTGGTCATAGACGCAGAATGAGCACAGTGTAGACATTGAGTGAAGTGGAGGATAACAAGGCCCAAGTAGAGAAATCTGGGTGGGGCAGGCCCCACAACAGGTGGGAAACACACAGGCGTTGTTATGGAGGACTCCATAGGATCTCTTTGTGTCACTAAAGTCAGATAATACTAGAGCCATCAAAGACCAAAACATTTTCACCATGTTTTTAGGAATATATTAAATATATTATATATATTTGTATCTGGCATACAAATAATACCCCTCTGTAAAAAGAATTTTGGGCACGACATATCAGAATCATTAAGTCCGATGCGTTTTACTTTATAGAAAAAATGTTTAATGATATCGTATTTACAAACATAACTCACAAACAAATTACAAGGTATGACAAAATGACATCAAGGCTAAGAAATTTCCTCAATTACAAGAAAATGTACAAATGAAGAAAAAAAACACAGTAACTACAAATAGTTGGATAGTTGAAAATCTGTTTTAAAATTCCCTTCAGAAACACATCTAATGTTGGATCATGTTTTCCTCCAACAACACATGAAGAGGCGAGCACCGTAGAAAAGGTTCGGAAAGTGCGTAGCCCTGGATGTGCCTCTGCGTGGATATGGTGTAACATTCTGATGAGCATGTGACTAAATAGCTTCACTGCAGTTCATGTACATTCATGACCTGCAGCACACGCTCACGATCCAGCGGCTCAGTTCTCCTCTACAGAGCTTTGTTAGGCTGACCAGTTTAAATGATCACTTGAGAAAGTCGCTGAGCACACTGTAAAGAAAAAGTCCCCCATTACATCACTTTGTACTTTTCCTCCACCGACTCAATTATATGTTGAGTGTTGAGTGTGTCAATAGAAAGACAACACGTTTGACGGTCTTTAATTATAATCAACTAATACACTGACTTTTTATAATGCATTTAAAATGTGAACTATAAAACATTCTAAATTGAAACATGACATTACCTAATAGCACAGACTAGCTCCAGCTGTTAATAACTTAATGGTTTCTGACATTTCCAAAAGCTTGAGCAAAGTGGTGGAAATGATGGTATTAGCTCAAACTACAGATTGTGCAGCTGTAGTGTATGGGGCACCATGTGATCTACAGTATACTGCATGTAATGACTTCTACAGAAGAGCAGCTTCTGCATTCCTTACGGTTCCTTTACATGGAGCTCTTTGACATGACGAGTTTGGACCACACACACTGTATGTCCATGTGTGTGTGTGCGTGCGTGTTAAGCACTTTGAGTCGCCTTGTTGTTGAAATTTGCTATACAAATAAAATTGCTTTGCAAGTGTGTGTTTCGAAGACTCATCAGAATTATGCAAGTGCAGGGATCACAGAAAGGAAGCACGCTATATACCAGAGACAGATGGAACCATCAATGTTGCTCTAAAATATTGTCTTAGACATGATTGACAGCTGTGAATGGCACTAAAGAGTCCTGGTGTTGATACTACTCCTGTTTGGACTATTTGTCCTTGTATGTGGCATCAAAATCCAAATGAGTGTGGGATGGGGCAAGGGGTGGGGAGTAGGGGGTCCCTGAGAGGAGAAGAGAAATTTAAGTACATCAACCCGCTAATGAATCACAGTAACCAACGCTGTCTCACATAACTCCAGAGCCAGCTTATGAACATACAGTTCAATGAACAACAATCTCGGTATATTGCTCATTGGACTCATGTGGATCCAGATTGTTTATGTGGCTGCGTGGAAGGTCATGGACTAAAAACAAAGGCCTGACATGAGCTCATGCTTCCTGCGATTTGCCTGTGTTTAACATAGCATAATGCATAATACACAAGTGGAGTTGGTTTTCAAGGCCCATTATGCAAAAAAAAAGAATCCCCAAAAGCCAATAAAAGGTCAACCATTTATAGATAGGTTTAATATTAATTAATTTCACTCCAACACGGAAGTCTCTTTTTAAGTTTAAACCAGCTGTTCATGTTAGACTTTAGAGTAACCAGCAGTAAATAATCTGAATGAGTGATAAGAAGCACACAATTATAAACATCCGGGAACATCGGGTTCACCCAAACTCTCTGGATATCTGTAGGCTTACCCTTAAAGCGATATCCATACAAACAGAACATCCTTTGACGGGGCCATTAGGTCACATCTCACCAGTGTTTGTGTTGGGGAGGGACGAGGGGAGCTTCCCTTAGTAGTTAGTATAGAACAGCTGAACCCGGTGACCCTTTAGCAGAGTAGCTGTGATGCCGAGCTGATAGCAGCAGGCCTGGGAGCAGCGAGAGAGCTGCTACCTGCTACTCTGTGTTCTCCTGCCAGCCTCTGGGTCTGAGTACTAGAGTACAGTGGCTTCATTAAAGCCCTTTCAATACACAGCTCAATGACAATTCTCAGTGGATTTGTCACTAAACGTTTCCACTAGTTACTTGATCAGCTGCTCATATAATGCTGCTGTAAACGTAATGGCACGTATGACTTGTACGAAATGTCTAAAACATGCATTAATTCCTAATGGAAAAGTCGCAGTCAGTCATTCAAACATTTGTCCATCACTAAAAAAGTAAAAAATCACATTTTTATGTAGTTTAATTAAAGGGGATTGATAAGTGATAAAAACATTCACACAGAATTGAAGAAAAACAGATTGAAATGAAATGTTAGAAATGTGAGGTTCATTTGTAGAGACTTTCTGAAGTAACAAAAAATATGTGATGCTCAAAGGGAGAAAGGAATGATCTGACTCCTCACACAGGCTACATCAGACTTTCACTACTTATTTAACCCATGCTAGGTCAACATCTACAAATACAAATGGAAGGAGCAGAAGAAATGGGGCATTTGCGCGAATCTTCTATCCGCAGCACCTTTCAGATGCGTCATCCTCCCAAAAGGACATATCCATCATTTATGTGGGAATCACAATGGATTGTCTCATGTCTAAACATGTCTACAGTATTAACACCAGCATCTACAACATGTTTTCTCCTTCACTCCAGCAGAAGTGATCAACAAAGACATAATCTGCTACAAGGACAATCTGAGATATGGCAAAACAGGTGGTATTTCCCATTTCCACAACATCTCCCAGGTTTAATGTAGGAGTTCTGGGAACCTGGGAGAATATTAGCAATGTTTCAGTGAGGCACTGAATGTCGCTTTATTGACATGTACAGAGCAGTGGATTCAGTCTACTAGTATGGTTCCAGTACTATGTTGGCAAGTGTCTTAACCAACAACATTAGCTTGCTAACCTTCCATTATTGTTAATGTTCACCTGCCCCCCTACAAGGCATCGGGACCCAATATCATCGTGTGACATCATGAAAGGAGCAAAATATTCAAAGTATGATGCTCTGACTCTGCTCTAGATGTGGTAGGACTGAGAATATAATCCAAACAAAGAAAATACCCTGAATACATTCAAGGTTTTATGGGTAGGTGGAGGTAGATAGCAACGTTTTTAATTGGAGCGGCCAATTCTCTATAAACCGTTACACTGTTTTTCCTTCCTTCAGTTGCTTTCATTACTAAATTGCACAATATTGAAAGTGGAGTATAATGCTCAGATTCATTCTCAGTCATGTTATTGTTGCATGGGAAAGCTAAAACTAAAAAGGAATGGATGGATTAATTTAATCCAGGTCTCAAGGTATGACAACAATATCACGTCTGCAGCATTACTTTTGATAAATCACATTGTCATTTACACTATGTGACACAAATGTTCCATTAACGTGGTTTGATATTTTGACACAAGGTGCGGTGAGTGTTGCTACAATATGCTGAATGACACCAGTTTCCCTTCCAGAACAAAGCAGACTACTGAACTGCTCCAAACATGGATAGTGGATAGTGTTGTTCATCCACTGGTCATCTGTGAGCAGTCGAAATATTTTCATACAACAATTTCAGTTCCATAACCCATGACTTCCAAGGAGAGCTAAATACAACAATCCGATAAGAAAACATGGTAAAAAAAGCTCTACGTGGTTTATTGTATAGAAAGGATCTGACAAGCAAAGCTGGGGCACCATCAGAATAAAGTATTAAAGGTTCATATGGCTCAAGATCATCACTACCTTTGTGTTTCTCTCAGTGGATTAAGGAGAGCAGTTAACAAATACTGATCAGGATGTACAAATGATATATTATCAATACAGAGATGATGCATTAATAGACAGTTGGGCCAGTGCTGGAAAAAGTCCAGATCCTCTTCCTAGGAGGAGGTGGTCATTACTGAGCCTTACATTGGCTGGTTTGGATTAGGGTGATGTGAGCAGGGGGAGACAGGAAGAGCTGCTAGGCCACCAGCCATGAGTCGCACTGCCTTTGCCATGGTAACCCTGACATGGTGCAGCATAAGAGGATCTGAAATGCAGAACACAGAATGTATGATGACGGATTTTTATCTCAAAATAAAACCCTATGTCTCCATCTTTTTTTAAGGCCGTTGAAATTGAAAGTGCCGGCTTACTACATAACTACATAATCAAGTAGGACATCTTCACTTAGGGGGGAGGGGGGGTGGGGCGATCGACACACACGCACACAGTGCCCGTTGATGAAATCACAACTGTCTTACAGGGTGTTGCTATGGAGATAAGCACAGATCTCACCTATACTGGGGGAACATTATCTTCAGGGAAAATGAGCCATTTACTCAAATAAGATCTGGCATTTACCATCAACCACAGAGCTTTAGAAGTTAAGGTGGTCATATTTCTTTGATAAAGATAATTATGCTGGTAAGAAATTTGCATTCATCTTAGTCGCTAAACCCCAAAACTGTTTAATTCCATTCTTTTCAATACAGGAAATATAAAAAAAAAATATGAAAAAAATGTAATGACTTTTTTTGAAAATATTTTATTTTGAAAAAACAACCAGATTCTCTCCTAACTACGTGCACTTTTCACACTTGACCCACTTCCCAAACATCAACAAAGCGTTTTTCTTGCCGTGCGCAGCTTTGAATGAATGAGGACGACCTTACCATAACATTGGCTCATGGCGCTCATTTTCTTCCTGAGGGTTTGCTCTTCTGGACTGACCATTTTCCTCTGGACACAGACACAAAAACACATAAGTATATGTGCACTTCATTTTTAGAAAATTGAAAGTTATTCTGTGGCCATTGTCATTTGACGCTGTTGGAAGGCTCTTCTTTAGATAAAATATGACGGTATCTCCTATATTATGCACAACTTTGATCAGTGCCTTTACCTGACCTTTAAAAGAGCTCAGATAAAAGCTACACATCACAACTATAAAAAAAAAAAAAACTGCTATTTATGTGCGCTCAGCAACTCATCTGAAGTAGATTGACCACTATTAATGCTTTAGGACAGAGGTCACTAACTGGCGGGCCGTGGTCCGGATCCGGACCAAAAGCTGAAAAGACGGTTGTGATTTAAACGTGAGAGCGCACTTTTCGACCGGTGCAGCTTTGGTCGTCTTTACGCTAGTAGCTTAAAGCAGAGACCGATTGCATTTGAGTTAAACGTGATGAATTATTTGATGAATTATTAAAAAAAAATGTTTTAGAGTGGGTAATGAAGCCCCAACCCCATTGTCGCCCCACCGCTTCCCCAAGTTTGAGAACCAGTCATCGATGCATGTGTGGGGGTCTCATCTGTGAATAACAAAGGGCATCTAGAATGGATCCCGGAGATCCAATGTGTGTTGGAGCAGTAGCTTGTTACTAGAATGGAAATCGCTGGTCTGCCTCGCAGGTGGCAACAACGCACAGGACCAGGGGCCTCATTTATAAAACATTGCGTAGGATTTGGGCCAGAAGTGGCGTACGGATGAAACGTAGGACGTGCGTACGCACAGAAATATTCAGACTTATAAAACTGTGCGCACGCACGTCCTACGCAGTTTTCCCTTAATAAATCACAATCAATTCTGATGCGTTGCAGCGCAGCTTTTGCGGCTTCATGTCACGCCCATAGATGCCCATATATAGTCTGTGGAACGCCCACAAATTAATATTCATCGATTGCGAAATCATGACAAACACTGAGAGGAAAACGAAGAAACGTAACTTCACTCAGTGTGAAGTCGAAATAATCATTGGCGAGGTGGAAAGGAGAAGTAAAATGCTTTTTGGAGGGCACAGTATGAACATTACTAATGTCAAAAAGGCACCTGAGTGGCAAAATGTTGCAGAGCAACGCTGCAGCCTCACAACCTCGGACCGTGGCGTTTAGCGCACCATCGCCAAAGGTGTGTCTTCTACGGGGGGGGGGAAAGGGGACACCGGAGCTGTCCCCTCTTGATGAGAGACTGGCGGCAATGATCGGATACACATTATGTAGCACAGCACATGCCAGCACGATTTTGCACACCTGTTCAGGAGTAAACAATAACCTCCCTCCAGTGCAGTCGAGGCAGCGCCATCTGCCCTTAAACAGGCCGACGGTGCGCTGCACTACAGCGCCAATCCTTCCATGTGCCACATCTTCTAAGAGCGCAAGATCAGCCATCAGCGTCATTACGCATTGTGACGGCATCATGGCATTTTATTACCGTCCATTTGATTGCATCTGACAAGCAACAGCTGTGATTTGAGGACGAATTGCATAACATGCCAATATTATTGCAGAACATATTTCACTTTTCTTTTTGAAAATATGTTATTTTGTATTTCTGTTTGTTTTACGCTGCAGATCGATCAAACGGATGTTCGTGTTATTTATGAGAGGCAGTATTGGCATTTCTTTAAACAGCCTAGTTTTACACACTTCACACACGTTTGCGTGTTTCTTTCATTTGCCGTCGGTTCTCATTTCACCTGTTTTTGTGCGTACGCGTGGGTCCGAGCTTGCGTGAAGGACCGCACATTTTTCCGTCAAGGTAGCTTTTTATAAATACCAATTATTGCGTAGAGAGCGACGTACGCCTTCTTTTGTGCGTACGCAACGTTTATAAATGAGGCCCCAGGACTTCTGTGTTGAGGCGTTTCAGCAGTTCTTCACAGATGAATATATACGTTGACTGTATCAACGTTACGGCTGACTCCACATGTGCGTCCAACAACAATGCTGGAAGTACAACAAAGTTTGCAGGAGCAAGCAAACACATTACGCACAACTGACTTAATTGAACACTAATGCCAATTAGACACCCAGAACACCCTTTGTGTCCAGCTTCCCTCAGACGTCGGGTCTGAGGGAAGCTGGATCAACCAACAAGCGCTGTGCCATGGGAGACAATAGTAAAGGCGGTTATATTGTGTGGGTGAGATGCATTTTTTACCGCAGGGGTTTGCCTCTACGTCGTCGAGGAGATTGGATGTAGAGTTGGTTGTGCCCAATCTGGAAAGGATATAGTTAAGAGAAAAAAAAAAACCTGGCTTTTCAAGCCACATGAGTCCCACAATTCATGGACTCATGGGTTATGGCAGGTGATTGTTGGCTGGTGATGTATGCAAGTATGGAGGTGCTTCATGTAGATGAAGTAACACTATAAACGAATAAATGGCAATGATTTTGCTTTCTTCCATGTGAAAGCAAACAGCACTAAGCCAGAAAAATCTGCAGGTTATGTCTTTGGTAGTTGCACTAATAGAGATCAAGAATGTGTTGAGCTAATTTGCTGAATTACAGTATGCCCACTCTGATTGTGCGCATGATCCTGGTAAATATACATTGGGCTACTTAAACATCTTAAAATATAATAATATAAAATAGCCAGATAATGTGATCAAGCAAAGGATACGAATGGTGCTTCAGGAGCATCTTCCTTTTTGACTTTCTCCGCTTCGTCTTTTCTGAAAACGTTCTGGCAATTTCAAACAGCTTCTTTCTTGTTGCTGAAAGAGAAAAAATTCCAGGTCATGGACAATAACCCTTAATACGTAATCCGATGATTTTTGAAATATCAATAGTCTTGTAACTCTGGTGGAGACTTACATTTACCCATGTGTTTAAGCTTGTCTCTGAACATGGCGTCATCCGAGACCGCCTCCAGTGATGCTGCAGAGTACTGTTCTCCTGCACACAGACCCAACCCAACTGTATAATGGTGCAGTGGCATACAAAGCATTTATGGTATGGTGTACATAACCTTGACAAAAGTAACAAATATCAGTGAATGCACACAGACCAGTATTTTGTCCAAGTCGGTGTGCAAAGACACCGTTGCAAATAGCTTGGCAGAGAAAGCTCAATGAGTGATATCTACCTGTGGAATTCTCCATACTAGATGAATGAGTGGACTTTGATTTCTTTGATTCATACTTCAAGCGATCTAAAAACAGAGAGCAAATGTTATGAGTACTGATGTGAGGCATCAAAATGTGATGAGCTTCGGTATAAGGGCCAGACTTCTAAACCACCATGTCAATTCATCTCTACCAGCATCAATCTTTCTTTTCATCTAGCAAAGTCAGATTTTTAGATACAAAAGGTAGAAGTAATATTTCACCGTCTCTCTAGTGGACTTAATTAACTCAAGAATTTTTTGTGTGAGAATGTAGAAAAATACTGAAAAACCATGGCTGTGGTTCAGGCACAACTGGACCTCTATACCTACTAAAACAATGGAAGCGAGGGTCTTGATCATAAGCTGAGGGATGTGAGACACTGACAAATGGAGACATATAGAATTCATTTTGTCCAAGTAAAGAGAAGCAATGACAAAAAACAGAAATCCCAATTAAGACAAGTGCTAAAACGGGAAAGGCAAAGTAAAATCTGTGCTAAATGCTAATGCTAAATATGCTATAAAAAAATAATCAGTCTCATGTTCGTATAGTAGGCTCGGCTAACTGTACTTGGCTGGACCACAGCGAAGTTATTTAGCAAGAAGAAGACTTAACATGTCCTGTGATTTGCTACTTTAAAAACATTTGAAGAGCCAAGACCACTGGTGAAAAACAAACATTATTTCCAGGAATTGCCATTATGGACTCCACTGCTGACTTCCCTGAAGCAATTTGGCTACAATTTAGCCTACTGACCATACACGGCCCAGCTATATACTAGTTTAGACTTCATGTTAAGCGAACTACGTCTACCAAGTTCACACCAGAAAGCCACAATAATGGGTGGTGCTTGAAGCTTAGTGAGCATGACTACTGGATCATCATCAGCGTAATACCCTTCCCTAGAGCAAGAGGTGTCTATCTCAATGCCTTTTTCCCCTCATGAGTCAATACAACTCAATTGGTTCACAGGTTATAAATGCTGGCTTGGCCACACCTTACAAATGGCAGCATATTTGACCAATAGAAAAGCCAACCTGCACTCTGCTTATTCGTCAATTGACCATTTAAAAGTCACAAGACAAAAGTTTCTTCTTACAAGAAATCCTTTGCACCCAACGGTTTCAATGGAAAACAGATTTAGATATGATATCCTTCAGCTTGAGAGTAACGGTACACGTCACAGTTCATATACCCGTAACGAGTCATGGTTCACTGAGCCATACAGAATAAATAAAATCATACAACATCCAACTTGTCCCCATTATAATTGTTTCAAGTAGCACAGCACTATATATTTAAACTTCATCCATTGAAATCCATCAGACCCATAGTGACTGATCTGCAGCCAAGCAGCTCCTTGCGCTTACCACAGCACGTTTCTAATGGCATACAGATAAATAATGCGCTTTTCAATCTGCTTTACACGCATCATTCAACATAATGTGCTTTCTACGTGCGTCCGCAGCTTTGGTTGCTGATATTTTGGTCTGATTTGTAATCACACATTTAACTTTCAATACGTGGACCAAATAATTCCAAAGAGAAAGACATATAGGGCTTGAGCACCAAAGCAAATGATGGTCTTTGAAAAGGTTTCCTGTGGAGTTCTACAAGGTAACATTCAGTGTTAGTCACTAAAACCCTTTGGGTGCAATGAGCTCTAACAAATGGGTGTAAGGCATTTCCCCTTTCATAAAACATTTGCTAAGCCAATAAAAATCATAGCATGGCTAAATGTTTTAAGCTTGCACATTTGCTTCCTGCTTTTGCTGGTATATTGCTTCATATCTTTTACCAACACGTCTGAATCAGCAAAGTCGTGTGAAAGGATTGGTTGGAGTTCTACTGTGTCACCAAAGTTTGCTCGTGCACATGCATGTGACAAACCAAACAGCTCCACAGAACAACTACAGGTCAAAAACTCCACAGGGAACCTTTGATGATAAAAGCCTTAAAAAAGGATTAGGTATCTCAATGACATGTGTTCAGGATACATTATTTCCTGTGATTTATATCCCTGTACATATCATACCACCAAATCACTAGACATATTGACACTAACCTCATAGCAGAATGTCTGTGTACAGTGGGACGGGCGGACACAGTCATACCTCTCTCCAAGGCCACGAGGAACTCGCGGTTGCGCTGCAGCTCTCTCATGAACTCCTCGTTCTGCAGGAACAGGGCGATGCGCTCGTCTTCCAGGTACTGCTTCAGTTTCTTGTCTTGCTCGGTTGCTCCCATTGTCAAACCTGGACTTCCAGAGGTTCCAGCCCCGGACTGGGCTATCCATTGGCTTATTGAGGAAACTGAGGAAGACGATGACGATGAAGGGTGGGATAGACTGCTCTGAGAGTCTTGCTGGAGGTGAAGACAGGAGAGGTGATTGGGTGGTATCCGACTGCTTCTGTTATTAGTAGTTTACAGGCAGTGGTAAACATTCCTTTCTTTATGAGTGTTAGATGAGAAGAGTAATATCAATCTCATAAACACATGTGTGCATGGATTAAATAAACAAGATTACTCATTTATTTCATTCAGTTTTAAGCATATTTAAACTTAGGACAGACTAGACTACGACTCTTTGCTGTCGTTGCTCCGAAATGGTGGAACGAGCTCTCTGATGACACCAGGATCGCAGAGAGCCTTCGCATCTTCCACCGCAAACTAAAGACACACCTCTTCAGACTCTACCTCGAATAAAACACTAACAAATTGTAGCACTTAAATTGTACTAATAACGTCACTTATCTATAGCAAATTGTAAATTGGCTTATTTGAGGAAATTGCACTCGTTTCTTGCTCTTCTGAGTTTGTATTCCTATGGTTGAATGCATATATTGGAAGTTGCTTTGGATAAAAGCGTCCGCTAAATGACATGTAATGTAATAGAGACAGGCTCAAGTTGTCCTTCAATCTGCGGTCTTTGTGCTACAGTAAGCTAATAAACTGCCGGCGCAGATCTATACTTTTAAGACACGTTGCTGTGTTTTATGCGTTAGAACAGGAGGGGTCAAGCATCTGCTAATCCAATCAGTCAACTGGTTGCACTGTATGAGTAAGCGCACGAGGGACACCAAGATTGGTACATAACAGCTGCCACTTTTCCGATAACGGCATCACTCTAGGCAGCAGCGCTCGCTTGAAAAATGATGGCTTGATTGTTGTCACGCGATCTCTGTGCCTCGAAGGCTGATCCGCTCTCAAACAATCTTGTTAATTCTAACCAGACTTCTATGGCGTTATATTTGTGCTACAATCCCGAGCGCGTAATTTTAAGTTGAGCACAGAGAACTATATTTTAGCAAAGAAAAACATTCCGTGCGCGCAGTTTACTCAGGTGCCGTCTCCACAAACTGGTTTTCTGCGCGCAGGCAGCCTTTGCTGCGCTCGCTCCACCTCTTCACTCTGCGCTCGCTCCACCTCTTCACTCTGCGCTCGCTCCACCTCTTCACTCTGCGCTCGCTCCACCTCTTCACTCTGCGCTCGCTCCACCTCTTCACTCTGCGCTCGCTCCACCTCTTCACTCTGCGCTCGCTCCACCTCTTCACTCTGCGCTCGCTCCACCTCTTCACTCTGCGCTCGCTCGACTTGCAGCAGCGTTACATTTGTGCCACAAAACCAACCAATCAGAGAATTAAAGAAGGTCAATTGTGATTGGCTGTTGGTCTCCAATCACAACGCTAGTAGAACTACCTACAGCATCGCGGAAGCTCAGCGAGTTGTTGAAGTTTGCAGCATTTGTGCTAAATGCTAATGGCCTGGATTAAAACACGTGCTGTTCTCATCATTTGCTTCGGTCATGTCTGATGGTGGCTAGCCGGACTTCTAATATCACTTGTTTTCGTCTTCTTTAGGAAGCGTTGTATGAATTTAACATATTGTACATCTTTTACGTTGTTCATTCTGTACACAGGACATCCATCAGTCTGTACATCCCGGGAGGAATCCTCCTCTGCAGTTCCCTATGGTTTCTTTCTCGCCATTGAGTTTTTCATTTTTTTTTTGGGAGTTTTTCCTGTGCCGGTGGGAGGGTTTTGGGAACATGAGACGTTGCATGTGCACCGACTTGTACCAATTTTGAGGGCCAAGTATCGCAGACAAGTTAAATGTGTAAGTGTTGGGAAAATGTAAAACTTCATCACCACAATTAATCAGATTATACTTCTTTGAATGTGCTTGCTGGCAGTGGGCTTCATGGAATGCATCTTCAAATGAGATCTTGCTGGCAAAAATAATTAAAAAGGTATCTCAACATTTTGATTTGATCAGTGGAGGCAGCGCAAAAAAAAAAAAAGCACGGCACGGCATGCAGCGGCTTCCCTGATGTTCTCCACTTTGTTAACACTGTGTCAAAATGTGCATTCTGTGAGACAGTGAATGCTCAGCTGCGGCACGTGGTGTTCGCAATGTACGGCTCGATCAATCAACATGAATAAATGATTCCTTGTTGGCAGAATCGATAGTGTTTGTACAGGAAGTCATCGTGATTTGATAACAGATCTTGGTGATCTCAAAAGAACTCTCTCCCTATTCAATGTTAATCAAACGATTATCGCTTCACCAATAAGGAAGAGAACTGCCCTTTTTTTCCTGAGGGAGTGGCGGGCTAATCCAGTTGATTAAGCCTGCGCCGCAGCAGGTTCAAGTTTTTGTATGTGTTGCTATGGTGCTTTCGCCAAACTTGCTCCGTGGAACCTAAAACCCTGATCTATGTAATCTTATCCTGAAAATGATCCTGTTAACTCAAATAGCCACATAGGAGGAACAGGGCCCTGTCGTTTTTGGCAGTAAATATGTGTCAACACAAACTAAAAGTCAGCACTATTTTGAAGAAGAACCAAATTTTCCAACTTAACATCGAAAAGCTGACATTTTTTACCTTTATGCTTTCCAACTGCTGTGGGAGGATCCGCAGAAAGTCATCGGGGAGATTTCCAAGTAAAGGAGGGTTCCAGTTCCGGTAACTTCTGACCTGCTGATGACCTGGTGGTGGCTGGGCTTCAAATCTGTGAAAGCCCATTGAGTAACAAGACATGCAAGTAATTAAACCAACTGCTTTAGTTAACAACAACTTACCCCTAGCTATGGTAAACTATTACCATATTTTCCTCACTATACGGATTATAAGGCGCACCTCCAATGAATTACCTATTTTAGAACATTTTTTATACATAGGGACAAAGTTCAATCCAACACAGTATGTGAAGTTGTGGCGGGTGGAGCGCAGGGTACTACTGTAAAAAGAGACTCCATATCTAAATAGTTCTTAATCTAGCAATTGTCTGGTTTTGTTCTGTTGACGTTGGAGGTTTATCCAATTGTTAAAGAACAGGAGAAGTAGTTAATTGCTGCATGGGTTATTTTTATATCATACTGTTCATCTGTAACACCATGGGACTGTTGCTAGAGCCCTTCATTTGTTTTTTTACGAAGGTTTATGACTTAACTAATCACATAATGGAATATAGCCTTGCAGAGTCGCAGCGCTTTGCGTCGCATCGAGGTCTGTCTGATCACAAAATTCATAGTTTACCCACCTATAATATTACCACTGCAGCCCTGTTGATAATGAATTAGTATATAATGCATTCCTTAGCCACACAAGCTGCATGCTGTACAGATGTCAATGTCAGCCAGCCAGCTAAGATTTAAGCAGCAACGGGATGGAGTACCACAAAGTATCATGTGATCTCTACAGGATTAATCCAAACACTGAAGTAGGTTTCCAAAACAACAGAACTTTGTCACTGGTGTAAATTGCCTCACAATGACCATGTGCCATGAGTGTCAGGCCTACCAGGAATAACAACTAGCTGTTCAAGTAAAAAGGTTTCAGACCAAATATTTGCAAAATGTGTGTTAGCTACTACTTTGTGTAAGCGAAGCAACACCATGCTAACATGACAAACTAAGACTGAAAATGGTAAACATTACACGGCCAAAACAGCCGAGATGTAGCTGCTTGGCTCATAAAAATGCCGTTGTCAAGGTTTGACCGATGGTCACGGCATTTGATGTGAATCCTCGGTCTTTAAAACTAGGTGATCACTGGTCACCCCCTAACAGGACATAGCTGACGGTGACATTATTGTGTCATTATGTGTCTGAGGCTTTTACAAAGTTAGCCTGGTGGTCCCAAAAGTACATATTGCAGCCAAATCAAAGTTTCAGCCTATATTTCATTATAATGCATTAAATACTTAATCTTTCTTTACTGTTGGTTCCTAGCTTTTTACACTATTGTCTGGCGTCTGACAGCACTGTACTGAATAAATGCCTTTGATTTACATGAACACCACGAATATCATGTAATAGATTAAAAACAACAGTAAACTATCTGGTTATGTAGGTTGAACAAACAAAAGTGAGTTTTAATTCTGATTTATCGGTTGTTCTTTTGATGGACAAAGTAATGGTTTAATGTAAAACGTCACATACATTTGTCAGGAGGTACAGTCCTAAACTAAGTGAAACAAACCATGAACAACCAGTAAACACAAAACCTACCATGCAGTTATTAAAATGAGAGGTACACTTCATTTATTGTAGAAAAGCCCAGAGGACAAAAAAAAGGTCCCAGCTTCCCAGCATGTGAACGTTTGGTCCCTCTTCCTTACCTTGGCGGGGGTGATGGTGGGGCTTCTGGGTATTTTCTGTCATAAATGTGCATGTCATATGATGGTGGGGAGTAGACTGGTGGCGGTTCCTCGTCTGAACTGTCAGGTTCCAGCGTTCGCTCAAGAATCTAGAAAGGAACAGACAGCGCGACACAAGCCTCATCCACCAGTCTTACTCTCATGCACTTGAAATTTAGTAAGAATTCCACTTTGACTCGTTATGCTGGAGAAAAATATAAAATACTGAAATCAGACCCTCCTAAAATATTTTATTCTCATCCATCTAAAGCATGATGGCAGTTATGCAGCTCTCCGTGCAGGAGTAGCATTATTGAATTTAGCTAATTACCATGACGCTGACATGACTAACGCGCTTTCTACTGCATCAGAAAATACATTATGTTTTGAGACACGTTAAAAAAACATTGAACATATGTCACCAGAGTGACATATGTTCAATGTTCATATGTTTTAAATGTGTTCAAAATGGCAATCCGTCATGGAGCAAACTGGTAATCCACATGTGTCAAACTCGCCGCCCGCAGGCCAAATCCGGCCCACCGGGAGGTCCAGTGCAGGCCGCCGGATGACTTTGCTATTGTAAGAATTACAGAAAGGTTGCTTCTCACAGACGAGAAGCTTGTTGTGTTTTATTATATTGATTCGTTCTGACCCCCTGCCACCTCTCCTAGGATTTTATTGGTCTGGCCAACTTTTGGTCAATGTGGGCAGTATCTGGCCCAAATCTGAAATGAGTTTGACTCCCTCGTGGTAATCATTGAAATAACTAGTGCGGATGCTCTGGGACCCCTTACACTGACCTCGGGTGGGATGCTGTCATCAGAGTCTGAGCTGTCATCCGAACCCTGTCCGTCAATGCTCATCTGGAGCAGCTGGTCGATTGTGGCGTCCACAGCTCCGTTGTTGGAGCGCAGCACGCACTCAATCACCTCATAGTCCATAGAGGGAAACATGGTCTTGAAGTCCTCCATGGCCTGGTTAAATTCCAGGCGTCGGACCTGCCGGTTGGTCCTGCTGTTATTGAGCTGCCCCTGTCCACCGCCGCCCCCCCTGCCGCCACCACCACCACCACTTCCGCTGCTTTCGGAGCCTCCATTGCTGCTGCTGCGCTTGAACAGGCTTGTCATCCTCGGGACCTAGTTGCCTCAGGTAGGTACCGGGAGGATGGCACTTCTTTTCTGTCACCAACACTCACTGTCTGGCCCCGTCAGCCTCACTTGCTGTCCACTGTTCCCCCAGCTCAGTTTCTCATACGAACACAAAACATGGCAGTCATCTAAAGGGACTTAAAGATAAAATGTAACACCCCCTCCAACGCTTCCGGTTATTCAGCGGTATCCAGCATGTCTGACTTTTTCATAGGGTGTGCAGGAATAGTGAGGTGGTGACAGAAAGTGAAAAGTAGGGTTTTGTCACCAGGTAGAAATTTGAGTTAAACTCAGCCAGGTAGCCCAGATAGCTACATCACAGTCATTTCCACCTATAGAGAAGAAAGGTAGTGTGTTAGTAACTGACTTGATATAGATCTATTATCAATCTCATAACAAAACCATAACTGCTTCATGACTGCAACCCAGACCACTGAGAAATAGCATCAACATTTTTAGAGGAAGAAGCTCGCTGTAGCTTTCCTGCCTGTGCCTTCAGTCCTGCTTCAATGGGGGGGGGTCATTGGAGCTGGCGGCTGCCCAATGCCACAGGGCAGTGCCAGGCCCCATCAACAGCCCACAAACAGAGGCCCACTCAGCCTCCTATTTAACAAGGGTCAGGCCCAGATGTTAGCCTTGCCTAGCTGCCACAGCGAAGCAGTGTGTGTGTACAAAACACAAGAAAAACTTAAGGAGTTCAATGCAGGGATTGCAAATGCTACAAAAACACAAGTGTGAGCAAATACATGACAATAGAATAAGGCCCATTTATACAGGGGTGTGATTACATCCAGACCCACAGTGGCCCTGAAGTGCAAAACACAACGGCAAACAGGAAAACACAACGGCAAATAGGAAAATACAACGAAATTAACTCCTTACGGAAAGGGTAGGGCCTTATAGCAGAGGACGGACCCTTCTGATTGGACAGGCGGACTGTCTGTCTTTTAACAGGAAATGATGCAGGGCTCAAGTGTCACGCATTGAGCAAGATAGTCATGCACTCCCGCCACACATCCAATTCCTCACCCCAAGGAATCGGACTCCGGTCCCCGAGCCGTGTCGGCCCTAGCGTCCGCGGTGTCCACCGGCCCTAGCGTCCGCGCCCCCTCCCCTTTTATTTAGAATACCTAAATATAATTGAACAACAAAACCAGTAAAACAATGGTGAAACACTAGTAGGACACTTTTAAGACACTCGTAAAACATCGTCACCTCTCCGTGACTTTCTGCTGCGGCTCTCCTGCTGCGTCACTTCCACTCCTCATCACTGATTTATTGATTGACAGAATATCTAGGAAGCGGCATTTGTCAGCTAGTTAAGGAGTCACGGTCATTTGAATCCTCCATGTCACTTTCCGTCGCCGGCGAAAGGCTTCGGATTAAGAGGATTAAAAGACAGACAGTCCGTCTGTCCAATCAGAAGGGTCCGTCCTCTGCTATAAGGCTCTACCCTTTCCGTAAGAAGTTAATTTCGTTGTGTTTTCCTATCTGCCGTTGTGCGTTCCTATTTGCCGTTGTGTTTTGCACTTCAGGGCCACCGTACAGACCATATAGAAAATGCCTTGAAATATACTCTGAAGGCACTGGTTTGTAGGCTGGAGCCAGAAATATTTTGCAGTTGACATGCTTCCACTGCAAAAACTTGGTCCAGAAACTTGAAAACATGTATTAATAAATATATATTTCCACGCAGAATGAGAAATAATCATTTAATTTGAAACATGTATTCAAATGCACATTAAAACCAATTACTTCATCAGAATCCAGCAATAAACTTCAGCAGAGCGCATAGTAAGACCTCAACAACCGAAATCCTTAATATTGGATGCATTTTCTACCTATTAAATCGGTGCCTAGCGATCAAAGGCAAAATTTACCAAGACAGATATCATTATACCCAACTATATATTTTGTAGTAAGTCATGTGTCAGATTGCACTAATTATTATCAATCACCTGTATGACTTATGTTACCCTAAATGGAACTTCATTTACTAAATAGAAATAATGATGCCCTGAAGAAGACTTGGAACTCAAGCTTGAGACCATAAAATAATGTTTACCGAGGAATAAGTCTAGTGAGAAGAAGACACATAGACCTCTAATTAACCAGAGGATTGCCCCCCTGAATACCAGTAGAGATAATGCAGCTTTAAGACCCTTCCTCATTGGATTCCCCAATCAGATCTAGAAGTCGCTGTCCATTCATGTGACCTCAACTGCATTTGTGAGAGGAACTTGTACAACTCCACTAAGAAGTCCTTTGACTCACAAATGCATTTTTGTCAACGGGTATTATATCTGTAGCCCTTCAGACGCCATTTACAACCAATAACATCCGGCGCCCCCTACGCAGGTACTGTTAGTCACACTCTCAGGTAGGGAATGATCTGACCCAGTTTCTTAGTGGACCTAATCTATGACGACCCAGAGGTCAGACCAGGAGGCAGTTAAAGTCTACGTACACAAATGAAAATGTTGGTGTCGCCTACATAAATGCTGGGTTCTTGGAGGTTCCTGGAGTCTTAAAAAGGTAGGATGGAAGCCAGAGCCTTCAGTTATCATGCTCCTTTTTTGTGGAACCAGCTTCAACTTTTAGTCCGGTGGGCAGACACAGTCACCTAAAATAAAAGCTTAAGACTTGATAACGCTTATCATTTGGGCTGGCTCAGTGTTGCTGTTCAAAAACGGCAACACTGTATGAACAGAGTGATTTAATATGAGATTTGGGGGGCATAAGTATGGAAATCTCAAAGTCTCATGAGAAAGCTATACTGTGGAAAATTTACAAAAATAAAATACAACGTTAATTGGCACCTTCCACTACTTGTACATAGTTTGGCCACCAGAGAGCACTTCACAAAAGTTGGGCATCATCATCAGACAAGTTCTTCTACACGTGAAATAAGGACAAAAATAATAGGAATAGCCATTATGAATTACTTAACGCTCAATACCAATATTAGTCTCAGCCGTATAGATGAGTATTTCTCCAGCTTTAAACCAAATAGGCCGTGGCCCTGTGAGCCGATTACATGCCATGCACACAAGAACAGGTTTATCTTCATGTGTACAATACATATATTACCGCTGTGACAACTTAATAGGAGTTGTATTGCATATATGTTATTGTAACTTAAAGTGCGTGTTACAGTTACCATAAGGTGACCCCGGGGAGTCTCAATGAGGTCACGGATTTTAGGAGGTGTAAACCAGCAGCGCTGCTTTAACGTTACTACAGTAATGGAGTCCACTAAGGGGGGGGGGGGGGGGGTTGCACAAGATACACCTAATCTCTGCTGGACTGCCCAGCGCGGTTTATTTTAGGTGGAGGGTATTTTGAGAACAGCCGACGAAATAAGTATTTAACGTTACGTAAAATCTCGTGCATCGGATGGATTCCGAGTTACAAGCGGAGCCCAATGGGGTTGGAAAATCTCAAGGTATAATAGACCTGTATGTGTCCATACGAAGGGCCACATTTCATGATTTGTGGGTTTTCGTTGGAACTGTACTACATGTGTCTTGACCAGTGAATGTGCGCGTACCGTGAACAGGTCGCTGCTAAATGGTTAACGGCACTCTTCAGCCATTAGCCAACTGGGGGCTGTCAAACGGCTGTGGACCCCGCGCTTCCAGCGGAATTCCCCAAAAGACCACATCGCCGGCGCACTAGCTGCTGCAACGGCTAATAGTAGCAGCGACTTTTAGTCAGTCGACGTTTGGCGGTGAAGTGATAGCTGTTACGGCTAAGTAACGTTAGTTCACCGCAAGCAGGCTTTAGTGGTCCTGCGGACGGTGGATTGTCGTCTAACGGTACCAGGCCCCGGTCAGTCACTCTTGAGTGCAACGCTCCACCCGAAAGGAGCTCCGTGAATACGTCGCCGAAAAATACGAATGCTCCGCTCAGAATAGAACAAATGCATCCTGCTGAAAACAACGCTCGTCCATCGCGGTGCCGCTGCTTATGGAGAGTCGCGGTAAACCAGACACAATGTCCACCGATAAGCCAGTTACGTTAAATGCGTCCAACGTTAGCGTTACTCACCGAGGCGCGCAGGGTCCAGCGGAACCAAGCATATCCGCACAAAGCGCGACGGGCCGGTGGCTCATAGCATTCTAATGGGAACCAGAAGGATTGCGTTCCTCAACAACACACCAGCAAATATGCCATTAAATTCAGCTGGCTACCGGATGTTTGAGGTCATCCAAAACACGCTCAAAGCTTCAAAGCAAAATACATGTTTTTGCTTTTTATTTGGATTACATATTTGTAATAGTTAAACTTGTATTGAACTATTCAATTAAGATGTAAAAAGCAATCATTGCATATGAAAGATAGAAATGTTGTTATGCTCACCAAATTGCCACTGTTTTTAGACACATTGGAAGTTTATTTTGAAGGCAACATTCTTTTGTATCCTGTCTTATTTTTATACAACCTATGGGCCTCTCGGCCTTTAAACAGCACAGCAGATGAATGCACACTGGTCAGACAACACAGGCTACAAATAAATGGCCACTTGGAAAAACTGACATGGATTTTAGTGTGAAAATGCTCCCACTATGAGGTTAGACTTACCCCACCATGTTTCTCAGGAGTCCCTAACAATACGCTTTCTTAGATGGTTAAAAACATAATCAAACGTCCTTACATCATATTAGTAGGGATTGCGAGTCCATTATACATTTATGTTTAGATGCTGATGGAAGTATTACTACTGTTTTCAACATGGTAGCGTGGTCACAAAACTTCTCATGTTACAGCCACAGTAGCAATGATAAAAAAGTTTCTGAAAACTTTTCAGACAGGAATTAGGCAATATTGTAACACAATCTAATATTTGACCAGCTCAGCCTAGTTTCAAAGTTTGATCAGAGCTTGTCAAGCAGTGATTGACAGCTGTATTTCGTCTTGTTTCTACAGAAGTTAATTTTATCAATACCAATGTAGCAGAAACTAATCAAACCCCCTCTGCTACTTATCTGACATGATCATTATCGGAGAAGTGCAATTGAATTCATGCCATACCCTGATAAAAGATATGTTCTTAAATGTTTTGGAGCAGTGTAGAAATATCGCCTCTTGGTCATACGCCTCAGCCAACACGAGTTGGTGTTAAATAAATTGATACTATGCAACATTTGTGTGATATTGTTGTAAGCAGCACATGAATACTTTAGTTATGGCCAAAAAATGTTTTTTTTGTGAGGTCACAGTTGCCTTAACATTCGACCACTACATCTAATCAGTTCAAGAGGAGTTTGAAGGGATCTCCTCAAGGTGTCCCTGATATGTCATGTTTAGAATGAAGGGAAACCTGTAAACGTAACTCCTCAAATGTCCACCAACACTTACACAACACATAAACTCTTTCATTTTAACAAAGACATGGGAAAAAAACTACCATAGACACTTTCAATAACTTTATTTTATTCCTTTAATAGATCTGTACAATCAACAAATCAAACTTCAGATGAGCCTAGCAAAACTGGTCTGTACATGTTAAATGCTTTAGGGCAGACAACCTTTACACCCAATTAAATAATCAAATGATGACTTGTCTAGCTATGCAAACACGTATCTCACAGCTTGAGAACATTGATTGAAAAAGGGGAGGCAGGATGAACCAGAACAAACCAAACAAAAAAAAAATACCAATAATGATCCCTTTATACCTTTTTCTCTCCAGTGCCATAGAAAAGTACAGTCAAATATCTTATTTACAGAGAAATGAACAAAACTCTAGTTGGATTAAAACAATGTTTTAAGGTTTGGTGAGGTTCTTTATCTGGTTTAAAAAAGGGGGACAGACAGGATCAAACCGATTTGAAACAGAGAGGAAGTACGCTCACAACCCAACAAGAGACAATATGGCTACTGCTCCGATTCCAGCACCGACTTCTAGACTCCTTCAAGAACTCAAAAATATAGATGTTATTCTTTGTCAAAATGCCTAATTTCCCATAGAATTTAATTCTCTTGGTTTAATCCCACTCATCCTTTACTCCATCAGCTGCCCTTGGGTATTTTGGGTCCTTAACCCACCATCTAATCAACCATTCCTGAGATAAATTATTGACACAATGCATTATTGATGAGTTTTTAAAGTGTTGTTTACTTGTGTTATGTTGTGCAGAAAACATTCTCTCTTTGTAGTAGTGTTACATGGAGCACTTAAAGCCCACCCTACTGCACACTCTGTCCTTCAATATCTAAATAAAGCTGCCTTATTGCTCGGGTAACAGTGTTTTTCTTTTTCATTGAAAAGAGACTTAATAAAAATAAAAAAACAAGAATGGAGTTTATGCCATTTAGAATTACAGTGGTGTTGGAAATGAATTCCTCACAAGGTTGTTCAGCCTCTTTGGGCTCCATTGAACACTGACGTGTAAAGACAGGAAAGGTCTGACTTTGTGACACTGGATGAACATTATGATTCTACTCCAGGAGCAAAAGGGATATTCGGATACAGACAGAATAGAAAAGGAGCATGTTATAGAACTGGGAGTCTCCCTGCTCACCGGGACCTTGTTCTTCAAATTTAGTTTAGCTAATCCAGAGGGCCGTTACATAAAGCAACATTACAGAACTGCTAGATCAATCTAATTTATACTCTAACACAGTGATTAGCAAGGCTATCCAACGTTCCTATACCGCAGTTCTCTTCACTGTAGATTGGGAGGGTTTCAATTAATCTGACCAGATTTATGTTCATCGGGTTGAAGAAAATGCAGTAAGGCTTTCATAATAAACAGCACTCCGACATGAGGAAAGCCAGCTATAATGGTCTCCCCTACACTTGTCAAACACAGCAAAACAATTGATTTGTTCATCTTGGATTACACTATTGAGTGAGACCGCGCTCTTATTCTAAAATGAAGACCGCTTGCCTTTGATGAAATGTATGATTTCAACCATATCAAGATTATTCTGAAGAACAAGAAAGGTTTCCAGGTCCTTTGTCACAAAGTGGGATTAGTGGCCAATGACAGGAAAAGGAGTGATCCCTCCGACAGGATCCTGGCTTTGATTAACAAAGGCTTCAGTAAGTAATACGCGCTCAGATTTCTATCGACTAATATTCACATTGTTGTAGCCACTATGGGTCAAAAGTGGGCTTCTAACAAACGGTAGTGTATTTCACAATAAACAGTCCACTTTACTGAAGTAATTGCCATAGTGTTGATGCATTTACACTCTTAATACAGCACTTTGGCTCACATTAACATGACGGTGTCTTTATTAGAAACCAGCACCTATAATCAGATGGAGCGGACAAGCAGCCATTACTTTGAACTTGTGTGCATCAGTTTTAATTTAAAGAATTCCAACACTAACTTATATGCTTATATTTCAAATTGTATTATCTTCAGGATATACAGCTCTACTCAAAACATTTATTTTGCTGCCTCGATGCTTCAATGAGGTTAACGATACCCTACAATAGGCTCAGTGAAGGCGATTATCTCAGATTGCATCAACGAGTTATGCCTGGCCCCTCAATATCTGAATTAAATCAACCGATTTCAGGTTTGGGTCAGAGGACTTGTCGCTACGACAATGACCCACCTCATCTTTAGGCCAAAGTAGTGGTAAATCCTCTCATCCAGGTGAAGAACAAGGCTCTGCTGTCTGTGGTGAGGCGCAGAGAGCAGCAGCGCTCCTGGGCTGATAGACTGTATATTGGGTCAATGGTGACAAGCTGCACTGCAAACTTACTGTGTACTGTTCCTTTTCCATGTCTGAGTTTAGCCCATGTATAGAGCAGACTGAAAACTCACTAACATTGTTTGAACGCGGCACCCCAGCTAAAAGAAATCCACTTCGTTAGCGTTATTAGACCAGATGACACATCCATGAAACATTCAGGAAGATGAGGCTACCCAAACAAAGCTGCTTCGCTTTCCTTTAGCCTTAAAAGTTGTTTGTTTTAGAATTTAAATAACACCGAATAAGTAAGTGTGCCGTTAATATTTTAAGTAGTTTCTGTAGTAGACATTTTTTTTTAATATTCTATACTGTGGGGATAGGATTTGGAGGTGGTCACACGAAGCGAGTGGAGTCTAACAAACAGCCCCTCCGTAACGATCTGCATCATCAGCCTCCTGTCGGCTCGGTGACATGCCGTCAGGAATTATTGAGTTAATGAAATCTTGCTTTGAGCTTCAATATGAAATATTGTTCAACTGCATTTCTGGTGGGTTAAAATTCCTGCCTTTTCAAAACGACAGTGCAAGCTGGTGGAGAAAGGTGGTGTAAAGGCAACCAGTTCTGTTCTGGTTGGAGGAGGAGCAGCAGCAGCTCTGGATGGACACCCCAGAGAAGTCCATGTCTCTTGATGCAACACTGCTGGGTGCTCCACCAGGGACCAGCCTCGGGCCTCGCCTCCTCTTTGCCCTGCTGTCACTCAGCCTTTTTGGCCCATCCTCCTCATTCTATCCAGAGAAGAAGCCCAAATATCAAAAGGAGTTTCCTTTGAAATGTAGTAACCTACAGACAACGCTGACTGACGTGCCAATAAAACGTAATTGTGTCAACAGAGGCATTCGTGCCTCCATACAGCACGATGATCACGTCAGTGAGCAAATGCCCAGGGCAAAACATTAAGTGGGATGTGGGTGGACAAAAATATTGGCTGAACCTTTATTTAGTTACAATATAGATTTAAAAAAATGTTATTATTATTATTATTTTTTTTACAAGTACCTGTTCTTTTCCTTCTTTAAGTTCATTGAGTACAAGAACAAGGAGAGGTCATCTTATTTTGAAGCAGTGCTGTCGCAGATTATGCCTGAAAATAACTTTTAATTTCTTTTCCAAAGAAATAAGGTGTCTGAAAAAAAAAAATGAAAAAAAGGAAAAGAAAAAAGAAAAAAAAAAAAGCAATGAAAGGAAAGGAAAAAAAAACGAACAATCTTAGATCCACCGCTGTGTCTGGTGGCGCTGGGACCTCAAGAAGACACGGGTCCAAGACAGCTGTTCACAAGAAAACTGGCTGGGTGGGGTGTGTTCAGAGCATGTTGATGTTCAGAATCCATCCAGCCAAACCCCCAGGCCCCTCTCTGCTAGCGTACGGTTCACCGAAACCACCTGAAATGTAAAGAGAAAGCGTGGAATTATTACAGGAGCACTAGCGACATCAGATCATCAGCAGTATCCTATCCATGTTACATGACATGCTCGTCTTTTTCCTCGACTCAAGAGAAACATGCTCCGTGCTCTCCACTCAGGGAGCCAGTGAGGTGGGTGGAGAGCACGGTCTTCCTCCAATCAGAGCATTGGCGGTTCGGTCACAGGGGCTGCATGTGTCGCTGTGCCTTTAGGCAAGACACTTATCGCCACATGACACATCGTACCTCTTCTCCGACCATGTTCCACAGATGGACCAGAGGGAGGCCTGTGTTGTTATCGTAGTTCGAGACCTTCACAGAGAGGGACAGACAAATGGTGAGGTACAGCTGACTGACACCTTTGAGTTTAATGCAGTGAGGAAGGAGGTCTGACCTGTGCAAGCAAGGCCACTCCTCTGGTCATCTCCTCCAATGCTGCTGTGGCCTCCGGTGAAAAACGATCCTCTCCTGATGACAGGCATTTAAAAGTAATGGGAGAACAACCACAGAGCAACTCAAAGGCCTATATACTAGCACTACAACCACTGCGGTTGTCAAACTACTGTGGTAGCTGCGAGTTTGAAAAAAAATGTAGGTAATAATAAACAATGTAGTACCTGGAAGAGGGGCGATGTTGTCAAGCAATACTTCAGCCCCTTGAAATGGTAGTGTTACAAAATCAGACCTGGAAAATAAAACTGCAGAATTAGTAAAAGAAAATCTTCAAAAATACATTTTACATGTACAATTCCATAATTACAGATTGAGAATGCATGTCAAAAAGTCACCTTCACTTCCTTTAATCAGCACCAGAACCGCTTTGTGAAACTCCATAATGAAAGTTGCATTTTAAGATTCAGTAAGTACGCACTGCAGGAAAACACTGTTCTTTAGTGACTTTCTAGAAAACAAACCAAATTTGATATACTAGTTGATTCTGACAAAGCACAATAAAGCCTTGTTTATGCTTCTGCGTTTTCAGAGACACAAGGCGACGCAGACGCAAGAGCCCCTTGCGTGTCCCTTTAGGCTGGCGCATGCTTCTTGCACTCGTTTCAATTCATGGTTCTAAAGTCTTGCGTGTGTTGCAGAGTAATTCACCACCAGAACAACAGGTGGAGTAACGTGTTTTTGTCAAAGACGACCTAGAGAGTCACGTCTTTGTGTGTAGAAGCCGTTGGTTTGTTTATTTATCAGACTTTATTGCCCCCGTGCATCGACACATATTTACGCATTTATTCAGACAAAAGTTCAATTTTTGTCGGAATAACTTCAATCTAACTCAATAACTTCAATCTGATCCGTCTCTCTAAACATGCTCGTTTAATAAGGGCGGTATCGGGCTATGAAAGCGCACATGATAGACTCCGTAAAGGACGTAGTTAGCAGACCAATCGCAGCCTGGTGCGCTGCGGGAGGCTGCGATGCGGGAGGCCGCGTTGCTTGCGTCGCTTTCGACGCAAGCCTAGAAAAATGTTTCGACACAAGCAAGGACGCAAGGTGTGAAAAGGCACGCAAGGGACACGCAAGGGGGTCTTGCGTCTGAGTCGCTCTGAAAACACAGAAGCATAAACTAGGCTTTACGTGCCTTTTCACGCCTCCTTGCGTGCGTTGACCCATTTTTCTACGCTTGCGTCGAAAGCTATGCAAGCCTCTCGCAGGTCCGCTAACTACATCCTTTACGGAGTCTCACATTTCCGTTTTCATAGCACAAAACCGCCATTATTAAAACAAAGAATGTTTACGAGAGAACGGATCAGATTGAAGAGCTTTTGTCATAAAAATCCATAAATATGCCCTTATACAAGCAGTCATTGGCGGACTATAAGGACGCGCGGATGGCCTCTGATTCATGAAGATCCCTGCAAACGTCGGTTTGCCGGTGGAGGGGAACAAAGTTGTGGAGGAAAATACGGAACAAACGTGTCCGCGATGAAAAGCAGCAGTGGCGATGCACGGGGCAATAAAGTCTAATAAATAAACAAACCAACAACTTCCACACACAAAGACGTGACTCTCCATGTAGTCTTGAACAAAAACACGTTTCTCCACCTGTTGTTCTGGCGGTCAATTGAAAGACCTGTTGCAATATGCGATAAAATGACATATTGCACCCGCGTGCAATAATTTTTGGTGCTGCGATATTCATGTTACATATAAATGAACGTCACCAACATTTAAGTTGATCGCGCTGCCTCTGTCCCTTTTCCTTGTGGAAAGCGGGGGCGGGGCTTAGGCAGCGCTCACACAGACACAGAGCGGACACAGACAGGTGAAGAGAAGCAGTGAAACCAACAAAGCTAAAATCTCACCCAAAACAACAAACATCCGCCCGGTCTTTCAACCTGAACTACTTTCGGTTGCTCGGACTGCTCGTTTGCCTCTTTGGGCGGGAGGAACGCCGTCCCCGGGCCGCCGTCCTGCGTTCCTCCCGGGCCGGCCGATTGTTAGCGGCACTGAGCCGCTCAGTCTCTCCCTGCAGCTGCGGAGCGCGGCGCCCTGCCGGTGGTCGAAGCCCCGTGTTAAACCTCCCCGGCTGCCGCGGGGCGCAAAAATTTGATATCGTGACAGCCCTATCTGTAGCTCTCAGTTTCCATAAGATTGCTAGAACGATGGTGAGTGGGCGACAAAACTCAGAAGAAATCTAACTTTGGGTCTCAAAAGGTCTCTTTAAAACGTTTTAAGTGAATGATATTGTATAATTTGACGAAGGCGATTTCCGCATTCATAGAATATAAAAAACGAGGAATGCATTTAAGGGAACAAAACCACGGACTCCTTTACTGAAACTTAATTCTACTGATATTTATTCCAAACATATCTACTCTAGAACTAGTCTGAATTCCAGAGAACACCCCTAGGTAAATGCATTTGGAATGCAGTTACAAAGCCGAAGGAAACTATCTTCCCAAAAGCACTTCGTAGCAGTTTGTTTGTTCTAAATGACAAGACGTCCCACTCACCGTATTTGCCGTAGCGAGTCGATCTTGACTCGGTCGTAGCCTCCATAGTCAACGTATCGGATCTCCACTTCATTGGTTTCCTTATAGAAAGTGATGACCTGAGCTCTCCACCAGGCTTCCTCCGCCGCCGGAGCTGCACAGATCACACCGACTGGAAGACAGACACTATTCAAACTGTGCAAAGTCTCTCTGTTCAGCCTCTGCAAGGATAAATATGGTTTAAACAGTAGTTTACCATTTCAGAATGGGATTAGGATTCCGAGTGGATTTCTTTTCCATTTCATCCCTTACTATTATTTAGGGTTGTTAAAAAATTCGTCAAACTGAAGGGGACGTTTCCTCTGTTTTAGTATTGCGTCCAAAATAGAATTATACGCTATTGACTACACATTGTACACACAGTACAATACACATCTCATGGTCACGTCACATAGCTTTTGTACATGAAGCCAACATCAACCATAATGACTAAATTTACCATGGATAAAATTGATATGGCTGGTGTTGGCTCAGACTCAAACACCACCTACTTAAATAGATTAATTGCATTATATTTTTTTTTCTAATTTTCATAATTGCAGCGGGGGGGGGGGGGGGGGGGCATCTTTATGGTTGCTGGAGATTTTGTTCTAGCTGCATATGAAGTTGAAGGCTTTTGAACTGCACATATATTTATTAGTGGGTTGACACGGTTACCTTCAGCCGGTGAGGGGAGGGCAGGGGTGCCCGGCTGCGAGTAGCAGAGGAACATCTGCTGGTCGAGGCTCCGCAGAGCGTGGTAAGTGGGATGGGTGTGCTGCTGGACAAAGACGTGACCGGCTGACACGATGTTCACCACTATCACTTCCACGGTCACTCCACTGGGGAGCAGGAGCTGAGGACACAGATGACATGAGAGGAAGTCTTATTCTTCCAATGCATTCTCTTTGGCTAAAACCTACACTTTCAAATATAGTACGGCATCCTCTATTATTGTTAATGAGAGCAATTACCAAAGCGCAGCGAACAAGCAACATTTTTGCCACGTGAAAATCAACTTTACAACTCAAAGTAAAGCTAACATGGCAGGTAGAACACCCTTCAGGATGTGGCTTTTGATGGTCATTTTATAGTGGCCCTGTTAAAAATCAACCCATGTGCAGTGCGTTTCAATAAGCCTTTGAATGGTTTGTACCAACACAGTAGCCGACTCTAGTGGGGTTTGCCATGTGGGTAGTGGGAGTAGAATCAGCATACCGTCAAATCCCATAATACATTATTTTATACTACTTTGTATTCCTCCTTTGCGCTCTTCCAAGACTGTGTGTAGTTTACACTGCATTTCTTTTTCTTTTTTACACACTTATAACCTATTATAAAAATAGGGCTCAATGAGTCTCACTTTTCTGCAAATATATTGGAGCGGCTATCTTCCACGTCTATTAGTGGCACAATGTAGCTAGCGACCACCCCCCTTACCCAGGACGTCATAGGAAGTGATGGCAATGTTAGTGCGGGTGGCGGCGGTGCATATAGATTGGTCAAGTCCAGATCCTTAAACTTCTTTCCAATCAGGGACAGGGCTTTGTCAACCTGCTGCTGCGTACCTGGAGAGAGACCAAAAAGTATTTAAGAAAAGCCCTGAAACAAAACATGTCGTCCAATAGATCTTTGTATGGCTCTCCCCCCGAACTCACCCTCTATGTGGCAGATCTGGAACTCCTGTGTATAAGGCAGGGTGGAGATGTAGATCTTTGCACCAGAGTTCTGCTTCAGGAAACTCACGTATCTTCCCTGCTTCCCTATTAACCGCCCTACAAGATGCTGGTATGGGTAACCAGGCAGGAATGACCGTAGCGTTAACATTTTAAACGAATGTCAATCAAGTCCCAAGAGAATATATATAAAATATCTAAAATCTAACACAAGAAGGCCAGTTTACAGGATACGCTCAGACTCCGGAGTTAACAAGGTATGTCTGCGCTAATATACCCGCCAACCCCTCACAAACAGCACAACCTGTAACCCAGTAAACTCAAATTAAAAAAAATAAATAAAGATATACTTCAGAGTGATTTTATTTATCAACAGACAGCATGTGCATGGAACACTTGGGCATTACTCTAAATTATACATTTTAGCAAACCAATACTGTGATCCCATCTCATTGAGTCGATCTCCCAATGGAAAAAGAGCTCCGTTCTAGAAAAACAGGCTAAAGTCCTAAATCAGCTGGTCAATGAACGATTTAGTATCAGTCAAAAAAGAGAAACTGCATTTAAAGCTAGTTGTGGCTCAGCTGGAGTCTGAACTCAGTCCAAATGGCATGCATTCACCCTTGGACCTGGGCATGCTTGCCTCCCCAAAACTGGAAATCAGTAACTGGTTTAATGTTACTACACCAAAAGGGGAAAAGTGCCCTTTGTGCAGACTCACCTTCGGCACCTCAATCTCCCAGACGACGAGCTCGGCGCTGGAAGAGGCAGCGTGGTTGGTCTGGCCCTCCCCAGCACCCATAGTGCAGCCGCTGTCCACAGAGTCCATGCTGTTCACGTCAGATCCTGGACACAGAATCATCAACACCTTTAATGTTCATGTTTGCTAAAGAGAGGATGCTGGAAAGAACTAGCTCTACACAATCAAGTCACAAGAAATCACTTTATGCCTCCCGACTGTCACAATTCAAGCATTTTAAATTATAAAAAATGTAAATAGTTGTGTTTTTGAAATGTTTGTTCCCAATAATATTTGTAAAAATGATATTATTTTCCTTCACGTCCCTGCCGGTCATACACACGTCCTGTCAAAGAAGCACTTTACCAAATTGCTGATTAAAGAAAATGATGTGTGTCATACAATTTAGCCAGCGTCCTTAAATAGACTCAAGCAGGGGCGACATTGGTTTTGCCCCACGCTTGCGCGTTCTCATCATGGACATTCCTAACTTCAATGAGTGAAGACATCAGTCTCCTGTCCCCCGTTCTACTCGCGGCTTTGTCTCTTAGTCATACCACACAGTGCTTTAACACTTAGTGTCTCATAAACTGATGGCTGCCACCTGTCCATCAGGACTACTTAAACATTCATACCCAAACAGAATCAGGCCCCGGGAGCCATGTCGCGGTCAAGTGCCCACAGACTACAGACCGCAACGACTATTTTACTCTATGGCGAGTTTGAATGTGGACTTCCTTAGTTTATCTCAGGGCTGTTCGGCAGACCGACAGCAGAGATCCATGCCGACCTGGCTGCTCAGTTTTCTGGCGATGGTAGCCAGCGTTTCCTCGGCTGGATGAGACACCCCATTACAGTACATTGACCGTGAGACACACGCATTTCAACTAGTTCACACGAGAACTGTTTCGGCAGCCTCGGGCCACCGTACGTTAGTTACTAAGCAACATGTGGCAGCACTGCTTAGTGCAAGTGAAGGATGTAGCGGCCGGCACAGAGCAGGTGAAGGAAAACCCAGAGGACAGACACAAGAGAAAAACCAAAAATTATTCACGCGAGTAGATTCCATGTAAAGTCAATGCACAGACGCGACTGGTCGCGGAGGAAGCAAATTTAACGGGCGGCGCGGAGGACGCGAAGCCTTTTCGCCCAAAGTTGAAATATTTCAACAAAGCCAATCAGCGTTGAGATGCTCCGCTCGTCATCACCGCCGTTCTGCTGCCAAAGCACTTTATGAAACTGCCACTAACCGGAGACACACACACACACACACACACACACACAGCGGAGACTGAACGCCTGTAAGTTAGTTGTGTCTGACCGAGAGACGCTGGCACCGAGCAGACACAACGGGTCATCAAACTGGCTGCTGGTCAGCCTGAAGTACGCCACAGCCACAGCACTCATGAAATTCCAGCTGCGTGCGGCGACGGATGACGTCATGAACCCAAACACACCACAGTTTGCGGTTCCAACGTTTGTGTAATTCACAAATAAAGAGCAGAAATAGTGGTTATTTCAATGGTGGATAGCGGAAATTATTATAACTGTCGGAGACAAGTAACAGACAAGCCACGCCCCCTTTCAAGCAAAACTAAATGGGACGCGAATAAAAAACGAAATAACTACAACTAGTGAGGAGAGTACAGCGTGGCAAAAATTTGCTTCGCTTTTGGTGTGAATGTAGCATAAGAGCTGACGATTTGGTGACTGTACATACATTTTATGCGGTCTTGATTTGGATGTTTACAATGGTCATTTACATTTTAAAGGCTTGATAGTTATCGTAGCAAATGTCAACCGTAATCAAATAATTGTAGAAGTTCAAGTAAGGTAACTGGTTTGGGCGCAGGCCTCAGATGTTTGATCAGTCATGTTAAGACATATTTTTGTATTGTTCATGAAATTTGTTAAACTGTCTTGCAGAAAAATGCTTTGCTACAAAGCAAATCCTTTCAAATATTTTTACATGTCATTTATATTAGCTCACACAAACCCTCCATCCATCTGTTCCTGACCTGGCCCCTGTCAAATTTTAGAACCAATCGTGGCCCGCGAGTCAAAAAGTTTGCCCACCCCTGATGTAGGAGCTCCGAGGTGCACAGCAGCGCTACAATGACACTAAACGATAATAAAAACATGAGTAGGCTTATTAAATTACGATCATTAATGATTTAGCATCATCGATGATTGGCATATGGTATCTGCGGCAAATAAATTTGATCGGCATATCGCTAAAAATTCTATTCCTTCTGGTTTTTCTTTCTATGGTGCAACCATAATGTTAAAAATCCTAAATTTCAGGGCCCATTGCACACTACCTGAAAAGCCCTGAAAAAAAAAGTTCACAACGGTCCAATTTTGAAACGCTCAAATATCTGTATTGAAATTGAAAAAGTATATCTTGTATCAGTGCGTATGTATACTGGAGCCCAACATCAATACATGAAAAAACTGAATGATCCCTCACCTCCAGACTGGTCCGTCTCCCCCTCACATGTCCCGTGAGCTCCATTTCTCAGGCCCATTCCATTGAGCCGCTTAATCTCGCACACAGCTTCCAGTGAGATTCCTTCAGCTTCTTCCGAGGCAGTGTCCAGGGATTGAGGCGGTGTTGCTTCTTTTGCCAACAAGTCTGTAACCTGGATTGCATCAATTTGGTTTTCAGGCATGCTGTACGGAGGCTCCTCGTTGCTCATGCCATCCTCTGAGTGGCATGTACTACAAGCCGAATCCTCGGCCAGCGCTGCTTCATCGCCTTTCAGTTTCATGTTTGGCAAAAGGGTACTTTGTGCTGCTTGATGCGAGGGTGTTAGCCAGTGGCCTTTCTGTGCATGGTTAGTCTGATGAGCCCTGTGACTGACCTCAACAGGCTCCCATACTGGAGTGGCGGAGCATCCGTTAGGTATCCCTTGCTCGTTGGCCTCTCCAGACTCAATGTCACTCTGAGAGGGAGCAGTCAGTAGATGGTGGTGCTGCTGCTGCGCTGCCGTTTGCTCCTGTTGGGAGCACTGGCTGCTGCTAGCCAGTGGTGTGCTGCTACTGCAACTGGGCTGTGTGACTTGGCAGCTGGTGACACCCAGGATCTCCAGCGTAGCTGCCGAGATGACCTCAGTTATTAGTCCAGCTGCTAGTAGTTCCAGATCCTGCTCCTCTCCATGGCCACCAGGTGCCTGGGTGTCCTCTTCAGCCTGTGATATGGTGATGCAGTCTTCGACCGTTTTCAGGGCTGTGGAGGTTGCGGCCAGGGAGGTAGGTGTGCTGGTTAGAATGTGTTGGTGGAAATCCCGTGCTGAAGGGGGTGTCTCTAGAGAGTCTGCCTCCGAAGGGATACCTCTCTGCACTTTGGGCGTGGTGGCTGCACAAACAGCCATCTCATCTTTATTAACAGTGCTGTAGTGCTTTGCGACTTCCCCTTCAGGCTCTGGCCTCTCTGCATCTGAAAGGTGTGTTGTTGTGGGGGGGGGGCTGGTGACTTTGGTAGACTGGCAGGGCAAGATGACCCTTTCCACTGGGACTTCTGGAGCAGAAGATGGATCTATAACTAAGTGGTCCTCATGCTCTTTTACCACAAAGGGTGTTGATCTTCTCTCCAGGTCTTTGTTGTCTTTCAATAACCTCTGCGGACGATCTTCTTTGCAAGGTGATAGAAGAGTCAAGGCCGAGAGTGTATGGACTTCCTTTTGTTTTATTCTGCCAAGCGGAGGGGCAGCTTCCTCAGAATTTAGTTTGATTGAGGGTACTGCTTCAGTGCCATGGACTTGGGAAAAATTATCATGTTCTGTTCTCAAGTTACTGACCTTCGGAGCTCTGTGCGTGGGGCTTTCTGTGTCATTTGTGGGCGATATAGGCCCTTTCTCAACCAAACCGTTGCTAACCTCGGCTGGAGGTGTAAGACCCGGTGTTGCTGGAGCCCCGTTTGGGCTGTCGAGGCTGACAAGCCGCTCTTTCTTCCGCGAGATGTACCACCACCAGCCAATCAGTGCAAGGACTCCGGGCAGTGTGTAGGGCACGACCGAACGAAACCTCAGCGGCATTTCCTCAGGACATTAACAGCGACACCTGAAAGACACACACACAGACTTTTTTTAGTCAGGGACATTTCACATTGAATAAAAGGTCCGGGACAAATTATCTGCATATACCCAGCTTCACTATGACTGGACTGGAAAATCTTATTTAAATACTGCTTTGGGTTGAGATGCCATGACAGGGTTAGGGCACCATGAACCAGGGCCCTGCTTTTGGTCCAACCAGGAATCTTTGTTGCATGTCCCTCTCCACTCGTTTCCTGGGATATCACTACGGTAGCCTCTAAAATTACTAATAAAAAAAAGGTGCAACTTGGTCCCGCCTTGACGACGGCAAAAATAGAATAAAGAAATCAGTGATCGGTTAATCTAACTCAGGCAGTACTTCATACCATCGGTCTATGGCTGCGTAGAGCTGCAGAGGGCTTAAGCAAAAGCTAACTTAAAAAAAAAAAAAAAAACAGGATCGCGTAGATAAAAAGTTGAACCAGTCGATTCGTTTACCAGTAAATGATAACATTAAGATGTGTTCAGATTGCTGAAATAATGACAAACTTAAATAAATCCACTTGTTGAAGAAGGTGTTTATACAACATAAATAGATCTTAGGGATAACCTACACCAGGAATAGTGACTCTGGCTTTAGGCAAAACATTAAGATTTATTTAAAACAAAAATGTATTTCTTCCTAATTATTTAATTAACCCTAACTGTTTAAGAAAAAGAACATTATAGATGACTGACCGTAAAAGGATATTAGAATTCTTGATATTAGAATTCTTTTGATGGTTTACTAACTTTAGAGCCGGCGAAAAACATTTTTGGGACGGATGGCGTTAAAACAAAAACAGGATCTGTATCTAAGAATATGGATAATTCATTTCATCTGTAGCAAATAAAAGAAAAATCAGGGATGTAAAAGTTAGTGCTTTACATAAGTATTCACCACCTTTGACTTTTGACATCTTGTCATGGCATAACCACGGATTCAAATGGATTTTATGCAATAGGCTAACACAAAATAGTCCATCATCTGGAAGTTGGGGGAGACTTTACATGGATTCAAAATAGTTAAATAAAAATCTAAGATGTTTAGTGTATTCATCCGCTACTGTAAAACACTAAAGATCTGGTGCGACCAAATTCAAATTTGCAAGTCACTTAAATTAGTAAACAGGGTCCAGCTGCCTGCAATGGGCACAAACACACCTGTTCAAAGAGCATCATGAAGACCAAGGAGCTTACCAAACAGCTCAGGGATAACGTTGTAGCTAAGTAGCTAAGTATAAAGCAGGGTTAAAGAAATATCGCAAGCTTTGAACTTTTCACAGAGCACCATAAAATCACAACCACAAACCTACCAAGAGAAGGCCGTCCAGCCAAACTGACAAGGAGAAAAATAATCAGAAGCCAGGAGGCCAATGGTAACTCTGGAGGAGCTGCAGAGACCCACAGCTGAGGTGGGAGAATCTGTCCACAGGACAACTATAGCTGTGTACTTCATGAATCTGACAATAAAATTGTATTTGCACCTTCGAAGTTACACATGTTGTGCTGATCAAATGGGAAAAGAATTCCAGTACAAAACACTATATACTTCACCTTTTTCTTTAGCCCTGGATCGGTGACTAATTAAGGATACAATCTAGAGCTCAAGTGTTCTGCTGCATTCACACCAAAAGCAAAGCAAATTCTGCGTGCCAGCAGATGCCATGTAAAGCCAATGGACAGATGCAAATGATTGTGGAGGAACCCGCAGTCCACAGAAACCGTTGTTGTTCCCAGGTTGAAAAACTGGGTGGGTTGGTTGTGTTTCAGGTGAAATTTTAAGTTAGTTGTGTTGCCCCTTTCAGTTGCCACTGTTTTTAAACAAAGTCAACATCTCTCATTCAGCTAAAAACCAAAATGTTTCCACACCAGGGATAAAGATTGCGGTTTCTGAACCAAGTCTATTTGGACTTGTTTACGCTTACTGGCTCGGCTGTAGATGTCACGAAAAAAAAACCCACTTCATACCACAGCAGGTTCACGTCTTTTCACCCGTTAAGTGTCCGCTCTGTGTGTGTGTGTGTTATGGCTGTCAAAATTGCTAAAAAATGACGTCGGAATATTCGCTTTAAAAAAAACACATTTATTCAAATATCTGGTTGTGCATTAGACACGTCAATAGCTTGACACATGAATACAACGGGACATAACTACTTGTATGGGTAATTTATTTAAGTTTAAACATATTTAACAACATATTACCTACACAAAAATAAGTAAATTAACTCACTGTCACTCTCTCGCACCGTTGCGGCGTCTGCGCGTTAAATGGACAATAAAACAAATGCCGAGTGCTGATCAAGAGTTTTGTCCAAGCAATTTAAGGTTGTGATTCTTGTCCCACATATGTCAGGCTTCATTCAGTGATTGAAACTGAAAGTTTTACAGTACCGACATTGAACGCTCAGAGCGAGCTGTAAACATGGAACTTTTCCTTGGCATGAAACGGCAAATAATCAAAGCAGTGCATGAAGCTGTTGTAGCCTATTTTATTCATGCAATATACAGTCAGTAGTGAGGTGCGCGCCCACCCGTAGAGCACAGTCGTGCAGCACTTTTTTTTCTTTTTTCACATTCGAATAGTTGTTTTTAACTGCTATAATATGTATTCGAATATAGAATATTCGTTGACAGCCCTAGTGTGTGTGTGTGTGTGTATATAGACGCTGCCTAAGCCACTGTCGACAAAGAAAGCAGAAAAGATGAAAGGCAGCATGAGTAACTAAAATGTTGGGGACACTCATTTCTATTTAAAAATGAATATATCGCAGCACCAAAAATTATCAAGCTAATTTTCTACATATTGTGCAATAAGTCAATATATTGATTATCACAACAGGCCTAATTTCCACAACAAGTACCAAAATAGTGGTTATTTCCCTGGTGGATAGCGGAAATGAGAATAGTCTTTATGGAGACAGGCCATGGAGATATGCCACGCCCCCATTCCGGCTCAAATAAAGGGGGCCCGAATGTAAGCAAATTAACTACCACTAGTCAGGCAAGTAAAGGGTTGCGAACATTTGCTTTGCATTTGGTGTGAACATAGCATTATGGTCCCACAACCTCATATTACGGATCGATTCCTATGTAACAAACGTCACATTTCTATGATCATATTTGAATCAACATTGAGTATAAGCTTAATTTATATTAAATTACTTAATTGTAGTAGTTGGTCCTAAATGCTAATTGAACGACACTCAGTAAGAGTAACATACTAGGAACCAGCTCCAACAGAAGACCCAGGAACAGTACTCTGCATACACAGGTCTTGGTGCTCCGCCTCACAGGAGGAGACTCTCCGTCCATGTTAAAAAAAGGACATGTGCACATGCCTTTCCTTAACAAACCTGGAGGAATGCATCACATGATCTGGATGTGGCGCGCACGGCACTCCCAGCTGCTCTTTATAGTCAACTGTTGACCCTGTGCATAATCCAGGAATATACTTTTAAGAGGCAATAGCAAAGACTTTTAATTTAAATAAATGTCTGTTGAATCAATATCACATAAGAAACACATTGGCGTTGAGCGCATTTCCCCCTGATGAAAGTATAGCAACGCTTTTTTATATTTGCATTATTAAACAAATTCAATACATTCACTAATCAATACTTTAGTAATGATCAAAAAGACTTATTTTCTTAAAGAAAGCTCTATTTTAGGTTAGGTATTACACCAAAGACAAAACATTTTGTATTAAAAAAAGATCAAAACAACTGCACAGAGCTCAGACAAATCACATCCATGTAAACACGGGTAAGCTGTATGTGCATTATGTTCACTGTCATGGCATGCTTACAAGTCAGCCTTTGAGCATAGCAAAGACTAATATGTTTGATGTGAAATGTACAATACAATATAAAAATCAGCAACTCCATATGGACACCTAATGATGGGCCTGCATGCTGTATCTGTGCCTTTGAAATGGTGGCACACACTCCCTTCACCTTGAACAAGGTTACTTGGCCAGTCCAGCAGTCAAACTAATCTGCTCTCTGTGCAGGTCACACTGGTGTTCATTGGTGCCTTCTGTCATGATTCACACTGACCTTGGCTTCACCCAGGGGAGGGCAAGGCTGTATTTACATGTCAAACCCTTCAACGTGCTCAGCAATGGCAGCCTAAGCAGCGCTCACACTAGCAATACACTAGCACCAATTTACTAGTTCAATGTTACATCTCAATGGTCCAGCAGACTACTGCGTACACTTGACTATTAGCATTCGTAGACGTGCGGGATGAAGCGAAAACTCTGTTCTACACGTTCATTGTATTGCCATTAACGCCGATGTGGGATTACCGCACAATCAACGTCATGTTTCAAGAGGAATACAGGAGTCTGTGCACATGGCGTACTGATCGATCAGCAGACGTCTCATTCGGCACGCAGTGTGGAGACGACAGGACAGAACGTGCAGGTGCTCCACTGCTCGTCGAGTTTGAATCAACTAGCTGTTAGCCACAACGACAGGCTAATCCTTCAATATAGCCGACCGAACAACTGCCCGGCATGAATCATTATTGCATTTTACAATCCCATGACACGAAGAGAATGCGCACCTCGACTTGAGTCGTCTTATGTTCACGAGGATCATAACGCCAACTTTCAAGACTTCGTGGAAAAGAATAACATTTCGGCAAGCGTTTAACGTTAGCTAACGTGCCATGCTAATTACCTACTGTGAGACGAACGATATGCGCGACGCACAACGTGCCGTGCTTAGATTATTATGCTAGAAAACCCCAACATAGCGTTACACTTTAATTGTTACTTACAGTGGGGTGGCGGGGGTTCCGCTATTCATATCAAGACTTCACACTAATCAATTTACATATGCATACCCAAAATACTGTTGCTAGCATTGTACACAAATACTGTCTGAGAAAACCCGTTTAAAAAATTGCTTTCCGCATTAGTTAGCCAGTAAACAGAAAACAATTCATGAATGAAAGCTGACGCCGGGTGCATCAATTGAATGGCGAACTTGGCAGAAAACACTTGACACTCACAGAAAAACTTATGTCCAGTACCAAAAAAACCAAACACGTTTCACACGTAGAATAATAAGTATAGACCGAAAAACGTATGCTGGCCGTTTAGCTCATGACTGGAAGTGAATCCTCATTAGAGGTGGTTGTGACCCAACGCTAACGTTACAGTGCTGGGGGGGAAACGCGTGGCTGGTTGGGAGGCCGCAGTTCAGGACACAAAGTATGAAGTTAGCAGGTTAGCCCCACACAGTGGTGGCAATGCTAAACCCTCGGTGAACATAAACACGCTTTAAATGCAACGTTCCACTATGATGAGTCGGTTATAGGGCGCTGTAGGCTTTTATTTCGCCGACTCACTGTCGCATTAGGCCACCACGTAGAAGCAACGCTTCACACAGCTTCAAACGCAGGCAAATACACCAGTGAGGGCTTGTCCCAGACTGACGCAGGGTTTAAGGACGCTTCTGGAGTGCTTCTGTCCTGCATGGGCCTCAGACCTACGTGTTAGCTTACTAGCCGGCCCAGCAAAAAGGACAGCTAACTCATTTATATTCGGAATACTGCCAACATATGAGCATTTGTTCAATGCACATGACCCTTTTGTTAGTGCATGGATACCGCACGAGAAAAGGAATTATGGTAATCAAAATTAAACAACCGGGTAAGGTGAGAAGCTAGCTTCAGTGTGCTTACTGTTAAATTACAGGAAGATGTGCCGGCGAGGTGTTCAATGACATGGGATTACTGGGCTCAGTCGATGTAACGGTAAACCCCAGACAGCTTGCAAAGATGAGTGGAAATGTCGCCGATCACGATTCTGTACACATTGCGTGCGTTGCACCCCTGGAGTTGATTTGCACTAACGTTAAGTCACGCTGTTTGACCATGATGCAGATGGCTATGGCTTGCATGGTGTTTCTCCTTCATTGCTACTCACGTTTCCGGAGCTTTTACTTACAATATTGTAGGGTCCTCGGTGCCGCCACGATGAGAGCGATATTGATCAAGTGAGTTTGTCAAACGTGTCCCTGAAGAAAGTCACTCTCTCTTCCCCACGTGTAGACTGACGAGCACTAGTCTAAAAAAACAGACGAAACAGCTGGTCAGGTCTCGCGATAGTCAGACGTTAAAATCGTTTGTATTCTCGCGTTACGTGAGAATGCAGTAAAGTCACCTATTTCAGACATGCCCTCCTTTACGTTGATCTGATGGCTATGTAACATGATGTCCCATGTCAATCCGCGCCCTGGTCACTACGTCAGAGTGCAGGCGGCCTCCTAGGTCCGAATCACATCCGCCACGGGGACTAAACTCAAGGCTGTGAAATGACAAGGTTAGAGAGAGAGAGAGAGAGAGATAGAGAGAGAGAGAGAGAGAGAGAGAGAGAGAGCGATGCAGCTTTCTAAGATCACTATCATATCTATCTATCTATATATATATCTATATATATCTATATATATTTATATATATATATATATGTATATATATATACTATATATGTATATATATATACTATATATATACTATATATATATATATATATACTATATATATACTCACGCTGAGTAGCCTATAAGGTCATTTCTCTACTGTAAAGTTTGTTGCTTATCGCTGATCAAATATCATCCATGGCGCTTGGGCGGTTGCTCTATACCAGCGATTCCCAAAGTGTGGGCCGCGGCCCCCTGGTGGTCCGCGAAGGTACTGCAGGTGGGCCGCGAGTCATTTACAATAAATAAAGTTTTTTAATTTTCAATTTTTAAAAGTTTGAAATTAATATAAAAATATTTATGATGCGACACATTAGTTATGTGAAACATTAGTTGATGAAGCACAAACAATTTAAACGGACAGATTAATAAAACAATAAGGCTCGCTCGAAACGGCTGCTCTTGTCCGCCTGTCGTTGTTCAACAAATGCTGAGCGGCGCTCAAGCGCGTGAGATATGGAGCTTGTTTCAGGGCGCGTCGGAGAAACAAAGCTGTCGTTCTTGCCGAGCACTTCATGAGATTAAAGAGCGAGAGACGGTGCCCTTTTCTCTACAGTAGCTGAACCATCTTAACCGGGAAAATAAGTTATTCTAAAAGCAGCCGAAGATTTAAGGCGTGGATGGCGAGGGGGGCGGCGGGAGCCGACGCACCTCGCAGCATCGATCGGACCCTGAAAGCACCGTCTCCACCTTACTGTCAAAAAGAACAACAGCAAGTGCGTAGAAAACTCCTTCGAGCGCGAGCAGAGATTCTCCTCGCGAGCAACGAAGTTCACGTTTTGCAAGCGAGCAAATACCTCGCGGAGACGAACTTTTGCTCGCGCGAGACGACTTTTGCTCGCGGATGTTTGATTTTGGTTAAATTCTTCAGGTCATTTAATCATTATGTTTTGATCAGAGTTGTGATTAAAGGTTTGGGTGGGCCGCGAAAGATTTTCAGATTTCAAATTGGGCCGCGGCATTCTTGAGTTTGGGAACCGCTGCTCTATACTGTAAAATCTAACACGTTGTTTCAACTTAATAATATGAGGCAACGGGGCTGCCTTAAAATTCTACATTAAATCAACTAATATAATTCGTTCTTTGAACTTAACGCCATGATTAAATATCTCTTATTGTGTAAACCTGTGCCTGAGCTCAGTTCATTTGGATTTGTTAACTCCATTTCATTTGAATTAAATGTATATTTATTGAATTTAACAAAAAGAGAAATAACCAATTTACATTCAAACTGTTAATTGATGCAATTTTTTTTAACAGTCAACATTTCTTGATCTCATACATAAAATGTAGTATTCAAGAGACAATATTGCTGTTTGAAAAGAATGTGAGGCTTTACATGGCCAGGATTTTCTTTAACTGCACATGCCCTTTATCATGCCACTGTTGAAATAAAACAGAACAATTTAAAGTTGCAAAAAATGAATTGACATGTCGCTGTTCGACATCATGGTCCCACACCACTCCGTATTTGAGTATAACAGAAAAATACACTTTAACTTACATGTCTCCAATTACTGATCTATGATCACTGAGGGCCTCATGTACCAAGCGTAAAAGCATGGCGAGGTACTGTATGTACAAACATGCCGCACTGAGGTGAAAGCACACCGGAAAAGCGGAAAATGGCAAATTGTGCATTTCTGTCATGCATATGCATTCACACAGGAGGGTCAAGGGGAAAGTGGGAGTTTCCCATAACACTGTGTCTTAAACCATACACAAATGAGAAACATTTGTTTCACCTTTTGATAAGTATATGTTATGAGAACTTCGAGAAACGAGAACTTCGAATGTGCCAAAAACCCACTTAAATAAGAACTAGTCAACAACAATTTTAACACTCTTGCAAGCGTGACAAGTCATCAGAGCACAACTGTACAAGGGGTTTTGCATTTTTTTTAAACAAATTATATAATGAGTGGTTATCAACCTTAACATGAGTGCAAACATATTTGCTGCTTGTCATTTAACCTCACTTATATATAAACACTTAACGTTAAGATTTCACTCACCTCGAAAAAAGTCAGAGCCCCCGATGCTAGCCAAGCCTGGTCCAACCTAACCAGGTGCAAGAGGGGGGGAAAGTCAATGTCGCCTGCCAATTCCCCATAAAGCACTTTGATAACGGTCGCAAAAACGCGATGACGACCTCCTTAGTCAAGTTGATTTACATTACTAATTCAGTTTAATGTGAATTTTCAGGTTAACATTTGTTTTGTCAAGTTAATAACTAGTCATTTTGTGTTATCATAACATAGAATAATGCTTTGAAGTAACTAACACGTAAATCATATTTTACGGTGTAATGTTGCGCCAGACGTTATTTTGCAACCAAAATCTGCATACCGCAATCGCGATGATTATTAAGGTAATTTAGAAGTGATCACTAAAATAATTTACTTCTTATATTCGCTGTAGACTGAAATGTACTGAAAACTGTATTTGTCAGGTGTAATTGTTTTTTGCAGGTCACAAAAAAATGTAACAATTTTTATCTCTGGATGCAGCTGTTGCGCCTTTAACAATTGGCGCCCGAAACATTTTCACTCTGTTACAGTGTAGTTCTTGAGTTTGAGTGACCTTCCACGCGTGTATATTGACATCAATGGATTTCATGACACAAAAACATCCCATATGAACCCCCCCTTTCACAGACTAATCTCACATTCAGAAATATTACACGGTATATTCATCAGGTTGTCAATTATACAATTATAAAAACATCAAACCCAGCACCACGGGCGGGGAGGCGGGACTTAAATGGTTTCTCTTTCTCTCCATTGTTGTCTTCCTTATCTAATAACAATTGAGAGAGGTGTTTGTGAAGCAAACAGGTCCCAGCACCTTTCCACATTGTGTTAAATTCTAAGCCCGACCACCTTTTGCTGGTCTAATCAAAATGCAAGGTCTTATTTCATTCTCTTTAGATCTCACTGTAAAATACATTGAAGTTGAACATGTTAACATATATGAGTATATGCCCTCCATTGTCACAATCTGTTGTATTTACTTTCCTATACATTATATACAGTATTGTGTGTTAAGCGGTAGCCAATAGGATGCCCCTGAATGGACATGTGACCTAGGAGAGGTCAAGTGAACCTGCGTTCAATAAAGACGACTCAGTTCAAGTCAAACAGCCATGATGCTCCACTTGTGTTATTTGTACTTCCATAATATTCGGCCTAGCATTGGGTATGGACGCCGGGACCGTTGAGCGAACCATCTCTGCTAACAGTACAGAAGTTAAAGAAGCTTTAACGTTTCACATATCCATCTGTGGATATGTGAAAATGTCTGGCACAAACAAAACGGAGCAGTGACCGGGTCACCCAACCAAGTGACATTCAGGCGGGGGATCTTTAAATCGTTTGAAAGCTTGTTTCTTGATCAGTTCAGTTTTATGCTTTTGTGTACGCGTCTTGTTCAAGGAGAGGCCTCGTTGGGAAAGCAACAGGTCCAACTCTTCCAAGCATTCTTTCTCTGTGGTCATGGGGCCATAGCACCAAGAAGATCACCACCACTCTGTAGAACAGCAAAACTGCCTTTAAATTCTGTCTGTCTGCCTGTATCTCTCTCCCGCTCTACATTAAACATGACAAATGTCAGTAAACAGCTAGACAGAGCTTTGAAATCACGGATTTCGCAAGTTTTTTAGGAAACGTCGGACCAGTTGCGACGTAATGTTTACAGCGCCGCTAAAGTTGTGGTTAATTTATCACCAAACGACGTCGGAGGATTGCACGAACACCGTCATTACCTGCGTGTCTGATGCTGCAGCCGTTTGGCGCTCAGCCCTGCACGAGCACTAAAGCCTAGTTCAGCGGTTCCCAAACTCAAGAATGCCGCGGCCCAATTTGAAATCTGAAAATCTTTCGCGGCCCACCCAAACCTTTAATCACAACTCTGATCAAAACATAATGATTAAATGACCTGAAGAATTTAACCAAAATCAAACACCCGCGAGCAAAAGCCCGTCTCGCGTGAGCAAAAGTTCGTCTCGAGGTATTTGCTCGCTTGCGAAACGTGAACTTCGTTGCTCGCGAGGAGAATCTCTGCTCGCGCTCAGAGGAGTTTTCTACGCGCTCGCTGTTGTTCTTTTTGACAGTAAGGTGGAGACGGTGCTTTCAGGGTCCGATCGATGCTGCGAGGTGCGTCGGCTCCCCTCGCCATCCACGCCTTAAATCTTCGGCTGCTTTTAGAATAACTTATTTTCCCGGTTAAGATGGTTCAGCTACTGTAGAGAAAAGGGCACCGTCTCTCGCTCTTTAATCTCATGAAGTGCTCGGCAAGAACGACAGCTTTGTTTCTCCGACGCGCCCTGAAACAAGCTCCATATCTCACGCGCTTGAGCGCCGCTCAGCATTTGTTGAACAACGACTGGCGGACAAGAGCAGCCGTTTCGAGCGAGCCTTATTGTTTTATTAATCTGTCCGTTTAAATTGTTTGTGCTTCATCAACTAATGTTCCACATAACTAATGTGCCGCATCATAAATATTTTTATATTAATTTCAAACTTTTAAAAATTGAAAATTAAAAAACTTTATTTATTTATTGTTAATTAACGTCGTGGCCCACCTGCAGTACCTTCGCGGCCCACACTTTGGGAATTGCTGGCCTAGTTTATGCTTCTGCGTTTTCAGAGCGACGCAGACGCAAGAGCCCCTTGCGTGTCCCTTAAAGGCTGGCGCATGCTTCTGCGTCTGCGTCGACGCACTCGTTTCAATTCATGGTTCCAAACGTCTTGCGTGTGTTGCAGAGCAATTCACCTCCAGAACAATATGTGGCAGTATGCAGTGATTGGTCTTAATAACTTTCA